GGGAAAGGACTGTTTTCTTCTTATAATAAGGAATAATAAATAAACTCCTAGAAAAAAAATATGGATTTCTGAGACCTATTAGAGCCAGTATTTGTAAACAATCAATGTTAACGTTCAATAATATATATCATAATATCATATGTACAAATAATATCAGCAACCTGTCTTCTAACCTGAAGTAATCTAATGGATTCCTAAATACGCTTATAACATATACAAGATACAGGTGTATTTGTAACAAAAACCGGTCTGTTTAAAAAAACATTTTCCAACTCTCTATTATAGGTGGAGAGATTTTGGGGTCAACTAGAGAACCAAATTCTAACGATGGTCGAATATCTTACCCGGGTACAAAACAATGTTTTTAGGCAAATAATATTTTTAAAACTTTGAGTGTTTCTGCTAATAAAACCAAACATCTTATACAAAATGAATACCTTAATCTCTTAATACTTTTACCTTACCTTTCCGTGTTATTCAATTTATAATTATAAACAATAGGGCCTTTCTTGTGATTAAAGGAAATAAGTTGACATTTATTACTATTAAATTAGGTTTTCTCACTTCAGTCAAAAATGTTGACTAAATTATTTTGTAATATTTCTGAATCTGAATCCGATATAATACAATTTAGCATCATCAGCAAACAGCAATCATTTTATAGAAAAATCAAATACCTGAGGCAAGTCATTAATAAAAAAAAAGAAAACAGTTGGCTTAAGTGCGAACCTTGAAGGATGCCAAAACATACTAGAAATTCACCAGATATAATATGATAATAATTGATAAGAGTTTTATTAATAGATAATCTCATTGTAAACGTTATTAATAAATAGGTACATCAATTTGTACTACTATTGTAAGATGTAATTACTAATTAGATAGGTGTTTTATGATTTATGGACGTATCAAAAATGTGTACCTTATGTCAATGCCCTACTCTGTATACGATACATAACCAACGTTGTAACATAATAACTATTTTGTTGTATGATCAAAAATCGACGATCTAAAATATTAATTCAGACGTATTCACATATTTGTGACAAATAACATAACTTGTAATCTTCAAACAAACGCGCGCTGTTAATTGTTATTCATTTCAAACATTGTTTGTTTTTCAGTTATTACTTGAATGCAATACACATCATTGTAACAATACACGGTTCTCGGTACCTATAGATATAATACGAGTTGTATCCCTATAGCCTATACAGTATATAGGAAGGTAACTTTCGTCCTTCTCGTGGATATCATGTTGACAAACAAGCCGTTTCGAGAACAATACTTGGAGCACTCTATAATTGGAGTGGTTTTTTCGTTTTTGGCGATCGTCCGCGTTTGCTTTCTTTTAACGGCCGAGGTCGTTGGGACGTCAGCTGAGGTCATACACCGCCGAGGTCCGATGCCGGCCGCTCTCTCAAGGCCGCCGCAGTAGTAGTTTTCCCGTAAATATGTCGTCGTAGTCTGTCGATATAGCGGCGTTGGCGTTGGCGGTACGTGCAGCAAAGTTCAACGGACCCGTTCGCTGGATGAATTATATTACCTCTCTCCGCCGACTGTGCTGTAACATTCGCTATCGTCGCTATACCTCTATATAAACAGGTAAAAATAGCACAGAGATACATATATATATATATATATATATACAGAGGGAGTTTGATAAAAAGAGGAAAAGGACAAAAATGGAGAAAACAGCTGCTCTGCGCATAAGTCATAACGAGTATTTAGAATCACTACCGGATGATTAAAACGGTTATTATTATTAACAATATTGTCATCATTATCGTCTTGAATGTCGTTGGCATTAAAATACATAGTCTATGGTCTATGGAACAAATGATCGCAATTACATAAATTTACTAGCTGTCAGATGTTTGTATCTCATTGTATCTCAACGAGTCATCGGGCCAGCGTAAAAGTAGGACGTAGGACACACTGCAAAACGATCAGACGTCTGTTATTATTAATAATCTACTTGTTAAATAGATTATAGAAAACTCTACTTATTAACGTAGACGTTTTAGACGTAATGTCACAAAAAAATAACATTTCATTATTATATCGTGTAAAGCATTATATTTTAATAATAAAACTTAAAAGTATAACACCGTAAATTTTATAATTGCTTTTTTCACCTAACGAACACGTTTTTTGAAAAACTCGATTTTTCTTGATAATATAACTATTAAAAATTGATACAAAATACATTTTGTCAAATTGAATCTTGAAAAAACTAACTGTTACCACTTTATCTGTTGAGGTTGGAAGCGGACGGTTTTTTAGGAGTTTTATGTAGCTAATATTTGAAAAAAGTGGCTTTAACAAATTTCGTCCATATCAATTTATTTTTAGGGTAATTTATAAAAGCTTCAGCGTATTAGCTTCAACATATAACATATATTGTAATGTTTTCTATGGGTTAAAGCCATTTTGGTGGTAACTGGTACAATAAACAAATTTAGCCCAAAAGCCTGAAAAAGTACGCCTACTTAATATTTTAATTCTGAAAAATATTTGAGCTCATCGGCCTTTTTTCCAGGTATTTGTGGAAGTCGATTTTTGTAAAACTATTTCATTTAATTTAAAAAGACAAGAAAGTGAATACTAAACATTTGAGAAATTAAAATAAAATTTAAAAGCAATTTTAATTGAAATATAATAAAATAATTCCCACAGTAACCTAGAAAAGAGGCCGATAAACTCAACATTTTTTAGAGAATTGAACTCGGACCACCCTAAGTAGGCGTAATTATGTCAGGCTTTTAAGTCTACAACGTCAAAAAACAGATCACTTTCAATTCCCCCAAAGAAAATATTATGGTTCACCTTTTTTTTGTCCGGCCATAAGAGCAAGATTTTCACTAGGGACCTAGGGGGAATTTTTTTTTGTTGCATATCAAACTCATGAAGAAATTCTCCAAATAGTAGAGGAGAAGAGAGTTTTGCTATCCATCATTAGATCAAGAAGCGGAAAACTTATAGGACACTTAATGAGACATAACCCCTTCATAACCAACATAATGGAAGGAAGAATCAATTGACGCAAAGGAAGAGGCAGACCGAGGAACTAGGAAGACATTCATAGGAGGGATGATTGGAATGGCTGGATGCAACGGGTATTCACATATGAAGACTCTAGCATTAAAAAGAGAAGAGTGGAAGTTTATTTTTTCGCTATGACAAGGCTTAGCCTTTAGAAAAGAAGAAGAAGATCATCCACCAGAAGAAACTCGTAAATACGCTACTGACTTATAATGTTTTTGGACATGTAATGCATAAAACATATTGATTTTGTTTTGTACTATAAAAATGAAAATGTTTAAACAATATATACCTACTAAATAATCTTTAATCTTCATGGGTTAATCAAGTTTTTCAACAAGTAAAGAATTCACAACCATTATTATAGTTATAAATTATAAAACATAATATGCCGTTTTAGAGATACATTATTTAATACAATCCAACTCATACTAAAGAAAATCTATATACATCGACCCAGGAAGATCGATAATGCCTATTAAAAAGTCAATATAACGATAACGACCTTTATGCTGTACACACAATATGAATAACTTGAAAAGCCATTTCAACGTCAACTGTAAAGTATGCTTAAAGACATGTTTACAATCTGGAAACCTTTTCATTAAATAAATGTATGTACAAATAGTTATCTCATCTACTACTTATTAGTTAAAAAAATTATCACTGGTTTCTGGTGACTGGCGTCCTGAACTAGTAAGTAATAGCGATAACCGCTAAATATATATTAAGAAATTACGTTTTATTTTATATATATATATATATATATATATATATATATATATATATATATATATATATATATTTACATTATACATAGCCACACAAGCTTATGTAATGTTAAAAAAAAAATCAAATAACAAAAAACAATAGGTAGGATAAAGAACTTTAATAATAAAAAAAGTTGATGAAATTACCTAATTGATTGCCATTTTGGTGGTTCTTTTACTAAAATTAAGGATGCAGGACTTAAGGAGTACAAGCTTTGATAATCAGTGTTTTCAGTATATCATTATATAATTTTAGTTAACTAAAAATAATAAAATATTATAGTAAAACACTTAAAATTGTTTTTACATACACATGGCATAGTAGAGGATCTTACTAGTACAGGACACTCATGTGCCTTTTTTTTTTTTCAATAATTTTGAATAACATAATCGTTTTACCGAGCTTGTAAAGTGTGCATCTTTAGGCGTCTAGTGAAATTAATAGAGGTAGTGAATTGTTTGTAGCAGACAAGACTTCGTATGGTTTTTTCCGACGTGTTCGTATGCGGATTTTCAGGTTGGAGTAATTTTTCCATTAAGACCACATAACCATAGACCCACAATGCATGAATAGGCAACATAGTGAGCACACTATACAGTTCCGTCAGTTCAGCGCAGTATATCAGGCTGTGCCTGTTCGAATTCTAAGGTCCAAAAATGAAACTTTTTGAATTTCCACAATTTTATGTAACTTTATAGAGACACTGCTACTACATATTCACCTTAAATATTATCAAATATCGATTACTATTCAGACTATTGTTTTTCACATTGTCGTTTTCAGTTACAAAACAACTACAACTGGTTTTTTTAAAAATCATACTCTACATTTAATTAGATACCATAATAATTAATTAATAAGAGAGAAATTTATTGAAAAAAATGTTTATCAAACTGTGTGTTGCATATATTTTTTGGTTGTAAATAAATTGCTGTCATGCAGAACCCTTAATAGATACAATTTATTAGCATTGCAGAGAAATATAGGCGAATGGCAACCAAGATAAGGAAAAATAGAATTAAGAATTTTTGCAAATTATATTAAAATCATTAGCTTGTAAATGGTTCATAGTTCTCGGGAGAAAAAAAAATATATATAAATTTATATTAAATAAAATAAAATCAATGTCTATAGAACTAATAAAAGTAATCGAAAATACAATTATTAAAAAAATATATACATAATTAATACAATTATAATTTTGGTTTAATTTTTGGAAACTAAAATTTAATTTTTTAAATACAAAAGATAATACACAGTGTATATACTGTAAATCTTATTTACAATGATATAACCTCAATGAATACAAAAGATATTTAATCGCACAATAAGTAAATATGTATTAATAAAATATTATAGATTTATAGATTTTCAATTCGACAAAATTAATCTAATTCTATTAATTCCGGTGACTTGTTGATCTGTCGATTTCTAGGTAACACGTGACGAGCTCGATGCATGTGAGGAGTAGGTAGTCTATAACTAATTTGATGTGCAGACTGTTCGACTACAGTAGTAGTTGTAGTCATTCTTGTTACTTGCTAAAAATAAAAATTGTTCATTTTAGTAAAAACAATTATTAAATATTAACACAACAAAACATTCAATAAAAAATATAATTTCGTTTAACTCACATTGTAACCTTTGTGGTGCTGTTGCTGAACTATATGTTGTTTAACTTGCCTTTGCTGCATATTAGTATGAAACGTTACTGGTCTACTATATGGTAACCCACTGTAAATAAAATAATAAATATTATTTAATGATAATGATAATGTTAACATTAACATGTTCCTATACCTAAACTATTTTACCAAATATATTTTTTATTTCTCAATTTTGAGTTGACTTAAACATTTTTTTAATGTTTTTACTTTTTGTGGTATTTTCTAAGCCAATTAAGAATATGGAAAAATTACTCTACTAGTGATTTATTAATTTTGAAATTAAAGCCATGCATGACTAAATAAACAGGCATGAATACCTTGCAGAAATATTGTCCCAGAAACGGAAAAATAAGTATTTTACCATGTTAATTTTTATCTTAAGTAATAAGTTCTTCCACGACTGGGGCAAATGGGCAAAGATAGGAAAATTTTGTAATCAAACAGTTGTGCTAGTTTATTTAGTCACGAAGCAATGTAAGCCTGATCAAAAAGGGACGCACATTAGTTTTTTAGATCACAAAAACAAAGATAGGTTTATTATAAAAAATTAATTAATTAATTAAAAAACCGATACTTGATAATTAATAAATTCAAGATACAACATGAAAATTAATAGACGTGTTAAATCTTTATAGTCGTAATCAGCAAAAGAAAAAATATATTTAAGACTGGCAAACGTTTTTTTACCGAAAATCTCTGATCAAATGTGCAAGTGTTCCGAAACGTTGGCAAACTAGTCAAGACATCTAAGTGGGAGTAACCTCAAGTCATGTAAATAGTGTATATATAACAATGGTTTATTACTTACACTCTTGGACTTAGACATTTTGTTGATAAACCACTTTGTGGAACTGCACCTGTATGTTTAAGCCATTGGTTGTATACATTTCCTTCTTTAGAATTTGATGGGATTTGAGTGTTATTCACACTCTTTGTTGAAACAAAAAATAAGTTTTAAATTTATAATAAGCATAATTTCATAATGTAATAAAATCAAGAGGGAAGTTTTTTAACTAATAAAGTAGCGATAGAGTTATTTTTCTCTACGCGCTTTACTCTACCAAAATCCACTTCCTATCTTAAATTTCAACCTTTAATAACTAAGTAACTTTCCAAAACTGATTATCAACCAGTCAAAATTTTCAGAAAATTATTCTATATAAAATGGCTAACTTGAAAAAAAAAATGAAACAAAATAAATAGTTTAAAAAATGAAACCAGCCAAGTGCAATAAAGTGGTGTTTATAGCGCAAATGAGTATAAATTAATTTAAGAAAAAAATCTTAAAAATATTAAATATAACAAAAGTTATTTCATTTGTCAAATCTTTGAGTGGAACCTGTATATGTTTATATATATATATGGATAAACAATATAAAAAATTAACTTTATACACACTCGATAAATTTGTGGAGATCTAGACATTTTAGGCATGCCATTTTTTACTTCATTTTGTACATTCCCATGCCAGTTATTTTTTTTATTAAAATTTGCTTAAAAAAAAAAAAAAATATGATTATAATTGACACAAATGAAAGTAATTAGATAATAAAAACTCACATTTATTTTTTGTATCCATTTGACTTCTTTTGTGAATCACTGGAAGATTGGGCATATCACAAACAGTCATTTCTAAATCAGATCCAGAACCATCGTGCTCAATAATTTCTATAACTTTGTCTTCATTTTTTAATAACTCTTGTGGTACAACTTCTGATTCATTAATGATAGGATCACCTACACTTTCATCGCTAATTGTTTGAACATCAGTACAATTGTTATTATTTTTTAATCCAACATTTTTTTCTTCAGTAGCACCAATTTCAACAAAAGAATTTTTTAATTGTTTTTGTTTATTTTTTATGTCATTATTTTTAGAATTATCTGTCTCTTTCATATCAACTTCAGTCTTTTCATTTTCACTAATTGTTTTTAAATTTTGTAAAACATATTTGTCTGATTTTTTTTCACACGGTTTTAAGTCTATAGATGCAACTTTCAATTTTTTAGAACACTTTGAATGGGTTTCCTCACTATTGCTGAAATTTGGAGATTGTTTCCTTTTTGTTTCAATATTCTTGGTTTTATAAAATGATATAGTTTTTTTTTCCGGTTTGTCATTCAATTCTTCATCTGAACTACTATTTTCACATTCAGTGTTACCGCGACTTGAACAATTGGTTTCTTCTTTTTTATTTTGCTTAAGTTCAAATTCCTTGGCCAACTACAAATTAAATTAAGAAAACTGAAGGTTAATATTAATACATTTCTCATAAATTTGAATACAATAATTATTATAAATCACCACTCTGTACGAAAACAGCATGTTATTTTGTCAACGAAAATACAACACTTCAGCTTAGATGAACGTTATCGTTCAGCAACTAAAATGTGCTAGTTAAGGTATTTCTGTATTAAAATAAGAACATATCTTTACATTTAACTTATACACAAGTAAAATAAATTTACACTAGCTTAGTACTACATTAGTCCCATTTTAACTAAAAAATAAATGTTATTAATATTCGAATCATAGAGACTTTTGAAACACGATCATTGATTAATCATAATAATTTTTGCATATCATATAAAGTTATCTTATTAAGTAACTTAATAGAATCTAACGATGATTGAGAACACTTACAGCCATTTTATTTTATTTAAATTGAGCAAATACTCTAAATAATCATAATGATACTAATAGTAATAAATACAGTAATAACATGTAATATGAATCAAAATACCTTATTCATTGATAAATCCATTTTTTTATTACTTTCTTCTAATTTTTTTTTTAGTTCTTCATTTTCTTCAGCTGGATCTTTTTCAGTGATCATTTCAGAAATACGACTCATATAATCATTCACTCTTATCAGCTTTAGCTGCTTACCAAGTTTAAGGAACGCATCTCGAGCTATAATTTTTTTAAACATCAAAATTTAATTAATCAGCAAAATAATATTTATTACATTAATTCTAAAGTATAAAATATCTTAGTACTACATTAGTCCCATTTTAGCTAAAAAATAAATGTTGTTAAATAAATGTTAATAACTTAATTGTTATCTGAATTTTAATAATAAAAATTGGGAAATATATTTTTTATTGGTATGTCTGACATAATAAAAACATACTAGATATTATATTAAGAAATGGAAAACATTAATAAAAATTATTCAATATTAAGCAACAATAGACTCTTTTGTAACTTTAGGTGCCAGCATAATCTAAGGTAATACTAAGCCCTCAGATATTACTTTTATTCCATATACAACTCTTCATATTTTTTTATTAATAAGTTGATTAACTAATAATTAACCAATAACTACTTTTGTTTTTAATAAATCTCCTATAATAATAAGTAATAAAATAAAATATTTTTAAATCCTGACTGAGCAGTCTCTTGAAAGCATTGAAGATAATAGCAAATTGCAATTTTATAATCAATTATTACATTACAGCTAAAGTATACATATATATTTTTTTTTTGTGAATGTTTTTAAAATTTTAATACTTAATTATAAACAGTTACAAGTGGCTTAGGTTTTCTAGATACTTACATATGTTGCTCAACTTATTTTCACTCCAATTTAATTTTTTCTTTTTATTCAAACGTTCTAACAATTCATACACTTCATTATAATCTGGAAACTCTTTTTGTGTATTGTAATATTTCTCTATCGTTTTATTCACCAATGTATTGTCAGTTCCTTTGAAACGTATAAGTGGTTGTTCAAGAAATACAGGATTTTTAGTAAGTTTGCACAACCTTTTATAAATTTCAACTGCTCTTCTTTCATACCTAAAAAAAAAAAAACCTTAATACTATTTATGTCACTATGTTTTTTAACTTAATTTAATTCCCTCCAGACCCTAATATAATAGAAATGACAGAAATAAAAATTAATTGACAAAATATATAAACATCTCATAAAAAAATTATTTTTTTTTGCTAAATTAATACATTTTTAATTAAAATACACAACTTTTTTTCTAATTTGAAAATAAATGATACTTGTGATAACTTCCTGAAATAATAAAACTTAATCACAATACTTCAATATTTAACTATCAGTGTTGAAAAACATACTTGCTTAAGTAATATAGTAAAGCTCAAATTAATTTAGGCAAGGTGAATAATATTAGGTAAAATACAATACGCTAGTAATTTGACACAAAAATGTATGATTAATTATACTATTTATACTGCTATATAAATAAAATTATTATTAGTGCTTCACTTTTGCTCAATTACCTCTTTCTCCAGAAAAGTGTTGATTCAGCAAAAGTGTAGCACTAATTTTCATTTTATTTATATAGCATAAATGTAAGGTTTTAATAATTTATTTGTGTACAGTAAATATATAGGTATATTATTAAAACTTTTTCTAATATATTTTTAGAAAATTATAATGTATCAAAAAAAAATGTTAGGTAGATTGATTGAATATGTAAAAAACAACATAATTGTTATCATAAAACAATTACTTGCCTGTCCTTTAGTATATAAGGTGAATTGTTATCAAAGTCATCTGAATTGCTAATTGACATTTCTGTTTCATCAATTTTTTTTATTTTTATGCGAGCTATCTGAAAATAAAAAATAAAATACTCCCCTTATACTGTGCATATTTTTTCTTCATCAAGTTTAAAAATAATTTTAGCCAAAAGTGTGCACAAGAGTTTGTGTCATGGAATGTTTCTCCAATCATTTATCTGCCCTCAACTCCAAAATCAATTACTAGGCATGGTCTAGTAGGGTAGAGTCAACAACGACATGTTCACATGCCCCTCCCCTCCAACTCAACAACAACTTTTTTTTGGTATTATTAATTTTTATTCCCAATAATGATATAATTATTCTTCTAATTATTTTAAGACAAGTTATGTTCGCAACAATTGTCTAATTGGGACTTATGGATTATGTGCAGAGTGAGTTTAGGTACCTTGTGTGCACACTTGACTATATCAAACATCCAAATATAGATTACCTGAAGTGCTTCTCTAAGTTTTCTTATTTTTTCATTTTTTTTTTGAGTTTGTTCTTTATTTTCTGGTGTAGGACTTTTTTGATCTTGGATCTAATTTATAAAATTATGCATAATCCATAATTTAGAGATTTAGGTCCAAATAGGCATTGTAATAATACAAACCGTAGTTTTGCAATTTAATCTCGACATATAAAAGAAAAATCTTTTGGAAAAATGTTTATTGCATTTAAGCATTAATATAATCCTATTAAAATTAATCCTCTGCATCACAGTTTAAATAAATAAGGTATAAATACTAACAATATTATATTGTCATTATCATTAATCAGATAGTGTTACAATGTGATTATTAATGAAACTCATACAGAAATTGAACAAAATAGAAAATTTGAAGAAGTATGCTTTTAACCTGTTTACTTACTGCCAGTTCATTTTAGGCTCTCTTACCATATTGGATATGAATGTTAGGAAATGCTTAAGAATGAAAATTGGAGAAATAATACAAAATTTACCTAAAATTCTTAAATTTATTGTAACATTAAAAGTTATAAAGAATTAAAAATTCAATATTTACCCTTTTAGCACTCTTAAATTGTCGCAACTGGTCATAAATATTTTCAAGATGTACATATGATTCTGCACTACTATCAGGCCAAACTGATTGATTTGCTTCTCTCAGTAATTTTATAAATAACTTACTTTCAGTAAAATCAGATGGTATTGATTTAAACAATGTTTTAATTGTATCAATATTTGACTTCGGAAATTTAACATTATCGTAACATTTTTCAATCAACTGTAAAATATAAGAAAATGAAAAATGAAATACATATTAAACATTAATAAACTAAGCTAATTATTTTTACCATTGAAAATTTACTCTAGAATTTGGTACTCATTTACAAGCTAACATTTTTAATAACAATAATTTGTAATGTTTATTAAATTGCCATATTATAGGCGTTAACTTAAAAACAATAATTGACAACTTTAACATTTTAAAAGAAAGCCGAATAAAAGTTATGTTTGAATTTTACATTCTTTCATATATATATATTTATTAATACTTTTTTTTGTTGGCATAACTTTTTATTTAAAGAATAACCAAATTAGGAAGATTTTAAAGATGATAACTTACGATAAGGTACGCTAACATAACCTAATCATATGTGGCATAATTAATATTATAAAAATGTTCAACCGTTCCTACGCATAAATTAATATAATAAAAATAAACAAAATGTTTTTAATTTCTTTTAAGTCTTTAATAACTACAATTATTTATTCTATCTCTTCTTTAGGTTAGTATTATAATTTCTTAGTTGTACACAGTGTGCGGTCCATAAGTTTTGGACTAAATTTATAAAAAATAACACAATAGTGAATTTTAACATTTATTCAAAATAAGACTAATTTGAGTCAATATAAGCTTTACTATGTGTTTTCAGCAGTAGCAGAGACTTTTCAAAGTTGCTTAAAGACATGTTCCTAGGTCGCTCAGTAAATGCTTCCCGAATGTCGCGAATTATATCATAGCAGTTCCCCTTCAACTGCTATTACAGTTTTGGAAACAGGAAATAGTCCAGCGGGGACAAATTGGGCAAGTACGGTTGATAGCAGTGTAAAGCAACAACTAGTTTTTAGGCTGAAAATTGATATATGTACAACCATAGCCAAATGAGCAGGTGCGTTGTTGTACAACAAGCAAAAATCACAGCTTTTAAACAAGGTGGAGTATATACATCAAATGCACATTTATAGTCAATCCAAAACACTTTTATAGAAGACAGCATTAAATGTTTATCTTTCAGACTAAAAGTCCTAGTGCAGAATTCTTAGGCTGTCAAAAAACACGATGAGCATCGTTGATGTCGTACGGTTGTATTCATTGTCTTTCACAGGTCTTCACTAGATTATCTACCAACTCGAAAACCTCTTTATACCATCCCTGAAGTGTTCTAGTAAGCTTTATGAACCATATTCACGTTTCTGAAGCGGACAAAACCGGTTTTAATACAAAATGTAATTGTGTTAAGTTGCTCCTCCTTTTCATTCATAGCAAACGTGTACTGATATGAGTGATTGAGTTCAAAAGCTCTATAGAATATTAAATGGAGGTTTGTATTATATAGAGTGGATTGATATTTGATAGCGCTAATGGTAATAACTAAATAAAATAAATTAAAACTTTTGGATCGCACTGTAGCTAAAAATACATCAAGAGAATACCATAACATCGCATTTCCCAACCGCACTTCCACTCCAATCATAAAAATAGTTATACAAAACTGGTTATCGATCAGTCAACATTTTTAGTAAATTATTTTTAATATAAAATGTTAATGAAATGTATGCGTTACAATTCAAGTTTTAAAAGTTGCTATCAAAATAAACTAAGTTGGAAGAGGTGTAAAAACAAAAACAAAATGTAACAAATTGAAATCACATTGTGTAAACACAATATGGAAAAAAAAATTTTTTTAATATTATTTAAACCTAGTGAGATATTGAGTGGTTCAATGATAAATTAATCACCTTGTATTATTAGAAACATCATAATTAATTACCTCATCAAAAAGTTTGTGACTGATGTAACAATTTCCATTACTTGGAATCATACCAACATCTTGATTCTCATTTTTTGATGTATTAGAAACGCAATTATTAGTCTAAATAAAAATATATTTTTTTAATTAAAAATGCATATAAAATACCTCTAATATTTAATATTCAAAGATTTTTTTAAATTTTCAAACTATTGCTTGAAAAAGTATATAACTTGATTATGGAATTCTCATAATTTCCAAAAAAAAAAAAATATATATATAGGAGAAATAACATATACAAAATGTATAAAATGAAAAATGAATAATATATACTGATAAATATGTGAGTTTATAATTTTAAATTGTATATATATATATTTAGTCTATTATAAAAAAAAAACATAAATGGAGAATAAATTTACAATTATTTTTGAATCAAAAATGTTTTATACAATAAAAATAAGTGATCAATATAAGAATTACCAACACTTAAGGACCTTACACCTTAACAAAAATTAGTTAAAATGTTCAACAAACCCCCAAAAAAAGTGAATAAAGGATAACATTTTCCTAGTTAAAATAAAAATAAAACAATTTTTAACAGTTATTTAAAAAATCATATTTTGAATATCTTCTTAAAACTAAAAATAAACTTAAGGTGGATTTTTAAACCATTATTTAACTTGCATAATTAATTGTATAATGTTGATAGTTCTAAAATATCTTTTAAAAGTGTAAATTTATATAAAAAATAAATTTTACCGTGGAGCTAGAAGAATCATTATTCCATAACTGTAATAGTTTATTGTACACTTTAGCCAGATAATCAAATGACTTTTTTTCTGGACGAATATTTTCAATTCCTTCTTTAATTAAATTACTTAATTCATTTGAAACGTTCTGGCTTCTAATGCATGTATCATACATTTTATCCATATCTTTTAGTAATGCATCAGGAAATGTACCAGTCTTTTGGCATGCATCCTTAAACTAAACAGTACTCATTTTGAAATAGTTAATTTTGTTTTTCAGGAACAATAAGGATTCTTAGAGGAATAACGAAGAACAACAATGAGGAACAATAATGAAGTTTAATAACAATGCATCCTTAAAACAATTACTTAAAGCAATTAGTCTAAATTAAAAGCTATTTATATTTTTGATGACTTTTATTTTACCTTATCGAAATCAGGAGTACTTAAATATTCATTATTCTTTTTATAGGCCTGAAAAATGTTTTAATATTATTTATAAATATATATACATGTATGTTATGTATATATATATATTATATATATATTATATATATATATATATATATATATATGTGCTACATGTTATGTATATATATATGTATATATATACATATATATAAATGCAATCTAATATTTAATATTTTCTGGCTTATAATATAATACTGAAAGATTTTCAGTATCATGGACACCATGAAATATGTTCAATTCCAATAATCTGATAATGTCCTTATTGGAATACATCTTAACAAAATCCATTTACAATTTTTGATATTTCAAATCTTAAATACTAACCCAAAAAATTTCTTTTGTAAAATGTGTTGGGTTTGACAGTTGTTTAAACAATAACAAATGATGGTAGGGCAAATGCGTATTATATTATTTACTATCCAATTGATAATTACAGTAATATTCAATAGGTATTTCAAAAGGGTATATACATATGTTAAAGTGCTGGATTTGTAAACCTAATCACTAAATTTATGTGGGATTCCATAAACATAAAGTTTTACAGGATAACATAAAGTTTAATGAATTAATAAACATTTTAAATACACCATTTAGAATAACATTTTTTTAATAAATTGTTTTTTATTGATAAAAATTGAATAAATTTAAAAAGTTAATAAATTATAAACAAACATATTGGGACGGGGTGGTCACAGGAGTATATGAATTATTACAACTGAAAGTGAGAAAATCACTTTTATGCAAATCTAAAAATATAAATATTGATAAAAGCTCTGTACATAATGACAATAACGTGCTTAAAAATGTATTTTTCATTTAATTAGGATTGGGTATCTACTTCTGATAGATATGATACATGAAGATTTCAGTTCAGCGATTAAGAAGTATTATAGGTCTATACACGAAAACAATAGTTTCGTATCATGTTATGTATGAATTATAATATGAATATAATGACTTAACTTAAGGTTTACATTTTTGGAAAATTTGTGATGAATATCCAAAGTTAAAAAAATTGAACTTTAAGTGAAAACTGTTGTTGATTTTACATTGATTACTGTACGGTTCCAAATACTGATAAATTCAAATAATGACCTAGCGAGGTCTACCTCAGCTAATTAACAACATAATGAAAATACTTTCAAATACCTGCAGACTGTTGATTCAATCACACATATACTCTGAAAATAAGAATCGACTTTGGCGGCTACATAAAAACTGGTTTTTTATGTGGCTTTCAGATAGCTGCCGGGGTCGTTTCCTATTTGAACTGACAATAGTAACCTAAAAATTCACTACGGTCAATGTATGTAATTATCCCTCTCTATTTGGCTCTTCCTTAATAAAAAAAAGTTTTACTACAGATTTTTGAGAAAATTGTAAGCTCATTCTAGATCTACCTACGGTCTAATTTTCAGACCCTAACTTCACCCTAATAAAGTGAAATAAAGATAAGTTTCCACCTCTTCTAGGGGAGAGAGTTAATGATATTTCTTTGTTTGTCAACGTTTATGGGTAGTACTATTTCTAGGTTCAGTAGTCCAGAAGTTATCGTAGGTCCAGACACAATAAAAATAAAAACACATCATTGTAAAAACATACCTTCTCAGCTACGCATCAAAGCTAAAATAATATTATTAATATTTAATAATTGAATAGTTACACACTTTTGAACTAATATCTTTATCTTCATTGTCTTGAGACAGATTTTCGACAATCGACATTGTTAAGTAGGTTAAGCAAGGTGTATTTGAAAGACTTAAGTATGTAACCCTTGATTATTAAATGACTATTGCAAAATAAGTATAAAAAACCAATTATACTTAAACAGGTACACATAAATTAATGGTATTTATAAAATAACTTGTGTAAAATATTATGATAAAAAAGAAAGTTCAAAACATTGAGTAACAATATCAGGTCGCAAATTAAATAACGGTAGGTTAAATCCTTAACTCATACCAATGTCTGAACCCGACAAGTGACAACTATAGTCCGGCTCACGAAAACTGAGCGTTGACATCAGCGCTACCAGTGGCAAATTCCCATTAGTGGGTATCAACATAATTGGCGGGCTTTTTGAAATGTTTAAATGTACATATTTTATTATTTTGTCTCGCGCACTACGTTACGTGTTAAAAATATAGCAATTAAAAACAATTAATAAAAATATGTTTAGTATGTATATTTTAACATAACAGCTGACTTTATCCAACAGCTGACAACAACAATAATACATACAATACGGAGAACCACTGGCATCGACAATATTTGGCCGCCGCCCATCGGCCTTGAACGTTCAGTTTTCGTGAGCTGGACTATAAACATAATAAAAAGCGATTGAATTATTATATGAGATTTAAATTATACTTTGAATGAACTACCGTTAGAGTGAAACAAAACTTGAAAAAATCGTATTCAGATATTATAATTTAGAGCGTGTCAAGAATCAAGATAAAAACGTACACCGTAGCCATAGATCTTATAATATTAGACAGTAGATGGAGAATATTACAATTTACATGCATGTAGTTTAGTTCCAGCGAACCGACGTGACTGCGCTGACAACGGGGCTCGATGACGTCCTAAGGCCATTTGCTCATGCGCATTCGAGTTATTCGAGTTTGGATATCTAAATAATACAGCATAGTGTTTTTAATTTTCGGCGCATGCGCAAAGCCAAAGACGTGTTCCACCAGAGCAAATAGGAAACATCTAGGTATAGTCTATTATACTTTAAATAATATGATATATATGGTACATGCATTTATTTTCCAATATACCTACGAATTCCTTATTGTTATGAACTAAAATAATATTGAACATTACATATTAATTCATAGAATGAAATTTCTTAACGCTAAACTAAAGATGAATTAAACGTAATTAACAAATCAGTATAATTCATATTGTAGTTTTTGATAATGTAGTCTATATCGTCCTGTATAAAGTCTTCTTTTTTAAACATAAATAAAGTGAGACAATTTCCTGAGAAGTATTTTTTACCGCCAAAATGGCTAGAACACAGAAAAACTTGTAAATGTTAGTAATTATACCCAGTAATTCTATATGCATGTGAAACGTGGCCAACGGCAAAAGAAGACGAAAGAAAGCTAGCACTTTTAAAAAGAAAATTCCTCTTCCTCCTTGTATCTATCCTATCTCCATTCAATCTCTATTGTATTGTTTGATCATCAGCCTCTCTTTTTGTTTTACGACATTTGGTTCTTTTGAGCCACCGGCCATCTTGTTCTTCGGCAAGGAGCCAGCTATAAATAATCTGTTCACACTGATCTAGGAAAAAGGGTGATAATTGTATGTAATCCGCGAAAACAAAAAGTCGGACACTTATCAGTCTCGACCTAGGTTTCCCTTCGTTATTAATTTAAAAAAAAATGTAATTTAAACTATTTTATTATGGTGTAATATCATTTTACTATTTTTCACGAGATACTCCGAAAATCTCTTTTCAACGATATTAATTCCCATGTCTAGAGCTCTACAATCGATACATTTCTTTATAGCTATTGATAAAATATAGATACAATAATTTTTTATTCATTCTGGCCAACGCTCGACAAACACGGAAAATGGCGACGATATTGTTGCTTATAGTAAATAAACAGTGTTACCATGAATCGCAAAAAAATTTTAAAAAAAGGAAATATACGAGTCCTCGCATCACTGGCTAAAACTATGTCTGACCGTTTTTTGATAAGCTCGAAGATTCCCTTCTGTTTATTCTGTGACCCACAGACACAGATATATATATATATATATGATATTGTAACGAATGCAAGCAAAAGGTTGCCGGCAGGTGTCCGAAGACATTGGTTGGTAGTTGTCGTGAGCGTATTTATGTGTGCGCTTTGGGTGACTTAGATCGCATGCGGGAAGTTCGTCACAACTACCGGGATCTGGCGATCTGACCATGTGTTGAGGCGGTATCGATGCCGACAGCTAGCTTGCGCAAGCTGTGGTGCCTCGTAGCCATGCATCCGCCACACACAGTGCTGTATGTGGGGCCCGTAGCCTGCCACAATATATATCTGTGGTGACCATATTGTAAGAACTGATAACACAAGTGCCGACATACCTACTTATTTATTCATGATTACCACTACAATTTTTTTTAAACCCCCGAGGCCTGAAGAAAACCTTAATTTGTAATTTGAGATTTTTTCATTATCCTTTACTCTTAGTAGTGATTAAAGTTATTTTATGAAAATAGTAAATTTATTAACACTCCCCTACCACCCCTATAAGTTAATTGACTAGTAGAGAAACCAGTAAACTTGTCCAGTTTTCCTTTAATTTTTCGATATTAGGACAGTGGTGTTTTGAATACCTCTAGGTACATCTCAAAAGTAGTTTTATCACATATGTAATAACATTTAAATTTGACTTATAGTTGTTGTTAACTTTTTTGGTTCGCCTGACTTATGTTGTACATTTAGTTTAACAAACAGTAATTATATAATAAATGTATAATACTAATACTATTATAAAAATAATTAGGTATCTGAAAGTGATTAACAAAATCTATATTTTTAGAATGACACACTACTTATACTATATACAATCAAAAAAAATAACTATTTAATGTGTACTTTATTGAACTAATATACACCTAGAACAAATTTTGAATTGTGCACATTACATTTTCACAACTTCATAAATAATAATTTAGTGAAACATATTATTTTTGTGTTCTTAGCTAAATACATTTAGGAGTATAATAACGTTAGTTTACTTCTTATCTCACAAATATTTATTAACAAAGAATTATTACATACATAGGTAATAATAATATATACAATTAATAAATTAAAGTATAATTATGTACTTTTGGTAAACACAGAAAAATATAATGTAAATATTATACATTAAGTATAATTTAAATGAACAATGCGTTTGTTTAAAAATAAAAAAGTACCAAATTGGCATATTATAAATTACAACCATAAATAATGTTTTTAATCCTATTGTTTTGCAAATAACGGGTATTAGGATAAAAAACCACAGACAAAAAAGCCAATTTTGTTTATTATTATACTTCAATATAGAGGGTAAGTAATGTGAATAAAAGTTCTTCCTAGTACTCTTTTCTGATTTAAAAAAACAAAATGTTTTGTCGTTCTTATTTTTATAGTAGTATAAATAATCTATGTCACATAATAATTTGATAAATGATCAATTAAAACAATAATATAATTGCAGTATCCTGCTTAACAGGTATATACATTTATCTTATTATTTATTCCAACTAATATAACTATGGTAAATGTTAGTTCCTTACATTCATTCGTGGACAAAATATCTCAGAAATATTTATAATGGAAACTATTATTTTGCATTAAATATTAATAGCACACTCCATTAGTTTATTTTAAATATTATTATAACACCACCAAAAACACCTAAAATATTTTATATGAACGGCTATAGAATTATTTAGATTTAAGTAAACCCTTAAATAATTATGATTTTATCAATTTTTATTAACAACATACGGCTGTATAATGTGCAGCTGATGACTATTTATTAGCTAACATATATTGGTGTACAATTGTTATCTTAAATGTAACCGACTGCTGGCAGGTAGTTATATTAATGGTTAATAACATTGTATTATAAATATAACAAACAAATGACAATATAGTTTACATAAATAGTTATACATAAATACATTAAGAAACTTAAAAACAGGGATACCGAATATGTATCAACCTAAAAACTTTTGTAAATTTGGCTTTATAACTGTGGCTTTTTTTTTTATACTAAATTTCAGATAAAGACAGATAAAAATCGAATTTGTATAATCACAATATTATGTATTGTAATTTAAATTTACAATTTTTTTTTTAAATTTAACATCTACTCCTTGTAAGTTAACATACATACAATTATTGTTACTATTAACACTATAAATACTACTTATGTATAAGAAAATACTTTACGGTATGTTCTCAGCTCATTGGAGCATAATTTTTTCGTACCATATTAAGTCGTTAAGTGGTAATAAGTCAACAATAAAATACACACTTTTGTTTTAAATACAATTGTTGGCCAATTTATTTAATGACAGCTAGTTCCTTTTGGTGAATTCTGAAAAAAATAAAATATACTGATGTAGTGCTTAATATTTAAGATATACTAAATCACTTAGTTCAATGGAACTCACCTTGTGTAGATTACAAGTTGTAAGGAAAGTTTGGTTATCAAGTAACCAACCGAGTTGTATAGCACAACTAAAATGTATACTTGATTTGCAATGACGTGCTGTACACCCAATGCTAGCTCCATTAGTACCACAATAAACACAGGTCTAAATAATTAAAACACGTTGGGCATTACATTTCTAGATTAATTTTTTTTTAGTTAAAATATGTAATATATTCAATTACATTCACCAAACAACAATTTTATCAGTTTTAGTTATAATAATTTCTCAAGACCTACTATATACTCTAACCCATAAATATTCCACTATACCCGATTCAACTGTGCTGGCTTTGTAAGTATGTTATTGTTGGTAAAAACACATTATCGTCAAACCCATTTAAAGAAGTATTCTAATATATAATGAATTATTATAAGTAACAAGTTGCACAAAATTATTAAAGCTTGTTATTTTTTTAACCTAATTTAATATTTTGATTTTCCCATACACACATAATCCTATACCATATGATTATAAACTCAGTTCATTCTTATCTATACTCATGTTAATATAAAACCCGACTGAACCGTGTCATAATAATAACCAACCTATTATTAGATTCAAATTTGACTATAATAGATTTTTAAATAGCTTAGCCCAATCCTGTTACTTATTGAACTCATTATAAAAAAAATCTTGCTATAACCAGTTTTAGTATCTATAACAAGAAAACAAATTTATGGATAGGTATCATTTTTAGACAGAATGTTTTTTATATAGTACACATTTGCATGTCACATAATCAAGTGGAAAATGGTATTAAAAAACAACTAAGTAATTTATTAAGGGGGGGGGGGGGTAACAAGAATATATATTTTTTTATCAAATTTAACATTTGAACTTTAATTTCATATAACTTACAGTGTTCTTAGCAGCTCTAACACTGTCTTCTAATCCAAAAATCTTAGTGCCCACCATATAAACACCAGATGCCCAAACCAAACAGTTTTCATGAGTCCAAACTTCAATAAATATGTCTGATGTATCATTGTCATGTAAATTAGATTTGGATTTCTGCAAAATTCAATATTATGTGTAATTGAGTTAATACATTATGTTCACAAAATAAAAAAAATTTAAAAATACCTTTCGTTTTGCATTGTCAGTTTTTTTTACTACATTTTTTGGTAAACTGACATAGTAAGGACCAAACAGATCTCCTGTAGGATCATAGCCTATATCTCTAACATGTGGACCTCTTGAACAAAATACACATTGCCATCCACTGCTTTCCAACGTGCCCACGTCTGGTTTTTCTTCTCCATTGGATACTCCAGATTTGTACACTACCAATAAAATGATTCATAAACCCAAAAATCCTCCAAAAAATACATTAATTAACTTACAATACGTCTTTTTGTTTATGTTACGTCCATCTAATGAGTCTTCATCTTCTTGAATATTCCGATTAACAACAACAAAACTTGTTGGGTTATCAATGTTTCCACTTACTCTAATTAAAGGGCCTTTATATTTTTTAACTACAGCTTCAACTGGTTTTGTTTTTTCTGATATTGACTGACCTCTTTTTATTTTTTTCATTGGTTTCTTGTTTTTAGAGTATGGTCTTTTAGTAGTAATAAGTGGTTTAGATTTATCCTCCAAAACCGACGGTTGATCAGTTTTATTGGGGGACTCAACACTAGCGAACAATTCTTCTAATTTATTTTCTACTTCCAGAAATTGAGAATGTTTGTCATGTATGATTTTTGAAGATTTCTCTGGTGATATTGAATCTTCTAACTTCTCATGATCACTTTTATGTGATGGTGATGGTGATTTAAGTACTTTCTCAACAGATTCTGCTCGCATCGATGATGGTGATGGAGATTTTGCTGGTTTAACAGATTTTATAACCGATTGTTTTTCTGATTCATCAACTTGGAAAATATTTTCCAACATTTTTTCTACATGATTAGTAACAGTGATGTCTATTTTTGAAGGACTCTCTAAATTTGTATTATGACATTTAATATCGGGTAATTTTGTTAGTTTGCTATCTTTTTTACTATTGTTATTATTTTTAACTTTATGAATATATGAAGTATCAGACTTCAAAATCAAAGGAATATCATTGCCTTTTGTTTCAGACATTACTACTTTAAGAGGATTAGGTGCAATGACGCTAATAGCTTTTTCCTCTGCCTTTGAGGAAACCACTTGACCATTTAATTGAGCTATTGTTTTAGACACAAAGGGCTTTTCAGTTTTATGAGCTGATAAGTCCATTGATACCTGTTGTGACTCTTTTTTATGATTTGTTAAATCAAGTTGATCAACTGACAATGCAAAACTTGATCGATGTTTAACTGATGTTGAATTTGCTGCGTGAGCTGGACTTGGAGATGGTGGACCGGGTCTTGATGGTGGAGGCATATTATTCCTCGCATCCATCCATCGATCAATAATAGGTTCTGGTTTATGCATTTGGAGTGCAGCAACATTATGCAATGAAGTATAAGGTGTGTTCCTATAAGCAGCCAGATCTAAAAAAAAGTAATAATAATCAATACAATAATATTAAATTATTAAAATGAAAGTGTTCTTTTGAAAACTATTACCTTTCTTAGCTAACCATGTTGATAACTGATGTGAAATTGGCGGAGGTTGGAATGTAAGTGGATGAGGAATAGAAGATGTAGCAGCAGTAGATAAATGGTGCCTTTGGGGTGCAGGGGCAGCTGGAGGTAAGTGGTGATAGGATGGAAACCTTCCTTCAGACATGTTTACTCTAAAATATAAAATGGTTTCAACTTTCAGTACAGTATTCACACAATGTTTTGACAAAAATATTTTTAATAGTTTTTACATTATATTGTTTCTTATCAATATGGATAATCCACCCTATTAGCCCAAGGGTAGTATTTACTTAATCAATAGAGGAGATCGTATATGTAAACCAATTATTTGATTATAAGATAGTCTTACAAAAAAAAAATACATAGAAACCAAATATTTGATTCTATACAAACTATAATTCATTATACAAATTGAATACACACTTATATGTATCGAATATGAAAATATCAGATGATTTTACCGACTGATTTGATGGTTATGACGCACATTCTTCGATTGTATACGTGTTGATAATTAATTTATGTTCAATTTCAATACTATAATGAAATAATAAAAAAAATGATCATGACAACAATGTGTATTGTGTACCTATATTATTAAAAAATTGATACCAAAATCTATCAATTATCAAATGATAATTTTCATTTTATTCAGCTAATAACACTAAATTTGCCATTTTTGTTGTTATGGTTCAGTTCTGTTTTACAATTTACACAGTTCCTATCGCACATTCACTTTGGTAGTGGTACGCTACCTCTCGCCCCTCCTAACCCCTTCACACAATGATAGTTATAACGTCTTTGGAAAATTCTCGCTGTCTCAGACATTGCATAACTAATTCGCCGTTTTAGCCAATTTACTTTGTAGTTTGTATACAGTTTCTTACTTATAGGACTTACAAATAACGTTAAGTGGTACTGTTTTTAATAATATATATATTGTTTATAAAGTACCATACTTATTAACGGATAATTAATACAAATATTGTATGATAAAATGTGTTATAAGAATATTACTATAAAAATTACTATAATTCTTATTACTATAAGAAAAAATCTATAAAATTCACATTATTCGCGGTTTATGAATTTCAAAGTTTTTTTTTCTTTCAGTTTGGACCCTATATATATTTTTTAGGATATTTTTCAGCAAATAAATTTATTTTTAATACAAATCTTGAAATTGCATGTAGGTATAATAAGAAATTACAAGATATTTAAATTACTAGGAATTAGAATAACGTTTATTAATTTTAAAAAAGTGATTTATTCATACGAATATTAAAATATACTATTATAGGTTCAGTGGTTTGAAAGTTATCGTTAGCCAAGACATAAAAATACAATTTTAAAAACAAATGAACAATCTAGCACTGCAAGACCAATATATCAATTATAAAAAAAGTAAAACATTACTATGTCTAAATTAATGTTATTTAAACATCGTAAATTTTCTTTTCCGAAGAATATTTTTTTAAATATTTTTTTGTAGTACAAACATGTTTTGAAAATTAATATTAATGTATGTGTACATATATTTATTATTAAGTAATTACTTAAAATTTAAGAACAGTTTGCCAACAGCTAGTTTAATTTAAATGTATTCTTTTAGTATTAATAGGTATGCGGTACCGTATTACGTATAAAACACTGGTTGGGAAGACGAAGAACCAAATTAATACTGCACATGACTCTTTCATACAAAATTCTTAACTTTAAAAGTAATTTCTTTAAAATTGGTTAGTAACCAGACAAAATATTCAACAAATTATTCCGAATTTCATCATTACTAAAATATATACTATACAATTTAAGTTTTAAAAATTAGGTAATAGCACTCTGGAAAATACCGAAGAAGGTATTGATTTAGGAATTGTATATTACTGTAAAATAAATAAAACATACAATAATTTTCGATAGAAAAATGATTATACTAATTGGTGAATAATTATGAAATACAATTATGACGATATTCTACATGACGAGCCGGCTGTGGAAGCAAATATAACGACCATTACATACCCAAAAATTCGAATATTAATTCTTTCTGAATTAGTTTTAAAATTTAACTTATGTTTATAAAATATATGACTTAAATAGTGTAAGTACTTTATGAAGTGCAAACTGTTTTAATACATAATATTGTGTTTAATATGTGTTCTGTATTTTATATATGATGTTAATATTGTATACGCTACATGTATATATAATGTATAAATATATTCTAAAAACATTTGTAATAATATTTTTGCATAGAGCATAGACAAGTATAGAGCTACTTAATGAAAGATACTGGATAGGTATCAGTCAGAAAACAGTTAGGCTTAAAAAGCTAGGTACAAACAATAATGTACCGGCGAGCAATAAAATATAAAAGCTCCAAAAGAGTGTAGAATGTAGGCTTAAGACCAAAAATGTCCGATAAAGTTGTCTTATCAATTTGACGTTATCATTAACACCATAATCAAATACTATGGTAATAATTGACCTACAATAACAATAAATGAATTCGTGTCTAAATTATTATAGGTGTTTTGTATATTAATTAAGCACATTGAGATACTATTAATTGCATTGTCGTAATAGAACTATAAAATGTTCGATTGTTGTAGTTAAGCTTTTATGGTTGATTGAAATACGCCACAAGAAAAACAATGACGGCTAGGATGGACCCTAATTACATCATCAGTCGTGTGCGTCGTACTCTTGACAATTCTTTGAGAGATGAAAACTATTACATGGCACATCAATTGTATAAATCACTTTATTCTAGGTATGATGTAGAATTATCAGACTACTAGTATTTTTCTAATTTCTTTAAATTATTTTTTAAATGCCATAAAAAACTAGGTATTTAGCTATACAAAAAAAAGGAGATGCTATAAGAACTCTGTTTGAAGGAGTTATTGTTTTACTTGACAAACATCAGGTAATTTTTTTACGAATTAAAAGTAATGACGTTATTATTATCTTTAACTAGAACTTATTTTTTACAGAATGTTAGTGCTATTGATTTATCACAAGTATTTGCTAAATCTTTATCTACACATCGTATTCTTCCTAATGATGACATTTTTGAATATATTAAAAAGTATGTATAAGGTTTTATTTTAAAAATGTATTTTACTTAATAAATTTGTTTTTCAGTATGTTCAAAAAGTTTGGACCCTCATTAAGTTCAGAGCGCGACGCTATGTTAACCACAATTCTTCAGTGGACTATTGACTTCTGTCCAGAATTTCCACATGGCCATCCAAGTTTACACAAATTGATTGGATTTGTTTATTGGTCAGGTAATGGTGTTAAGGGTAAACATTTTAATCCTTATTTCATTATAATTTTACTTTCAGAGACAAATTATTCTTCAGCACAATATCATTACTTAAGATCAACTGATGGCTTAGGATTTGCTGCAATGTTAGTAGAGTTGCATAAAACTCGAGGTTTTAAACAAGAAGTAGATTTATTTATTGCACAAGTAGTACTGCAGTATGTATTCATATTTGATATATCACAAACATACTAAATATCTAATATAATGTATAATTTTTATTATAGAGGTTTATGTGTTCGCAACAAAGTTATAGCACAATCCACATTTCAATCTTATACTAAATTACATCCAGCAATCAATGACAAACCTCCGTACATATTACCATTATTAAACTTTCTATGTTTTCTTTTGAAAATTTTAGACAGGTAAATTATTTTGGAGTTTATGTATTTGTTTTAATAGTGTTTTATGTTTGAAAACATTTATTTACAATTTTGACAAACTACAAGATTTGTATAGATGTTTGCACAGCAAAATGGTATGTTGCTTCTTCCTCTGCAACTTGTGTTTTTATTTTTATGGTAGAGCTCTGTTCAGTAGTATACAGTGCCCCCAACTTCACAACAAGGTTTTTAATATTAGTTTATTTTGAATATCGTTGGTAGTTTTTACAATATTTTACAATCTCACTTCATTGTTAGTTATTGTTAGTAAGTCAACCGATATATTCCTAATGAACCGATTATATATTTTATTTTTATTCAGTTAACCGACAATCCCTTATTGTTAAAATTATTTTTTACGTATAAATATTGATGTCTAAATATTTAGCGTAAACACAATTAATTATTAGGTAGGAAGTTATTGTTGGTAGTAAACGACTGTTGTTAGGCGCAAACAAAGATTTAAATAATATATGATAAATAAATTGATTAGTATAAAAAATAGAACTTAAAAGTAATATTCCAACAGAAAAAACAAAAAAAGTACTGTATTTTTATTTTGGCTGTCTTGTAAAATTACAAAAATGTCGTTTATGACGATCTTTTGCCTTATAAGTGTCTATAGATAATTAAATAGTTGTAAGGTTTTAAGTATAAAATAGAGTTAATATTTAAAGTAATGGACTAGAAACTTAAAATCTAACTAACAACTCTCTCCCGTTACAAAAGGTAAATTTTGCAATAGGCTTTCCAAAAAAATTAAATAAATAAAAAGCTAAAAAATATCTAAGTGTGTAAACGTTTTTAGACTCCAGGTATTAGGAATGAAAGAACCAGACATTTGATAAAAAAAAAGCTTGATTAGATTACATAATTAAGTAATTAGTTGAGAAATAAAAGTGTCACTATTTTTATCATGTGAAATTGCTAATTTGGTAAACTTCAGGCTTCAAATTTTATCACTCAAAAATGCTTTAACCTTGAGAAACAGTAATTAAACCCATATTAAAATGCCGCGCTAACTTCTATGTTATTATATTTAAATGAGTCAGTGTTGCTTATCCTTAATACTTTCAAGATAATTTATATTTTTACTGTAGGTAGTTTTTGTGTATTATTAGTTAAAACTAGAAATTTCAAATATATTTTAATATTAATAACATGTGGTGTTGAAACAGTGGCAAATTGAAGACATATGTAGTGCTCTGTGAACAGTATCAAACATCATTAACAAGAGATCCAAGCTATACAGAGTATTTGGATAAGATTGGGCAGTTGTTTTTTAATGTTAAGCCAGTTGAAAGAAGACCTAGACAACCTAATGGACTATTAGGTAAATTATAATTTAAATACATTGGTAATGTATTTAATTAGTTATTCATCTCACAGAAGTAATCTAAAAATATTTCTAAGGTTGGGGGGTTGCGAATTTTTTAATAATGTATATAGATGTTTAACAAATGTGGAAATTATTTTTCATTGCAATCATTTATAAGCCCAGGGAGGAGACATTTTACCATATTTCATTAACCTTTAAACAGTCACATCTTGAAAAGTCTTGTTGGCGATTGCGCTGTGGTGTTTACACCGCCATTTAATTTTTGTATTTAATAAGTTAATAAGTACCAAAGTCCCAGTGTTGCCTCCACTTATGTAAGCGCCTGAAAGTTAAAGAAAAACAGCTACAACAGAGTGCATGACTTCAAATAGTAACAATTATTATCAACATTTTTAAGCAAATGTTATATCTAGCTTTTTAAAACAATATAATATAATTTTTTTTTATTTTCACATTTAATGTTGTTTATCCCTACCAATTGGGGCTTGGGCTGATAATTGGATTTGGCAGTTTTTAGGTTTACAGCTGGCTTGTAACCTAACGCTTACCAAACAAGTTTGGCACCCATTAGAGACAGGTGGCCATTGCTAAGCCAGACAATTACCTGCTTAGAGAAACAAACCACCAGTGGCTATAATTCAAACCAGCGACTGAGTGTTATAACACTGCCGCTTTATTTTACTCAGCCATACACCTACCTCTAAAAAAATAAATTTTAATTATTAGAGCACTTAACTAAATTTTAATGAATTATTTTACATCCAATTCAATTGAATTTTAAATAATTGAATCACTGATAACAGAAATCATATGAGTCAATAATATCAAAATGTTTGAGTTTAAAAAAAAACCTATTCTTACTGCTTCTACATAAATTAAAACTCTTACTCAATGACCATGTAAGTTTTTGATACCCCGACATGGATGTACTCATTGTGTAAATATCTCTTGTGTTAAAATAGCATCAATAAAATTTTGAAAAAATTGACTCGTGTGGTTTCTGTAATCAACAGTTCATTATGCAATGATTTTATTGAAATAAAAAATCCTACTTATGAGTAAAACATTTATTTAAACATCTAGAGATTTGCATCAGTGTTTATTTGAAAGTGATTTTATACTACTTAATTTATTTCCGTTTTATGCTTAGATATAAAAACAAATATTATCAATTCAAGTATAATAATTTGTTATTTTTTTATAATATAACAAGTATATATTGTTTAATAATTTAATAATCTTATTTTAGGTAATTTACTAAGTTCACTAATGAGTGACTGTGATCATGATGCAGAACCACGTCCTTCTTCATCACGTCCAATGGATGTAGAACCATTAGATTAACTTGAAATACATTTCTTTTTTTTATTAAAATAATATATGTTTTAAAATAATTTATAATACGAGAAACTAAAAAATTGTTTTATGCAAAATTTACCAAGGTGTTGATCAGTAAGCATTTATGTTATTTCTTTTAATTTATTGTATGCAATTGTAAACATATTTAATATTGGTGTTGCTTAATTTTTAAATTCATAAATTATAGTCTTAACAGTTGTAAATTAATATGAGCATAACACACATTTGCAAACAATAAAAATTGTATATCTAATAACATTATTGTGTATTACAGTTATCTATTATCTAGAATATCTAATCATACATTTTCTTTATTTAAAAATAAATAAAATAAAACTTAATTCTTATCTTCCAGCTTTTCCCCCGCCACTTTGAATAGCTTATTCTTGGTAGTTGGTAGAGTGGCCACAGACCACAGTTGAAGCTAGAACTCTGACAAGATTGTTATTAAATGTATTTATAATTTTTTGATTTCTTATACATGATAAAGTAGATCACATTTTATTTCCCTCATTATTACTCCACTATGGTTCATTTTGTCGAGTAAGTATAGACTTTTAATTTGAACTGATTATAATAATTTTTTTTTTTTTAATAAAATATTTATATTAAAAAATAATAATAAATACAATTAAACATATTACCTATATTAACGGGCTAAAATACTTATCAATTGATTTAATTAAAAAATATAAAAATAAGTATTAGACTAAGTAATTAAAAATTTTTTATTTTTTTATTAAAATTTTAAAGTAACAAAATATTTATGAATAGTTAAAAATGTTTCTGAATATATATCTCTTAACATAAGATCAATGATTTACATAAATCGCTGGTACATGACATTGACAAATTTTATATACACAAAATTAAAACTTATTAATTAAAGACACTGTAAAGTGGTACTAATTTCGGTTATTTCATTTTTAATCTAGTCATATTACATATCGCATCTAAGATATGTAGATATTTTGGTGTCCAGAAATTGTATTAAATTTTATACCACTTATACACTTTATACTGCTTTTACTACTTTATTCAAATTTTAATAGAATAAATAATAATGTTTTCTACTAACAAATTAGGTAGGTATGCTACTAGCTTTCGTACGCAGTAAAGTATTAATATTAATTATTTATTATTGTAAATCTATTTAAAAAAAAATATATATTAATACACTCGTACTATGTTAACGCAGAGGCATAAACTTAAAATTATGGAGAGCCGAAGGGCATATTAAAGTTTTACCTATAAACTTAACAGTAGTCCACCTACACCGAATTCTATTATTATACTGCTACTTATTCTAAAAAAGGCATCTAAATATTAGAATCAATTGCAATTATTGTTCATCCCGTCAATGGTCATTATCTATTAGAATTTAATTATATTATTTTAATTTTTATATATTTGACAAAAACTAGACCTACAACATAAAATCTAGAATAAAACAAGATATAATTGAAAAGCGAAAACTCATTTATTTTTTAATCTAGTCTTTATTTGGCAAGACACGCGTGGCGGTTTTGTAAAGTCCTTCTAAAATTAACATGGTTTCTAGCTTTAAATATATACATATAATAATATTTGTTAAGTAATAAACCTATCACAGTGATGTCCCGTATAAATGAGACTCGTAAATACCAAACACTTAAAAATCTTGTCTTGTATTTTAAAAAAAAGTATTATAAATGTTTGCCCGTATAGTTTGATGCTTTTATTTTTATAGAAACTTCTTAAGATGGTGCCAAATAATTTTAGTTGGTATGGTTATTATCCCGACCGATGTTTTGGCGTTTTCCACAAGTAAGTATATAATTTAATAGCTTATTTTTATTATTATATAATATGAAGTATTATAATTTATAAATAAGTACATAGTTCGTGCCTAGACGGACTGCAATACTTTTTTGGGGATTCAACATACAAGTTAATTTGGATATTTTCCATGGCCAAAAACCAAATATATCTTTAGATACTTACATTTCGGGTGAAATTACTAATTAGGAGGAGGGGTCTCTTACAAATCATGGATATATGGAAGTACTGAAATTTATATAAACAGTCTTATAATTCATACATTATTATTTAAGTTATTGGCTTTGGAGACTTCACTTGGAAACTTTATACTACATATTATATGTTGTATTTAATGATATTTTACATTCTGAAGTACAAAGAAAAGTTTAAAAGTAGTTTTTAATGTTTAGATTCTGGAAGCCCCTTTAATCGTATAAACTTTTATAGTATTAAAACACATGGTCCATTTGCGCTAATGATAGTTTTACTTCAGAGTTTGTAAGGGTAAAGTAAATCTAACTGGTGCGGGAAGGGTAGGGTCTGTCCACCACATTCCTGATTCTAGCTTCTACTATAAAAACTACATCCTAATACCACAAAATCCCCTTAGCATGTGCAATTGTGCTAGGTAAAATGTTATTGTATAATATAATTAAGAGGATTTCAAAGTTACGTTTTTCTCTACCCTATCGTTATGTGATTTAAATCGTTGAATTGTATTTCAGACGAAACGAGTAAAATCAATCCTAGTGACTACTCAGGTATCTAGCTTGTATTATGTATATAGGTATGCGCTTGAGACGACTAATCCAATTATTCTTTGGAAATATATTTTAATTTAATCTACAACAATGTTTGAAGATTAACCAAACGAGACTAATAAATAATAAATATTATATAGTATACTAAATTATAATATAATTTTATTTTTCCTGTTTTACCTAGACTGAAGCGTTTATGTTTTGTTTTTATTATATTTAATTATTGGCCATGACTATTGGTCACCATAACTTTGCGGGTTTGACACCACTAAATAATATAGCTTTTATTACATCTGTTATTATTAAATATTCGTGTTTTTTTAGATTATGACGACGGACAAGAGGGCACAGTGAGATCGATGATCAAGGACCGCGATAATTTGGAGCCGTGTGGCGATTTTCGGCCGGGAGAAGATGATTTGCAAATAACAGATTTCATTAGAAAATTCAGATTAGACACGGCCGAAGAAATTATGAAAAAAAGAATTACCAAAGTGCAAGGATCCAATAGGTTTCAAACTGCTTACAGAGTGGAAAAAGCGGCACAACTAGTTATGTCCACAAGGTGCAAAAATATACATGTTTTTACCGCTGACAATGATGATTGATGACTATTTTTTTTTATATGTTTGTTTCATATAATTAATCTGCATAAAGCAGCTAACCTGAAATGTAATTGAACAAAAATCACATCTGCCCAGGCAATTTAACTCTATAGCAATAAATCTAATAATACGCTTTCAAATGCTTAATAGGTTGAACATAAATTCGAAACAGTAACATGCACAGTATATGTATGTATTTATAACTCTGTACGTGTTCATAAAATACGTAAAAAACAATTCACGTCAATGTGTATTTAATAAGCTTTAAGTATAACATTTGGTTTGATCATTTGTATTCGTATGTGTAAATAATTATCCTTAACTATTACGCCAGCAATTCAATAACCCTTCACCGAACCATGCTCTTATTGATGAAACAAATGATATAAGATGTATAACTCGGTTTCACAAATTCATTAGAATAATTTCAATTTCAGTACTTTAGTACTGTACAATGTACATAATTACGAATACACATTTTATTTTAGGGAACTATTTCCCCTGGGCATCCCGCAGCAATTTTCTTTTATTGTCACCTACAACTCAAAACTGTTGATGGCTACGCATTGGCACGTACTCCGGATTACCGACTACCAAAATACGACTAGTATGCAAATAACCGTCAATAAGGCTACAAGAAACGTAGAGTTTTCGATTGTAAATTATGACGGATATCTACAAACTGTTACATTTGAAGCGAATAATGTAAGAATTAAGATTTGAAGCATTATTTATATTCATTAATTCGTTATCCATAATAGTGGTTGTGAATATACATTTTACAAACGTGTTTGTTTGTTAACAAAACTATTACCCACTAAGTACAAAAGATTAACGAGAATAAAATTGATTATTTTTAACATTTTGTGTAATCCTATTAGATTTTTGATAGCAATTGGCACAAGCTACATTTCGGTGTGTTCTACGAACGAGTAGTTCTGTACATAGATTGCAAACAAGTCGGAGTAAAAATTTTGGAACCCAGGGGTACGGTGGATATCTTTGGAAATACCGCCTTGGCGACGGTTACCGATTTCCAAGCGGCCCCAGTAAGTTTAAATTAATAGTATTAACTATTATGTTAAATGGCAACGCACATCTTTATTATACATACATGAGTATTTAATAATTACAGGTAGACTTGCAATGGGTTACCCTCAGTTGCGATCCGACCAAACCTCAGAGGGAAGGTTGTGCGGAACTTCATCAGGTAAGACAGAAATACAATTATTATGCATTAATAAATATGATGAAATATATTTTTAAAGATTTTGGAAGAATCTCAAACGCAGCCATCACTAAAACCTAGTAAATGCGCAGCCGCTCAAGAAAGCAGCAAATGCTCCAAAACATTACAAATTGTGGTAGGTCATCAAACACTTTGCAATATTTCAAATTAAAATAATATGTTTTCTACTGCTATTTTGACAAATACTATTCTATTGTTTGTTTAAAAAAAGGGACCACCGGGACCTCAAGGGACACCAGGAACACAAGGACCAACAGGCCCACAGGGGCCTCCTGGATTGCCGGGACCTGAAGTAATATTGTAAAATCCCTCACTATTTATAGTCTATATATATATTTTTAAAATGTATAAATATATTATTTTTTCAAATTAATACTTCTTTATAATGTACTCGCTATTGGTAATTTTCAAAATATTACTAAAATTCCTTTCGATATTACTATATTTAAATAACCCATGTTAGTTGACAAGTGTCATACAATAATTTATTTTATTTTATGTTACTTAAATGGTTTTTAGGGTCCACGAGGATATCAAGGTTTACCTGGTAGCCCAGGTATACCAGCATTACCTGGTCAACATGGCGAAAAGGGGGACCCGGTAATATACGACATGAATAATTCATTTTACAGTACAACATATTTTTAGTAATTTACGATGAAACGTATATTAATACACATTTCAGGGAGAACCTGGTGCCCCGGGTCAAAGAGGCGAAGCCGGACCTCCGGGAATTACAACTTATCTGCCGGGGCCACCAGAATACATAAGACCCGTGAGTATATAACTTTAAAAAATTATAAAAACATATTTTATACAATATTTAATCTGTGTACATAATATATCAGAATTTCAACCAGTCACACAGTCCCGAATTAAGCCATTTTCTCCGGAATTAACTTTAAGGAATAAAATAGCTATCAGGTTCTAACAAATACGAAAATTAACCTAATGGTAACAAAATACAATGTCAAATTTTAAGTTGGTTGAATACAAATAATTAAGGGGATTCGATACCGACCGTTTCTAAGGAGTTTTGTATAGGCAATCATTTTGTGCGAAACAACATTATAGTGTGCGTGCTGTTGTATTTCCGTGATCACACCACTCTTATAAGCGGCCATTAAATATAGCAATAAACAATCACACCACCCGCCGCGGTGACGGTCAAATTGTTTTTATTTTTATCGTGATGAAATGTTATCTACAAAATAATATTATTTTGACCGAAGAGATCCATGATGGCCGAGGTAATTTTGTGTGCTTGTATCAGACGCCATCGCTCGAGGGCGTCACATCACTTTTCGGCGCGGAAAACATGACTCAGGGGATGCAAGTTCCTGGTGAACTGAGCAGTTTAAGCGCATACTTACCTATGAACAAAATTAAAGATCACGAGTTTATCTAGGGATTCACATAGTTTTTTTCCAATAATGATACTAGAGACCAAGTTATAGATCATTGAATTTTTAATTTTGCATTTTTTACTTCAAAACCTTCTTGGTTTGACGCGGCACTGGTTAGGTGGGTCTTGCACTTTAGATAGTAGATGCACACACGAGAAAATACAGCGTGGCCCTAGACATGTGTACGTGACAAGGAGACCGCGTCAGGTGGGGCAATCTATCCTGTCCACAAGAATACTATCGATAAACGTCAAACCAAACGAAAATCACAAACCCTTTCCCTTAGAAAAAGTGGACATTTTTAAATATAATGTATATGTTTTTCGATGCGTACTCTAAATAAATATATGAACGCACGGCAGTGAGCCAGTCCGAGTTCCAGCAAGCATGCCAACGTATCTTTACATTAACCAATTACCAATTCTTTAGATTTTTCTCACCCCCATATCTCTGCTTCTTCTTAAGATGGGCTATTCAAATTTGAATCATATATTAAGCTTATGTAGCGTAGAACAGTGTAAACAATTAAGGCTTTCATATTAAGCCTTTTCAAAAAAGGGAGAATTTATTATTTAAATGTTTACATTTTTGTTACTGGCTGACTCATTCACTCATTATCAAAATTTTAAGGCACTTCCAGTATCAGTAGAAATGTGAAATTTGGCACAAAGGTAATTATTATAGTATTTTTTAAAGGGAAGAATCTGAAAATTTCCATTTTCTCGAAATAAGTGCCGCTTAAATGAGGGTAGTTCTAAATGTGTGAAGTGGCGCAGTCCAGTAAGCGTATTTTAGGACGAGTGGTAACGGGGTGTCAAGTGTCCCCGTTACAATATTAATAATATCAGTAAAAAATAGATTATGACCTAAATATCATTAATGTTTTATAGGGAACTTTTGGCGGTGTTAAAGGAGAGCGAGGTGACCAAGGATTACCAGGACTACCCGTATGTAGTTTAAACAAAAATATTTACCAATTTTAGTATTCATTTAAGGTTCAAGCCAACCGTTTGTACATTAGATTTCTTTAGACGAGCTTTCTCACAATTAACAATAATTATTTAATATATTTAGGGTAAAAGTTTTTCAGAAATCGAGATTAAAGATATTTGTCTAGTGGTACTCAAAGGTAAAGTAACAAAAACAGCTTAATAACATATAAATTAATGGATTTTTATTATTTCCTTAGAACAACTTTCAGAACTTACTACCACTTTAGTAGGTCCACCCGGACCTCCTGGTCGATCGATTATAGGAAAACCTGGACCACCTGGTGTGCAGGGTTCTCCAGGTAAATACAATTTGAAATTACTCATAATTATTAACTCTCAATTGTTTTCTTATAGGTGAACCAGGACCACCTGGTTTAGGAATACCTGGGGAACGTGGTTTTCCAGGGTCTCCAGGTCTACAGGGCTCAGCAGGTAAGTAAATAATACAAAACTACATTCACACGTTTAAGTATGATGAGTAAAAGATGAAATGCAGGTCCCGAAGGTCCAGCAGGACAGAAAGGCGATAAAGGTGATAGAGGGACGGAAGCTGTTGCTTATGAAGGACCACCCGGGCCACCTGGACAACCAGGTAAGTTTTTAATTTATTGGAAAATAATAAAGTATTTTGCATGTGATGAACAAATACATTTTGACAATTTTTAGGGCCTACTGGGTCACACGGCAGGCCAGGCGATAGAGGAGAACCCGGAAGACCAGGTATGCAGTGTTTGAAAAAATATATTTAACAAAATTATTAGTGTTTGGTGTTTAAAAAGAACACTTTATTTAGGTCCAGTGGGTCCAAGAGGTTACCCAGGAACTCAAGGTTCACCAGGATATTGTGAAATGTGTAATAATGTATATTATGCAGCAAGACCTCTCCCAGCTGGAAATTTCAAAGGGCCTTAAATGTTTTTATTTTACGTTTTGTGAATTCCTACTTATCAATAAACCCAATACATTTATGTAGTTAAAAAAAACGTTGTACTACCAAGACTCTTAAACTTATTGAGAAACACTTTATACAACAAAATTATAATTTATTATTATATCATGTTAATTTAAAATAAAATACATACAAACTATATACAGTTAATCTCTTAAGATTTGGTTTTGATGAATCATTTGATTCTTGTACTCACATTAAAAACGATACTTAAATTCTGTGATAAGTTACTACCACATTACAACTGATAGTTTAACAAAAGCACACATTATTATTTAACCAACACATTATATTATTAGCTTCTATAACTTTATTTAGGCTAATAGTTTAATTTCTTAACACGTGAGCTAGAAAATATAAATCTCTAAAAAAAAAATTAAATATAAAAACAAATGATTGAATTTATTTACACAATTACATTGCTTTCAAAAATAAATTAACATTTCAATTAGTTTTTATTTATTGAAATGAGTACGTCGAAATTGAGGTTAACGAAAATCTGTTATTATTAGCAGTAACGGATTTACAGTTTACACATAAATAGGTTCTGAATATAGCCTTGCAAATGAAATGCACAGGTACGTTTATTATTAATTAATAAACTTTAGTATAGCACTCCAAACGTTTAACTGAGTTAGTTAAGTTAATCCAAACATTTTTCAGACTAAAATAACACTTGAATAAATGAATTAGGTATGGCAGCAACCTTTTTAAATGGTATACAAAAATATTGACCATTCAAGATTAACTAACCCAATTTAAACAGAACAATTATATAGCACTCTTGTAAATCCGCTACTATGCCACAATTAATGCATGATTATTATATCCAACTAACACATTAACATAAGAAGTTAATCAAATTAGCAACATTCTATAAAATTTTGAAAGTTTAAGTCCAAAATTAAATTATAAATTTACAGCTAAACGGCGTTTGTAAATTGTATATAAAATATATATGTATATAAAGTACTATGATCCATAAAATAAAAATAAAAAATACGGTAAGTACCATTTAAAACATATAAAATTGTTTTAAAATCAAGCATAATTGTAAATAATTAGAACAGCGGTTTTAATCAAACACAAACAATTTCACACATAGGACAAAAGTTTATCACCATCAAACCTTTAAACTATCACACGAAATATATATATATTTTTTTAATAATATGTACGCAAAGATTCAGTTGTAGATTTTGATAGCTTTTTCTAAATAATTTAAACGTGTGCGTTTAGTCTTATTTGGGTGTTCCATTCCTAACCATGGTCGTTGGCCTTGTCCTTGGGCTGAAAGTTAGATAATAATAAATAAAAATAAATGAAAGTTAATTATATATTAACAAATAAAATTATACAATAGAATTGTTAACTTCAAAAAAGTTTTAGGTAGCCTATACATACTAAATACCATACTTTATTTAACTATAAGGTTGCAAAACCAATGAGGGCGAAAATTAAAGTACCATTTCAAATGTCTTCCAATATCATTACGACATTGAGTCTTGAGAAGTTATTTGGCTAAAATCTGTTTTTATAACTTTTTTTTTTTTAAAAAAACCCTAATGGAAGAGTTTAAATATATCTGTCTATGCACTATGAACAGAATTTAAACATCATCAATTGACATTTATACTGTACCCTATCCTGTTATTGTGTACTACCATTATTTTATATAGAATACTGTGAAAACACTATCACGTATAGTTTTATCAAGACTTACTGCAAAAAAAAAAGTGTATGTGTAAACGTGTAAAATATGAAATTATACTTTAGGAAGTGTAATTTGTTAGTAAATACTATGTCGAAAATTGACAACAAAATCTGTCATTCATTGCTTTCTTGTTGAGTATTTGAAAACATCAACATTTTTCATTTGTTTCAAATTTCTATTTAGAAATTTGATTACCCTTATTTCTAGTGTAAAACCTGAATAAGAAGGATTCATTTTACTCAGCTCATAATGGTTTTAAAGTTAAGAGGACGTTATAACCTTTAAAAAATAATCGTAAAAAACGTGTTTACGGTAAAGCGTGTAGGTACCGTTAAAAAAAATTGTCTACGATTGTTATTTAGTTGATAAGAGAGAACATGTGTAGCCAGTTTAGATGAATTTTTTTTTTTTTAAATCGCTGTCAAGGATGCTGTGGACATTTCGAAAAATAAATAAACTATCAAAAAAAGAGTCAAGATTACTTAACTAATAATTAAACATCACAGTTTAGCTTTTAAATTACGATTTTACAAAAAATTGCCAATACCTAACACCTTAATAAATAGGGGGTATAACGTCATCTTAAAACATCCATGACGAAAATGAAAGAAAACAACATTATCAATTAACATTTATAAAGGAAATGGCATTTCCTTTTTTCAAAATATTTCTTAGAAAAATAGTTATCACTCTGAGAATTAATATGGGTACACTGCAAAGCAATATTATGTGTATCATTATTATATTCTTTTTTAACATCAAGTATCAAGCAAATAATATACAATGAAGAAAGAATACGTCACTGTCTCTAATATTGTATCATTTTTATCAATTTCAAAATAAGTGTTTTTGTTTTAAAACCACTACTGAGCAAAACACATTTGTGTAGTTATGTTTAAATAAGAAATACATTTAAAATTGCTGCCAAGGATGCTGTGACAGTCAGAAAAAAAGCTATAAATTAAGATTTTGCAAAAAATTGCATAAACCAAACTCATTAATAAATAGTAGGTGAAAATCCTATTAATATTGCAATTTTGCAACACTTAAAGATAGTGACATCAATAGTTTTTAAAATAAATCTGGAGTTTAATTTTTGTAAAGTCCCACCTTCACCTTACCTATTTAAATAAATAAAAACAAATATACAATAAACAACTTACATGCTGGAGAAACTTTGAAATCTTGTAGGTTCATTATATGAGTATCACTTATAAAATTTGCTCTTACTCCTTGACAAATTGCAAATTTGTACTAAAGAAAAAATAAATTGTAAAAATAATATATCTTTATATTGTGTACTATAATAGTAAACTATTTACTTTTTCCAATTCTTTATCTGGAATACCAGTCTTGATAGCAATTCGTTCTTTTACACTAGCTAATGTTTCTTCCTATAACATAAACATATTTTTTATACTTAAAAAAATATAATTGTTATTTTATTTTGTTTACATACGTGTACAATTTTTATTAGAAAAGGTGTACCAAAAGTAGAATATACTTCTTTTGCAAAATGATTAACAGGAACTAATAATTCATTTTCATTTATCTCCAATTCATCTTTAGGTATTTCTTCTACCCTATAAGTAATACAGTTTTTTTTCATTGTTACAAGTTCATATATTAATATTATTTCTTTTAAGTTATTCAGAAGTTTTACATTAATATTAAGCAATTACCTGTAATATTTTGCTGGGAAAACAGTACTTATATCTGGCATACGTACTCCAGGATTAAACCACTTACTAATTTTAGCAGACATAATCTCTAATGTTCTGAAAATTTAAGATGAATTTTAGTTTTTTTAAATTTATACATTATATAATGAAATTAGTTGTCAATTATATACCTAAACTGTCCGGAGCCATCAGGCGACAACTCGACACTGCCATGTAAAACTTCATAAAAATGTGCACACGAATTATCATTTTTATTTAAATACAAAATGATTTCCCTTTCATCTTTCAACTTTGGGCCACACCATATGATCTATAGACAAATTTTTTTTTTATAATAATATAAATATAATTTCTTACTTCACTTGTAAAATGTATTATTACTTTAACAGGTCTTTTGCTTTCTAGTTCATCAACTGGCATGTGCATTTCTTGATAGAAGAACTTTTTAGGATACCGTTTCCCACTGTTATTCGATATGAGCTCTCTAATAGGTCCTTGATATGAATTTTTAATTGGTTCACCAGGACATTCTTTTTGACCACTAAAAAGTAAGGTTTCATGAGGCTATTGTATGTAGGATTAGAACAAAAAAATACATTATACAATTTTATTTAAAAATAATTAATTTCGACCACACTCACACGCGCGTATAAAAAATAGATGTAAGATAATAATATCAAAAGTTTATTTTTTTTCAAAATGGCCAATTTGGTACCATAAATTTTGTTTTTAAGAAAGTTATGTTATATTTCTGAGTTGAAAAAATATACATTTTTAGGGTGTTTTTTGAATGTGAAGTATTCTTTCCCATCAAATGTAACTTTTTATTGTAAGTCTTTAAAAGTGAACAAATTGATCCGGTGGATAAAAAGTTATCAAGAACCCATGTAAAAAAATTATCAACATATTAAACCAAAAACTCTGTTCCAAAACGAAGCAAAAAAAATTGACAAAGAATTTCCTCAAAAACGAATTTTAACTTTTGATAGAAATGTAATCACAATAAAACTAATAGGAAATAAGTTGCCAGGATAACAAACCAAAAAAAAAAATTCAGTTAATATATAGGTCAGAACCTATATATTAAGTACATATGTTTCACATAGCTTTAATTAGATATAGCTTTTGTAACATTTTGGAAATTCTTAAGAAAAAATGTTTAAATAGATAATTGTATCACGTTAAATAGTTATTTGTAGGGATTATCTATTATTTAATAAATACTTTCCCAATATTATATTTTTAAACCATTATACAAGTACCCTAAGACATAAATACCAGGATTATCCATGTAAATTAATTTATGCACTGATTTCACATAAATGTCAATTTAATATACCTATTCTATAAGTTAGAATGTATTTACTTTTTTTTGATAAAGTAGTCAAAAATTCTAATTTTTAAAAATAAATGCTCAACTAAAATAATGTTACGGTACAATGCGGTGGGTGGAGGATCACACCCACGACTGTCCGCCTTCTAAGGCTAAATTAAGGGACCCTAGCCAGGACAGGAAGCTACCCTGTATCTGCCCTAAAATATCCCTAGAGACTCTTTGTAAATTTATATAACCGCCCAAAAGAGCAAAAGGGCCGGTCGTACCTTTAAGTAAATAAACTTAACTCTCAAGTAGCAACGTACAATATTATATATTTTAAAAGGCTTAACGCCGGTTAAGAATTAGTTATTGATTAAAATATTAAAATGACTGAAACAATATGTATAAATATATATTTAAAGGTATACACCTGTTACCTGGTCCGTGGGAATCCGGAGTTAGAACAGGTGGAGTGACACGCACAAAAATATAAATAAGATGCCAAATAATTAAGTAATTATAAAATACGATATTAGCGTGTAGATGGTAAGATGTCAACTGATTAGTATATAGGTGGATGCGAATACTGTCACCTAGCGCGAGTCGCGTCACTTCCCCTCCTCTAGCTATCATATATTTCTATTTGCATTATGCGCCCAGACCAGGGTGCTGTATGACATATTAGACCTCCCAGGTTTGGTTTGGAAGTAACGATAACCACCAGCCATGAACAATACTATTATTACTAATAATATGTCAGGCAAATGCCATCGTTACAGCAAGTGGTTTATTTATTTTTTTAAATACTTTAAGCCACTTTTAGTGTCATTTCTGCCCACTATGCTTCAACCCATTTTACTTAAATAGCATACCCCTATTGACCCGAAATTGTATGCAATTGGTGCTTTTGGTGGATTAAAGTTGCGAAAGTCAACTCCACCTCCCAAAACCGGAAGAAATAGAAAAGAAATGTTGCCGGCTTTTTAACCTTTCATTGTGCTGTAATTGCAGAACAAAATGTTGGATCGAGATGAAATTTTATAGAGCATGTAAAAAAATTGAAATATGAAACCAAATTCAAAATCAGCAATCCAAAAAAACATATTATTTGATCTCTTTTTTAATACTTAATAATTGTCTAAATATTGGGTACACCAGGTTTGTTTAACAAAAACATTAAATGTCTGTTGGTTGTATCAGCTTCCCGTATGACTTGTGACATAATTTTGTTTTAATAATAATATTGTAAAGTAAACTAAGTGTAGTATCTTTTAATTTACAATTTATTAAATATAAAGTATTACCTAATACTGAAATAAAGTTGTAGTTTTCGTTGATCAACTGATACCCTTTCAGCAACTTCTTGTAGCATATCATGATAATTCATATACATTGACATCCCAATTGTAAAACCTGGATCCCCAGGAATTAATTTATCACAAAATGTTATATAAACTTGGGCGCTAACATTCCTGAAAATAAAAATTATTATGATGGATTATGTAAAGAAAAAAAATTAATTTTATAACAACTTACTTAAAATGGTCGATTACAGAGGGATAATTTCTTAAACATTCTTCTTTTTGATATATTAATATTTCACCATATAAATTAGGCATGAACTAAAAAGAAATAAAATTTGGAGTAGAGTACATTTTTTTAAGTCATAATATACATTACATCACTAATTGAATCTTCTAGCCTAGCTATTCTTTCTACTTCTCCTTTATTGACTTCCTTATAAAGTGCAAGCTTTGTTTCTTCTTCAAACCCAGCTCGCTTGTTCATGATATTAATAAGTGAGTCTAGAACATATACATTAATAAGTTTATAAATAAAATACTAATACAATGTCTATAAATAAAAAATACCTAATGGTGATTCATAACTGATAAAGTAATATCCGCAATACACCAAAAGTCGTTCTTCGGGTATAAATAGCTTCAAGAAAACAAGAAGCTGGCTATTTTTATCGTAAGGCGCTAATGAATTGACACTAGGTTCAACTAGTTCTAGCCATATATTCCACGTAGATCCTGTACCTTCCTGTATATCTTGAATTGTTTTAGTGCCGTTCTCTTCAGGATCAAGGTACATTGGTCGTAGAGAGTCAAATTTACTAGTAGTTAGTGGCCAAATTCTAATTTGGTTTGTTTGATATTTCTATAAATATGAAAAGAAAAATTTGTTTTTTAAATGTATACCAATTTATTAATTATTTATGTTAATACTTTGAGTAACTTACAAATGTTTCTGCCATGAGTGTTTGAATTTCATCTAAAGTACTAGATTTCTTCACTTTAACCGTTCTGAAAGTGGGTTGTTCTAAATCAAATAAATCTACTCCCAAGTAACTATCGAAACACTCCTCCAAGAATACTTGAATATTAGTGTATATGTGCAAATCGTTACGCTCTTTTCGCCGTATTGATTCAATTCGTTTTTCATCTTGCAATCGTTCTACCAACTAAACACATACGAAATCATCAACATAATACCCTTAATATGTTATAGTACATAATATATCGTAAGTCTAAATGTCTTGAAGACTAAATATATTAATTATTATATCTGATTAAGGAGTTTATTTTTTACACTGATACGTAACAATTTTAACTTATAATTTTTCTTATTTTTTTTTGTCACTTATTTTATTTTTTTATTTAATTAATAACTTAACCTTCCAGCGGGCATGCTATTTGCAAAAACGTTAGTGGTTGTGCGTTGTATAATTTATAACAGTATGTAGTGATCAATCACTCCCATGAAAACCAACATGCAAGAATACAATTATAATTGCATGAAAGTCACGACGTTCAAAATCAAACAACGATAAAGAAGAAGAGATGTAGTGATAATTGTCACCCGATTAATTTGTATTAAATATTGATGCATTTACTGTACCTTAATACTTTTTTTAATAATAGGCTGTAATAAAATAATAGCAATATACATGCACTAAACATATTAATAAGTACAAATATGTTGTGTTATTTTTAAAAGCGCGGCCGCTGGAAGGTTAACACAAATTTAAAATTATATACATTGAAATGTAGTATTTAAATTATTAACTTTAATTACATTTTAGTCTTGTTCACTAACCTCTTTTGGTATATCACTGATTGTCACTTCTTGCAAGACATTTTTTAATTCAGAATCTCGTATATACACCAACATATAAGCATTCGTACATTGTTTAATAGGCATAATATTTTCATCACCATCGTGCCCACCAAAATTATGTTCAATAGCTTCTTCTTTGGGACAGCGTGATACTACATCATCATCAAATTTACACCACTGAAGAAAATTTTTTTTATATTTTAACATCGAGCATTTCAATACATTATTAATAATTAAATTAATACTTTGCCATCTCCTTTAGGATTTATGAAAACAACATAATGTCCACCATGGTTGTCCCCACTATGAACTAGAACAGCGTGTAGTATATAATCAGCTGGTGTATCCTCTTTAGTTTTCAAATATTCATCCAAATTAATTTTATCATAAAACTCAAATCTAGAAGAAAATAAAATGTATTTTAGTTTTAAAGTTGTATTTTGTGAGCTGCAGTATGAAACTTACCGATCATTGAATTTTACAGAACTATCAGTAACCGGATCATATTGAAATCGCATCAAATGCAAATAAAATACTGGAGGAAAAGACGCAAATATAACACCTTTCTCAGCATCTTGTAAACCATATTCTCCAGCATCATATCTATTATCACCATCTAATATTTCAACTTGGATATAATCTTGAAAAGATTCATAAACTAAAAATAATAATAAATAAATAAAATAATGTTTAGATGTAAAAACTAGCAATTTATTTTAAGTAAACAATTGAACAGCCGACTTACTGTTTTTCTTTCCTTTAATATTTAGCTGGATGTCATAAAAGGTTTCAGTTCTTTTTGAAGTGTAATCCACATTTTTGCAATTTATATAAGACTAACACAAAATAAATTTAATATTTAATAATATTTTGATGAGAATAATTATAATAAGTACAAATATATGTATTTACTTACTATCATTTTACCCTCGAATAGTTTTGGAATAGTTCCTTCAACACACGTACCTTTCATTTTATTTTCCAATTTGTCTAACAACTTAAAAAGTAGAAAATATTAAAACATAAGAATATTAGCTAAATTATGTGTTGTTACATACAACTCTCAAAAATTCTTGAACATCATGTTGCATAAAGGAATCAAGTGTCTCCCATCCAAAACTTTTGGTTAATTTTTTTGTTCCAACAGGCTTGTCTAAAAATTGGAGTTCATAAAACACTCGTTGTAAAGCAAGTGCAACACTTTTATTGCTATCATCACTTTCAGTAGGCATTTTATAAACAGCCTATAATAGTTCAAATTATTATAAAACCTATACATAATCTCTTTAGACACTGAAAAGCTACTTACTTTGCGAAGTTGATTTGTAAAATATAATGCTTGTAACAAAGAATTCATGTAACACGTAGCACCTTGATTCTTAAGCCCTACATAACCAGTATGTTTTTTGGAATCCCAACTAACACCGTGTGGTGCATCAGCGGATACAAAAACCTGTAAATCGATCCGAATAATTAAAAATATCTTTTAAAGCAAATACAGTGGGGATAGGGCATAGTGAAGTTTGATGCAAATAAGTAGATAGTATAAATGTTAAACATCAATAAAAATCATTATAACGGCAATAATGTGCTTAAAATTGTTTTTTTTTAGTATTAGAGTGGTTACATTATTATGATTGTTGGTGTATAATAATAATTATTACAATTTATGGATGTTATCACCCATTAATTTTAATTAACAATATCATGAAAATATTATTATTATTATTATTTTGGTTTGTCAACATAAATCCATAGTAAATTATTTAAAGAATATTTTATATAAATTTGGGACTAATTTGAATATTTATAAAAAAGTTACAGCACATCATAATTTTAAGAGTTGAAAAACATGTAAATCTATTTTTCACGAGTTTGAAGGAGAAGGTGAACCTTTGAAATTTTTGGCCTAATAAAATACCTTTCAGGTACAACTTCTGATCTATAGATGTCCTACATAAAGAAATCGGTTCAGTGGTTCAGGAGGTACTGTTGGGTCCAGACAAAAATAAAATAAAACGATACTTTCTCAGCTAAGCATTGAAACTAAAAATAATGATTTAATAGTTCTTGAAAATTATTTTAAGATTAAAATGAAAAAAAAAAAAACTGATTTTCAATATATTAATAAGTTGTATTCTTTATATAAATGTTAAGTAATATGGCAGTTATGGAAATTTCAATTTAGCATTTCAACTTGGATTTTCATTTACCTCAAATATAACTGTATCATTTTTAATAAATCCTTTGGATTCATCAGTAATATCTTCCCACGACATGAAGAAACTAAATCCCCAATCATTTTCTTTTGGATAAAATAAATGTTGAATTTTCCTTTCTATGTTTGTAGTACCTTCTTTTTGGGATATCACTCGAAGTTCAGCAGTTGCATTTACACTCCAAGAGTTATTATCAGAATCACCATTACACTAATAAAAAATAAATTATTACCATAATTGCAAAATCAAGTTTAAAAAATCTTAAATATTTAACAAACAAATCATACCTGAAGAAAGAAACCAACAGACGGTTGATTAGGTTTGGCTGAACGGTTATCTTGGCCCAATCTATGCATTATCATAATTTTCCAAGGAAGATCACGAACATAACAAGGTGCAGAAAGTCTTTGTTCTTTTGATTTGCTAAAGTTTTCAACAACATAGCGAAAAGTAGCTTCTGATCGAGCATTATCTAGAAAAAAATAAAAAAACAATATATATTATAATAAAAAAGGAAAAGAATTATGTTTGTACGTTTGGTACCGCAAAGTTTGCTAAAATTGAGTTAAAACAATTATTACACATGTACACTCATAACCTTATATTCTTTACACATATTACATTAATCATATTTATTAAAAATGAATAACTAGAAGACTGGCCTTTTTACGCGTAAAGCACAGATATAATTCAACTGAATTTAATAATAAATGCTACCACAAATTAATTCACCTTCATCCATTTCTACATCTGTTATAGTAGGTGGCTCTGGTTCTGGAGGGTCTACATCATTGATAATTGAAACGTCATGTGGATCGTCCATCATCAATGGAGATATATCATTGTTGAATCCTAAAACAAATTATAAAATTATTAGAACATTTTTATTATTGTTATAACATAATAATTTTTATAGATTTTTCAATTGAATGTTGAGATTTTAAACTGATTTAAAACCAACTTTGGTGGCTTAGACAAATAAGTGAACAAAATTATAATAACAAATTATCACAAAATAATGTATACATCTACATTACTATTAATAGAAACCTGGTAACATGAGCCTAAAAGGATCAATGTTACCTTATTCTTAGAAAATAATTGTTGCACACTATTCATGTAAATTAAAACACCTGTTATCCTATTGTGGAAAAAAATTGATGGTTAGTTTTGTAAAAAATGTAATACAAGAACCATTTTACAAAAAAAAACTTTAAACCTCATTTACCAACTTTTACAAATATAAGTAGGTACATTCAGTAAGTTTTAATAATGAAATAAATCTTCACAGGACTATGAAAGAGTACATGATCTTAGGAAAATAGGTTAAAAAAATAAGTGATAAAAACTACATAAAATAACCTCTTTTGAAGGTTGAAAAACGTTCTTCAAGTGTAGGGCAGGTGTAGAGGCTGTATTATTTTTTTAAATTGATTTTTATTAAAAAATAAAAAAATTAAACTGTATATTATGTTACCTATACGATAATGTTTAAATCATTTTTAGCTTTTTAAACAGGTCAAAGAAGTGATAATGCATAAAAAAAGAGTAGTGGTCATTTCAGAAAAATGTAGTTAGGCTTATTTTTATGATAGGTTATCTACTATTTTAGAACCTAACGAGATAAAACAACTACAAAATAAAACAACTTGTTTTTGACACAAAAAATATATGAAATTAATTCAGTCGAATATTTTAATGAAATATATTAATACAATACAGACACAAACACACGAGTGTTACGTTTCATTAAAAATGATTAAAAAATAATAACCGTCACAGGAAAACTTACCTTCGGTTGTATCCATTTCTTCCGGTACGTCATTTTGACTGTCCCGTTCAACCATGTGGTTCATAATATTCTGGACAGGAATCGATTTAGGAGTTTTGTTCTTTTTCCGTTTGCCGAACCCGAGGGCACGTTTATGTTCCGAATACTCGTCGTCACCGGCGACCAAAACGAACTTGACTGGCTTGCTCAGTGTACGCCCAATTTTTTTTCTGCGACTGTCTAATGAGAACGACACGTGCGCCCTGTATACACCACAATCGACGAAACGGCGCAACGGTGTTTAAGCCGACGTGTTAACACCATTCAAAAATTGTTTTTTTTTTTAAAAATCACTGTTCAGACGTTCGAATTTTACGTCATTAACGACAGCGCACGTTCTTCACGTTTGACGGAGTATCGTCACAGAAACGGAATAACAAACAAGATGGCCGTACTTGAATATTATCCCCGCGTACTACATCATGCCGGTCACAGTCACATGGATGCCGTAACGGAAACGGGCAGTGTGCCCCAAACTGGTGACTTGAAAGCAAAAAAGCTATATAGTTTGCAATAATAACCTACGTGAGAAATAGCGGAAACACGTACAACTTGACAAGTTACACGAGCAGCTGTTCCCAGTCTATACTCAATAATACTCATTAGCCGTTACTTCAATAATACTTATCGTATCATTACTGTATGTGAATGCATGACTAAATAAATAATTTATAATAGAAATAGTCATGACTGTATGTATACTAATCTATGCATTACTCTATTACAAATTGAATTTGCTGTTAGAGAGTCAGGAGACTAGATTATAAAAATAATGATTGTATTTGTTCAAACTTGGAACTATTAGTACCTATGACCGATAACGACATGGCTTATGGCTAGTGTTTTAATTATATTATATTATGATTATTCTTGTGTTGTGTACTATAGTACACAGAAACTCATTATCATTATAACATTTTCTTTATACTACTTCATTATTTTAAGTTATCGGCAATTGACTTACGAGAGGGAGTAATTTATTAATATTATTATTAAAACAGTTCAATATATTGAGTTAATACGAAACATTCCCCAGACTAGACCAATATTTGTATTTAGTCTTTGTACCACTTTTAATTTCTAATTAATAATATTCTAGTTTTATGAAATTGATTTGGCCATTACAATATATGATATATACATATATGTATTCTAGTTTTATTAAATTGATTTGGCCATTACAATATATGATATATACATATATGTATTTTAATTTTAAAATGGTTTTCTTACCATCATTGGATTGCATAAAAAAGAACTTCTGTGATAGAAATTGAAAAGACCCCTTAGTAAATGACAAGCGTCATATAATTTATAGATACTCGATGGTATTTTCTATTAAATTAATATTTTATAATATAATAATTATTTAAACAAGTTATAACCAACCGTTTTCGCACACGTAACAACTTAAGAGTTAATAATAATAAACGCGAATTATAAATACTACTATAATAGGTACATTGTACAGCATATAAACAACATTTACCGCGATGAATCATGAATATATTTTGATATCTTACCATCACTAACTCACTATGCCGGTTAATTTGTATGTACCAGTAATTGAATTTAAAAATGAATTTTATTATAAATTACATGTATAATTTCATTTATATTTAAAAACAAAGAATGCAGTTTTAAATAATAAATACATTTTATTTGGTGTGGTTATTAATGAACAATAAATAATACTCAACTACACAATAGTGTTAACAAACCAAATCTTTTGTTTTTTGTAAAGTTAAATGTTGCCTAAATAAATAATTATAACTTATAAAATACCATTAATGCATGTAAACCATAATATAGTTATTATGGTTTAAATACTACATACTTAAATATTAAAAGATGAATAATTATAAGTGGTAAAGATAATAAAGAGTAAAAAAGTAAACAAATTTGTTGGCTTGTACAATAAAATAGCAAACTAAATTAGATATCATTTTGCAGATGTAAAATACTATTTTATATTATGATAATTATAATATTATAACTTAGAAGTATCCAAGTTCTTATAAAGACATAGATCATCGGTAGTAAACATTTTATGTAGTGTACTCTATATTTAAAATAAACTTTTTTTAAGAACTAGTCTAATGAAAATTATGAAGTATTCTGATTGTATAAATTGTTCTTCGCCAACTCTTATACTAGTTTAGGAGTTATTGGATTGTGACTAGTAGATATCGTCATAAAAATAATTTAGATGAAAAGGGTTGGTGCAATTTTTAATCTAATATAATTTGTTTAGTTTTAGCCTGTTCTATTACATTACTATAATAGCACCATTTATTAAACAATTTTAAATAAAACCTATTTTCAATGACATACTTATATTTATTCCTATTTAAATAGGATGTATATTTTCCCAATAGTTTAACAATAATAAATCATTTATATAACAATACAAAAAAACTATTAATTATATTTTTATTTGATTTATTTTATAACAAAGTTCTTATAAATTTGAATACATTTTTTTAAGGATAAATCTGTGAAAATTGATTTACCATGTATCACCTCTAATATTTGCTGTAGTTATTCTATTTACAGACTTTTTACTAATAGTGGGAGCAGCGTAGGTTAGCCATTGTGTAATGTAGTTAAGGCTATCACAGTAGCATTAATGTAATTATGGCCGTGATTAATGTTTGTTTACATAATAATGTATAATATTTATAACATCAATTGTATCCCAATTTTGATTAAAAAAATAAATGAGTTATGATTGTATATTATTCTTATTATTTTCAATTAATTTTGTATTAAATGTAAAATCTATCTAAACAATAATAAATTTAATTTAAATTGATGTATTTTCTTCAAACTAGAATTCTAATGCACAATTGCAAATGTTCATACTTCCGTAATAATTAATAATAATAAATAATTTTAAACAGAATATAAATAAGAAAGAATTTTTTTTTTTTTAAGAATAATCAATTATAATTAAATTAACATGGATTAGTATTACAAGACAGTATTATAAATGTTTTATGGTTGACTAGACAAAATTTCTTTGGTTATAAATTGTAATAAAATAACAAGAAAATGTACCATAGAATGGTCACCAAGTAATAACAAATTATTAAAATGACTAATGTATGCAGTCTATAATGTAAAAATACCTTCTCAGCTCCACATCAGAACTGAAATCTTATTTATATTATTTTACTTTGCTAAATATAATTGTTATTAGATATTATTGTTTAGATTATTTTGATCCCGATTAAGTTTAAATAATAATATTACATGTTTAGTAGCATATTTACAAAAGGAGAAGATTTGGAGGATAGATTACAGACATTACTAAAATTTCGAGACTACAAGACGTCTATTGCAACGACATCATTTTTCTCACTTATACATGCTATACTAGGAGTAACGTCCGAACACATTTCTCTTAATGGATATTAGTAGTACACATTGTAAAAATAAATAAATACATTGTTAAATTACACAATGCCAGAAAAAACATCTAAAAATATAATTGCAAACCAAAAGAATTTGTGGATAATTGGGGTAATATTTAAAGAGTAATTTTAACAAAAAAAGTAATGTACATAGACAGCAATAATCTTCACCACCTAAGATCTGTACGGGTTGAATTTTTTTCATTCCTGATAAAATTTCTAATTATGCCACATTACAATATATATATACTTTGTTACTGTTAAGCTATTTTGTTAAAAAATTGAACTATTATTGCAAACTACATACAGTGGACGTACCCACTCGTTTATCCATACTAACTGCTCTTCTTTTTATTGCTTCTAAGTATACTTCACGATTGAAAAGTCCCGCAGCTAATGGCATACTGGAAATAAATGTAATTAATAACTGAAGTTTTATTTTGTTTTAATTCCTTACGTGTCAATGCCTGGTCTTATTGTACATTTGTATAAGCCCCAAACGGGTTTATGATCAGATGAACAAACTGATGGTACTGAACAATAAGTCAAACATTCAATACTTGATGTCATGTATTGAGATCCTGTAAATAGTATAATAGTTATTTTAATATATATATTTATTGCTTAACTAGTTTATCGAACATTGGTCAATCCAAAAATCTAAAAGCATTAAAAAGTTTTAAGTTCAAACTTATTCTGTTTCCTCTTGCTTTATGGTTAAAAAATGTATTTTTTAATTTTTTTTTTTAGTTATGAAGTTGGTTACTTTGAGGTAAAAAATAAAACAAATAGTACCTATGTAATGCATGATCAAAATGAATACATAGTATTATATTATATATTTAACCTGTAGTACTAGGCAAAATCTGTTGTTTTCCACATTTATAAAGTATTCTATCTGTATACGAAGGAGTTCGTTGTTTGGCAGATGTATCAAATATTTCAGTACCGGGATCATACTTGTACGTAGGCGCAAATGTCAATGGACCTTCTTGAAATCCACGAAATATTAAACCTAAAAAAATGAAAAATGTGTTATAGTTATTATTTTAAATTTTAGGATGTTCTACATTATTTTAGCATAGAAATATTTAAGTTTTAATAACTGAAACATAAGCAAAATGGTTAATAGTTTTGTTATAAACCTATAAAATTTATAATAACATTGATAATTGATAATTTATTTAACTTGCCACTTTTTATACAATCAGTAAGTTGGTCAGAAAGCGATTGATGTATTGGAGAATCTAATGGGTATCTATGTTGGGTAACCCATTTTATAACATCATGTCGTGGGTGAGCAAGACGAAAGTTTAAATCTCCACTCCAAAATACATATTCAAAGTTGTTAGTAACATCTGGAATAGAAAACAGCATATTAAAAAATGATTTAATAAATATTTAGAGTTAAATTGTTTTAGTCTACCTTTAGTTTTATTTTTGATAGGCAATAACTTGGGAAGGTCAAGAGATTTAACTATTCTACGTATGTCCTGTAAACGCTCTTTGACTTTTTCTACGTGAGCAGTTAAATGTGATGTTATAAATAGCATTGATGATCCAAATAAAGAAAATGAAATTGCAACAGCTCCTTTTGTTCTGAATGCTGTTCCAGGACGAGTACTAAAACTAGATTCTTCTGGTACTAATATTAATTTTAGAAATACAAAAACTTTAATGACAAACAATTGATGAAAAAATATAAAGTTTAATAAAACATACCCGAACAAAACCATAGTAAATCTCGTCGAATATATATAGCTAAATGTAATGTACCCAAAGAAGCAGAATGGAAAAGAATATGCGAAGGACCAATTGTTTCTTGAATGCTTACTTCCCATTCAAATTTATCATGGTAACTTTCTTGTGTTCCAATAGCAAGTATATCTGGAAGATGGGGTACTGTGTTGGGCAAGAGAAGTTCATTTAGCTCTAGTGGTGGAGCCTAAACAATAATATAGTAATTAAATATTGAATACTATAAAGCTTTTAACAGCTCACTTTCATTAGTTATTTTACCTGCCCATTCATGTTCCAAGTACCTACATATACACGTACTTCTCTATTATGTAATACACGTTCCAATTCCATGGCTCCTAATAAAGAATTCCCAGCAATTCTTCCGTGTAGGTAGTTGCTGAAATTGCAATAATTAAATAGTAAAATATTTTAACAACCACAACAGTATTAGTATTTTATTAGTATATGCACTTAACCTACCGTTCTCTAACATCAGAAGTAGGGATAAGATGTAATACTTGAACTGCAAAAAGAGCTTGCCTCGCAAGTTTATCCATTGAATTGTTCTTAATGTCATTTTGTCGAAAGTAATCAGACGATGCTAAAGTAGTCATAGATGCTGGTCGAATTGGAATTAATTTAGTATCATTGTTAGTCATTTTGGGTATAATAATGCTATCTGCAGATATATGTTTTGTACTACCAAACAATTCTCGTAGTTTTGTACATTTATCTGAAGTAGGCGTTGTGGGTTCATTTGAATCTATATCAACTGTTTCAGACCTTACGGCATTAGGTTTATTAGATGGTTGCAAGCTTAGGCTTAAAGACCGTCTATGTGAAGAATTTTGTTCTACCGACGAACATAAATCTGGTTGGTTCAAATTTTGCAAATCAGATGTTTTTGATGTTTCAGTAATGGCACAACTCAATGGCACATTAGTATTTCTATCATGAGGATTTAATAAATTTCGATGAGATCCACTTACAAACAAATGCTGCTTATTAGACAATTCGACTTCATTAGGGAGTGTTTTTTTTTTTTTTAAATGTAACAAACGTAGTAAACTTGATTTTTTTTTAGGCGAACTAGTTGATTTATTCATATTCATAATTAACAATATTTATATTGTAATAGGAACAATACTCATAATAATAAAGAAATAGTTTTGTCAAAAAAGTAAATAGGAATTTTGGTAATTGAAATGACTGACTTGCTTAAAAATATAAAAGTTAAAGATTAAAAGTAAATTTAATATCGACATAATTTTTTTAAATATTCTAAATAATCTAAATAATAAAAAAATACTTTACAAGTAAAAAGTTATTTTAAATTAGGTTTATATTTACAAAAATAGTTTAAAAATATTGCACAATATTTGCATTTCACCTAAAAATATCTACATCATATTTATTATTTTATATTAGTTTTTATTTATTATAATTTATAATACGGACTTTTATTTTTTATTTCTATAAGTGCAAATGCCGAGTCGTGACTGGTAACAAAGTTATCAAAACATTAAACCAGTGATGTCAGATGTTCAATACCAAATTCCTATCTAGAAGCAATGCGTTTTGGTTAACTGCACGCCACAGGCACCTTCTCAGCAGCTGCATATTATATAATATGCAATAGAGTTTATAGCACTTTGACACTTGGCCACAGATTAATGTTTAATAAGCACCCTTGATATTTTAATAGTAATAACTAGTAACTAGTAACGACTGACGCTTGTATGTAATAGATCATTTTTTGTTACGCGTTAAATAAGTGCATTACCTTTTGTGCCAAGTAATAAAAAAGTAATATTTTATACTGTTGCAATTATAAATATTATAAAAATATATATTTTTTTTTTTGTAAAAAGTTACCAGCTATGAAAAAGTATTAGAATTAATTTGATAATAAGTAATACCGTTAATAATGATAACAATGTAATTTAAAATTTCATTTTCATTGCATTGCAAAAGTAACAAGCTCAAGACTGTAAGTCTGCAGCTTATAGGCGATCATAAATGTAAATTTTAATAATTTAAGATAACCACACATTAAATAAAATATGTTACTTTCATTCAATCAATTTTTTTTTTCTCAAATTCTTATTCATCAGCTTTGACAGCTGATGATTATTTTGACAATAATACTAACGTTTGACCCACGTGAAACAAATTTCTAGAATATACACGTATACTGTATATTCAAAACGGGTGATAGGCGTAAAAACTACTTTAGGGACGTTCCAGAATTTTCTCGAAAATTCAAATAAAGAAAATTTAACATTCTCGAAGAGTGGGTAAGGGGTAAAAAATGACTCCATGAACGTTCAAGAACATTCTCAAAAATTCCAGAACTCTGTAGAAAAAACTGGAACATTCTTAGTGTCCCAGTTGTTACTTACGTCCCATTCACTACTCATTCTATATAATTATACAATATAATTTATAATATATATATGACAAATACCAAATAAAGTTATTTTAAAATACAATTTATAATTAAGTTTGAAATAATTGTCTTTATTAATACATCATACATTTGTTTAAAAATAAAATAAAGAGTTAATGGTAATTTTAATGTATTTATTTACATTATTTATAGAATAAACATAATAATTTGTTTGTATTATCTACTAAACAAAAACTTAACATAACTGTCATTAACAAACTGTTATACAAAACTATCTTAAGCCAAAATGTTTAACAAAAGTAACTTTCAATTGGTTCATTTACATATTTTTCCATTTGTTGAATAGCTTTATGGGTTTTTTGTTCTATTTCTTCTTGTTCATCTTCCATTAGTTCAGCTAAGAAAGGTATTGAATCGGGAAGAAGTGGCAAGAAGTTTTCACCAAGTCTTTCAGCTATAGCTAATGTAGTATCTATACACACAGATCTAACTTCTGGTAAACGATGCCTGGCTTTAAGCATTACTTGGCAATTTATATCCTTCCATAAAGTGTCATCTGTTACGGCCGCAATCAAATTGGAAATACAAGGAATTACATAGTTTTGACACATTTTAACATAGTCCTCTAATTCAACAGCTTCTAAAAGTTCTACCAATGGATTCATAATAATTTCAAAACGCTCTTTAGTTGTAAAATTAATAGTATCATACTTGAATACATTTGATAATGTTGAGATAACACATTTAATAAGTAATGTTTTTTCTTCTATTGGATTTGACTTGCATTTTACTAAAACTGAATTGGCAGTGGGTATTATATTACCAGCAAATAAAAGGAATAGTCCTTTAAGTTCACTTGACAGAGCATTTAATAATTTAAAATAAATTAATATACGAGTGACATTATTTCCTTCATTTTTCCATTCATATAATTTTTGATAAAATGTACGGAATGTGGATTCTGAGCATTTTAAAGCTACTTCACTAATTGTAGATATTACTGAGGATTCTACCAATTTTGTTTCTTTTTTTTTGTTTTCATGGATGAAACAACAAAATTCTAAAGACCTTAATAAAAATACAGTGAACTCTTCAGTCATAGAATTTTTAAAACTATTTTTAGCTATATTCAATACATACTGAAATGCTGAAAACTTAAGGTTTTTTACAATTTCCCCTAATGTGTTGCTTAATGCTGGTTCTAAAACTCTGTTAGGTATTTCTGACAACTTTTCTCCTAGCTGCTGAAATTTAGTACTTATTATAGATTTGTAGTTATCTTTTTCGGCTGTAGAACCATCATTACAAAGAGCTGACAATAATGCTAATTCATACATCAATGGTACAATGTATGGACTTAAAAAGTTCTTAAGTTCTGATATTATTCGAAGTAGGCCAGATAATATACTTGGTAGTAATGCTCCATCTGCCATGATACAGTCATCGTTCAACTTATGAAGGACTGAAATTACAGTTGGTATTATCAAAGCAAAGTTTGTAATTGCTTTAGTTTTTAAGCTCGATACCAATTCCGCAATGCATAAAACAAGGGTTCCAAGTAAAGGACTGACCGACGTGTCTTGTACTGATTTAGTGACTTTTTGAAGAATTCCTTGAAATATTTCTACATTTTCATTAATATTTGAACATTTTGTAACTAATGTGATGGATATTAGAGCAGTTTGCTTAACATTTAAATCTTCTTTTGTGTGGAAACTAGACATAATAGCTATTGCTGATAAAGGATTAAGTAATTTCAGTGTTTGTTGCTGGGATAACGTCTTAGTTTCCAATAATCGTTTGTTTAATAAATCCATAGTTCTATGCTGTGTGGATTTAAGATCGACAAACTGTAATATATAATTTATAGCATCAACAAATATATCTAATGGTAGCAATGCATTGACTTTATCTAGGATGCTGTAATATTTAATGGGCATATAATTTTTAGATTGTATTGTACCTTGATTTTGAATGAACCATAGAGTATTTTTTATTATTTCGGTAAATCCCTCTTTTAATGTTTTATCACATGTACAATACATAACCTTAGACACAAACATATAAGATGATAGTAAATTTGTAAGAAAAGATACTAAACAATATTTTAACTTGTAAATCTTATTTTCCGAGTAACTTGAAATGTCAATTAATGTAACTTGATCACAATCACCTTTTTTGAGTTCTAGATATTTACAATAATTCAATATATGGTTACAAGTATCCAACATGACATCTATAGGACATTCAGCACAAATATCTAAGCATATGGTATTACTTGAAGCTTTATTCTTAGTATCTATTGTACCTGACAGATATTCTTTATGTACAAGAACTATTAACTCCCACAGGTAGTTGTTAGTGTTCAATGCTTGCACAAGGAATTTCAATAAAGTAGCACGTCTATGTTCAGGTATATCTAAAACACTACGAGCAAAAACCGATAATGCTTTTCTCGTTACCGATTGGCCTTCTTTTAGTAAAATAGGAATAACAGTATTTAATACTTGGCAAGTAATTTTGAATGTGTACTCGTCATCTTGGCGCATCACTGAACTTCCCATAAATGTGAATATGGTCATGACGTGTAATATTATTTGGTCTGGTACCATTTGAGCACAATTTGATAACAATATTAGTGCGTGATGTTGGGTTTGTTGATTGGGAGATAGTCGCATTGTCGAGACAATCAATTCCAAATTTAAGCGTTCAGCAACCTTGGTTCTTTCCAATTCATTTTTTGTCATTAAACAACAATTCAATATACAACTTAAACATAACTGTTTAGTATATTCAAGCAAACTCGATTGATTTTCAAATTCAAGACATTTTTTTAGTATTTCAAATAAAACCGGGGTTAATTGAGTAACATTTTCTAGACTATTTTTATTTTGAATTAACTCCAACAAGGCAATGCCATTCTTCCATCTCACACTATCGAATAAGTCAAGGTACATTTTTTCAAGGTGTGATATAAATAATATACTATCAAAACTGACTTCATGGATAAAACTTTTTATTGAATCTATAATATCATTGTCTTCGACTTTAGCTTGTATGTTTAATAATATTTTAATTAAATTTAATTTTAAATCATCAGACATGGCATTAAACATTTCTGATGTTAAATTTTGCACAAATGCACTTACAGGGCTAGTTAATTTCCCAGTACCAAAATTCAATTTTGGGGTTATTTCAGTTAAATATTTTTCGCAAACTGGCCATATTTTATTCCATTCAATCACACTTGGATGCAATTTATTGAGAGTAAATTTCAAAATATGCGATTCGGCTAAATCTAATTCAGGCTTTTGTAATAAATCTAAACCATGTGACAAAACATTTAAACAAATATTTGGTGTATTAATAGCAGATAAAAGATCAAACATTTTTAAACGCAATGCTGAAGATATGTCTGAATTACAAGCAGTTTTAAACAATTTGTCTAATATCTTTTTGGCTTCTTCATTATCCATTTGCAAAGAAACCATAAGAACAAGTCGAATTTGATCACTGTCCATTAGGATTTCTTGACGTTTATTAATTATTTGTTCTAATAACCAATGATAAGATAAACTTTTATCTTTATAAGTCTTGGTAATTTTTCTAATGCAGGTGATCACAGTTTTTCGAACACGTTGATCTTCTGATGCTAAACAGCATAGCAATGTAGGAATAACAATGCTGTCAGGTGATAAATTAATAATAAATGATTCATTTTTATTGATCAAAAGATTTAGGCAATCACATAAATGAGCAACTTTTATATCACCAACCCATATATTTTCACAATAAACTTGGACGCGCTCATCATCGTTAGAATATTCTCTGAATAATAAGCTCTTCTTCATTTTTATTTCAGTTTTCTTATTATCCGTTTCTTCAGAAGTCACGTCTACATCCATAATTTCTTCATTATGGCTTATACTTGATGTACTATCATCAACATTTAAAGAACTTATAAGTTTATTTTCATTTTGAGAGTCTTGAATTAGTTTGATGGCATTCTTCCATCCTCTTTTGTACTTAGTTTTTACAATTTTTGCAATTTTCATGTACCATAGCTCATCAACAGCAGACTCTAGGACAATTTTAACTAGTTCCGTTGTGTAAGCATTATCATTTAAATCAATTAACTCAATTAAATTTGATGAAAACAAAGAAACTGATTCATCAGTTTTGGACAATATTAAACTATCGCGAACTAATAATAAGTAAAATACACTTTGATCAAATTTCAATAATTTTTTTAATGCATCAATTTGTGAACTAGAATGATTAGCCATATATTTGATACAAACATTTGAAATTTGTACTAATGTTATATCCTTAACTGATTTAAAGATAACACTTAAGAGTAGGATACAGTTCTCATGTAACTGTTCATGTTGAACAAGTAAAATTTTTTTAACCAAACTTGAACGCAACTTTTCTGTGTATGTTATGTAGTTGGACATAACACCAATTACTATTAAAGTTGATACAGTAAATGGTCTCGCTTCAGATTCTAGTCCAGCAATTATTGATGGTAAGAATAAAGTTACTAAGTTGTTTTTTGAAATAGAAGATAATTTAAATGCAGCAACAACAATCTTAGTATAAAAATTAGTCCATACAGTCAACAGCTCATAATTATTTTTATGTTCGTCAATGACTTTGATAGTATGGGAACAAATTAATTTTAGTAATCTTATATCATTGACAGCCTCAGAAATGAAACTTTTCTCATTTATTTGAACTCCCGTCCTTTTAGATTTTGTTAACCACCACCAATTTTTGGAAACTTCTGGATTACTTTTAATAGGAACCACTTGAATTAACCGTGTAAAAACTTGAGTTGTCAAAAATGGTAGGGCGTAGCCAATCAAAGCATCTGTATTATACTGTTCAATATTAAATCTATGTACCAACCACTCTAGAGCGTATAATGCGGGTTTTGAATTGAAATAAGGAGATAACAAGCAAAGAAACTCTTCAATAATACTGTCAATTTTTTGATTTTCAGTTAAGCTAAGGACAGCTCTTTGTTTAGATTGCCATAATTGGCTGAACAACGTTTTCTCAAACTTAATAAATTTAGGATTGATATTGCTTAGTTCTTTCAAACCTTTAACCCCGACTTCAAAAAATGCTATCAAGTCATGATTTCCAATATCTTCAGGTTGTATAAGGAGTGATGTTTTCTTATATGATAAACTCAATATCGATGTTTGTGGTGCAGTTAACTTTTGAAGTTGTTTTGCAAGAGACGTGGATGCCATTTTTGAAACAGTCTAATGCATATAAATATAAGGATTTACTTACAAATAATGTTTCTTAATAAATCTTGATATTTTTTCTCTGAAAATAATTAATTAAATTTATATTAATTAGTTTTGAAATAAATAAAATAGTTATAAAATATATTTAATATGGTAAATTAATAATTTTTTGAATTTGGAATGTCTATTGTACAACAAAACATTACTTATGTCTAGAGTTAAATAACTTATTGTTGTATCAATTGAGTAAGAATTTTAACGAATTCGTACCTTATTGTTGTGTTACATATTGCTCAATAATTTAGTGAACTAACTTGACATATTGCTGTAAATTCTTTTAAAGTCCCTTTATATTTAATAAGGGAAAAGAATCAGCCATTTAAGCAACTTTTATTAAATGTAATTACAACCAACCAAGAACACATAGTAAACTTAAAAAAAAAACTGGACATCAACTATTTTTTTTATCACATTCATGGGCGCAAATACGGGGGGGCTAGGGTAGGCTTAGGCCCCCCAATGCTAGACATAGCCCCACCAAATAAATTAGGTTATGCATAACATTATGCATGAAAATACAAAAATATATTTACTTATATATATATTTTTAAAAAATGTTCAGGCCCCCCCAGTTAAAAATTGAAATTACGCCTATGATCACATTGATTTAATATGTTTTTATTATCATATAAACAATAATATTTATGATGAAATATATATTATGAGCTTTTATTAAAAGAGTATACAGCAATGTTTTAAAAAATAAAAAAATATTCTTAATAAAACACTAATTCAATTAACTACAGAGAATTTGTTTAAATAAAATAAAATATTAATTATTTTTTAAAATTTTCGGTTTTGTTTATTTAATATTGGGAAGTAAATAATATATACTATTTTAGTTACCCATTATGGTGTTTTATAAATTACTAAATCTAGTTTAGATAAATTTTGCTGACATGATTAATGTTTATAATACAAATTCCAAGACAAAATGCATGCAATAATAAATACGATTATAAAATAATGAAGAGAAACTTCACAGTAAAAAGAAAATGTTTAAACTAATTTTTTAAATCTCAGTTCTCAGTAACAATTTTTTTTAAAATCGAAATTCCATCGTGATACTCATTAACTCATAAACATGTGTTTAGTATAATACTATTTTTTGTAAAGTACTTACGTGATATAAGATGTCTTTATTATTAAATATTTAAAAATTTTAAGCAACAAAAATCTCTAAAGCTGTAAATTTGTTTAACAATCTTTTAGAAACGTAAATATTAACAAAATTATATTTAATGAAATACAAAACAAATCGACCGACCACGCGACTTTATTGAAACGTTGATAAAGTTATCAGCATTCAGCCACGGGCTGTATAGTCTGCTGAGTGCTGACTGTGATCAGTGATTGGGCTGCAAACAACATTTATCAAAACAAATTTTCGTCGGTTATACATAGATAGCGTTGTCATATTCTATTGTTGAAAAAGTGATTATTTTTATCATTACATTAAAAATTTAAGTCCTTTAGGATCTAGATTTCCGACTTTCCATAGACATTTTTTATACCTGTTATATATGAATGTTATTTTTTTTGTAATTTTTTTTAAATTTAGACTAAATTAAAATCAGTGAATTGTTTGTTGGTATCGTCAATTTGGTCAGATTTGTTGATTTGTAATTAATCACTTGGCTAGTTACCTAGTTAATAAAAAACTTTCAAAATGATAAAATTATATTCTTTGAAGCAACATAAAAAGGACGGAGAATCTCCAAAATCGGGTAACCAAAAAAAGGCGTCCGCTGCACATTTAAGAATAACAAAAGGTAAGTTGTTTGTAGAATAATATAAACCGTGATCTCTTAAGTGTCTTTATTAAATCGTTTTCACTGTTAATGAAAAATACTGTATATAGCTCTTACAGTTTATTTTCCTTTATTGCGTTATTCCAATAGAAAATATTTACACATTTATTTATTTGTTTTTATTACATTGTACCTAATGTGATAGAAATTATTCCAAAATTAAATTATCTTTAATATTTTAATTCAAACAAAACTCCATATTTATGCTGGGTCACTTAAACGTTCATTAAGGTTTAATACTTTAAATATTCAGAAAAGTTAACATCTATAGCAAATAATGTAATGACCTATTAATTTAGATGATGAACTCAATTTTTCCGTAATGCAGCATATATGTGAAAATTCAAATAATAAATATCTGATTAGGGATCATCAAAATTAAATAAGGCTTAAGAGTACAGTTGATAACTGTTAGTTAATACAAGTTATTCAGTATTATTCATTTTCAAACAGATAAGATTTGTACAAATGATTAATTATTCATATCATGGTAAAAATACTTAATTTTAATTAATATTTGTACTTTTACTACTTCAAGAACACATTTCTATATGTGTAAAGTCAAATTTTTGTATCTAAATTTGTTGCTAAAAATTTGAGAAAAGTATTAATTGATATTTTTGTTTGTCTTTATTTTTTTAGATTTAAATGAACTTACATTGCCAAAAACGTGTACTACAGAATTCCCTGATCCAGATGATCTTTTAAATTTTAAATTAACAATATGTCCAGATGAGGTTAATTAAATTACACGATTGTTTTTTTCTTTTTATCTATGTTAATGCATTTGTTTTTACATTAGGGATCATACAAAGGTGGAAAATTTAATTTTAGTTTTAAAGTTGGCGTAAACTATCCACATGAACCACCCAAAGTTAAGTGTGAAACAACAGTTTATCATCCAAATATAGATCTTGATGGTAATGTTTGTTTAAATATACTACGCGAGGACTGGAAGCCAGTACTAACTATTAACAGTGTGATTTATGGCCTACAATATTTGTTCTTGGTAATATTTTTGTAATATATTTCATGTAATAAAAATTCTAATGCAACGATTATTGCAGGAGCCCAACCCAGAAGACCCATTAAATAAGGAAGCAGCTGATGTTCTTCAGAATAACAAAAGACTATTTGATATGAATGTTCAAAAAGCTATGCGTGGAGGCGTTATTGGCAACACATATTTCGAGAAATGTCTGAAATAACAGATACCTAGAAGAAGTTAAGATAGCCATATGGATTACGTGGTAATAATGTGAATGCAAATAGGTATCGATCTTTTTCATACATGATTGTTTAGTATGAAATAAAATATTGTATTTCTTATATATCATAAAATTAATGTTTTTCCTGAATTTTAAATTTGTCATTAAGTTAATGTAATGATTTTAGCTTAATAGTAATTTTTACACTAATACAAAAAATTATGGTTATTCTTTTACTTCTAACCATAATTACGATTTTTTGATGGTATTATATTATTGAATTCAAAACTTTATTTGTTTAAAATTATAATAACAACATGTTGTTTAATTTATTTAGATGTTTTTGTATATAGTTTGGACATACAATAATAATAATAATAATAATAATAATGAATAGTTAAAGCAATGATTAAATGTCACATTTAATTGTAGTCCGGTTACCGACCAAAAGCAAAAGGTGAATTAGAATTGTTGCTAAAATTGAATGAGGTTGGAACTGTGGCTGCTTGGTCGAATTTAAAGCCTAAAACAAATAATAATTCACTAATAAAACAAAATAATAATTATTTATAATTTAAGTATTTTACAAGTATCAATAAAGTGACAATATTGAACTTAAATTGTAGTTAAATCGTAATTGGAAACAGCTTAAGCAGCCCATGCAGGCAAGGCTATCTTAGGCTATGCAGGGACCATTGAGCACAGAATTTGGGACTTTACAAGAAAACAAAAGAAAAATAATGATGTAAATTGTAATATTTGAGGCTTCCATCAGACCGGAGGCGGTGGGCTCGTGCCCTTAGAGTAACAATTAAACTGCATATAGGGCCATTGCTTCCCCCTCCTAGGGAGGAATTTCAAGAGTACAGTTACGCTGCTGCTTTAGATAATTCCTTCTAATTCTGTACTTACTATTATGAATTGAATTTATAAAACTGTATTTTTAACAGTAAGTCATTAAAAAATATAAAACTAGTACAAGTACCTAATATTCTTCATGACAAGCAGTTGTCTAAATAATAGTAATAATAACTTTCAGTTAACTCCAATAATAAAATATAGGTATTATATAAATATTGTACTAAACAAAACTTAAATGACACATCAAGAACACTCTAGCTGTAGTCCCAAAAATTAGTACTAGACATCACCAATTATATTATATTTTACAACTCCTGAAATTATATTTTCCGAGTTTTATTTTCACCTGGCACAAATATGAATAATTTTTTTTTTTAAATATTGTAAGGAACTGAATAAAATATTAACTTTATGTTCATATTATATTTTGAACGTGTATTGATAATAGTATGAATTGATGGAGATGTATTAAAAATAATATAACTATATTTTTTACTTTTATAGTTGAACATAAAAATGTGGAGACTTTACAGACTGAAGGATTTCTTTTTAACACACAAACCTATATATATATAGAGAGAGAAAGTACAGAATTTGTTACAATACATTAAAAAAGTAAATTAAATTAACAAATAAAAAATATTTACTTTATTTAAAAGAACCAAGTTAAAAATAATGAAAATACAAATTATCAAAATATGGTCAATCATTAATTATATAACTATACGGCATTCGTAGGTTACCTGCAAGTTTTTCTTTTTTTTTATTTTCAACCTCAGTACGTCTTTGCTCAGCTAGAACCATTATTTCATTAATGGACTTTTGCTGCTCAACATTGAGATGATTGGTAAGCGCCAAATACCAGGCAGGGTCGTTTTGTTGTATACTCAACAAAACATTTTTAAATAAAATGTAAACGTCCAAATTCTCATCGGCATTGTCTTCTTGATCTAGTGGTGTAGTATAAACTTCTAGGATTGTTTCTTCAGGTTGTTCATAATCATCATCGTCACTATCACTTTCATCTTCTGCAATATCTGGATTCTACAAAATTATAATAAGATGACACAAAATAAGTTGAAATCCCAACTATAAAAAATATATATGGCTTTTTGTTGAATACATACAAGAACTGGGTTTAGAAACAGATTATTTTTTTTATCATTCGCGAATGAAATGCTTTCGTCAACCTCGTCTTCATCAGTTGCCAACTCTGTAGCAAAAAATGAATTTAACATTAAATTATTTTGAAAACGAATTACGATTTGTTACCATTTTCAGTGTCCGTGTCTTCATCTTCACTAGATTCTTCATCCGAAGTTGCATCTTTAGCTTTTTGTTTCAAGTATTAAAAAAAATAAAAATGGATAAATATTTCAGAAATTAAATTACCATTTCTCACAAAAAAATAAAAAAAATAACTCACTATTGTATGCACGATTTAGACCGTCAAATAACATAAGCATAGATGGCACAATTTGTGTTGCATGTTCATTTACTGCAACTGGCCTATTTGGAGACAATGCCATCAGTGTCAGCAATCCCATAACACAAAGTTTTCGGTCATGAATACTTAAAAAAATAAAAATAGTTATGTTATGCTATAAATTTATACCACAAGGAGCCCCTTATTTGCACACTTACCCAAAAAAACAATCTGTATCCTGTAACCATTGTCTAATAAAATGTATAGAAATTGATTCATTTGTAGACATTGACATTTGTAACTTATCAAGAGTTTCAAATAACAAGTGTGGATTATAATAGATACCAGCAATGATCACTTGAAGACACATTGCTCTTAATTCAGATGATTTTATTTCTCTAACCAGTCTTTGCAAAGCTACCTCCACAATTGGTGGGATACACTACAACAAATTTTTTTTTATATTTATATGTCAATACAGTAGTGGGAATGGGATAAGTCACAAGTCTTGATAAAATCACTTTTAAATAAATCTTTCAGTGTGAAACTGTATACAGTTTAAACTATTAAATATATATTTTTTTAAATGTATTTTTATATATGTATAAAAAAATTAATAAAGATAAAAGCTAGCATAGATGTGCGGCATAATGGGATGAAAGCATATTAAGATCGGAGAGGTCACGAGTTTTTAGGAATATTTATCCTAGACAAGTTTATAAGTAATTCTATTGTTTTTCAATGCAAAATAATTTTATAAGAACCTTGCAGCTTTGCATTTAAGCTAAAAAATTTACTTTTAAATATAAAATAACTTTAAAATTACTTGATCAATTCGACCTTTGCATTGCAAAACAATGACTTCTAATAATTTTGCTGCATGACATTCAGCTTCTTCACCAGATTCTGATGTCAGAACCTATAGAAAATATTTTCAAAATCAAATATGCGTTAAGAAAATAGCATTTTTAAAGAACTTACAACTTTACACATATTGAATATAATTAACATGTAATTTTCATTTGTAACAAATGTTTCCATACCAATTGTAACATAGTTGTGCAGACAAGGCATCATATCAACAAAATAATCAAAACCATCATTCTGAAAAACCTTAAGAATAGAAAAGTGGTAGGTTAGTAGTTGGTATATCATAACCTTTTTTTTTATAAAAATAATTACTAACTCCATAGATTAACTCTAATACTTTCCACATATTTGGTGATACTTGAGTATTGGTTAAATCACAAACTAAATTAAACGCCTCTTCGTAATATTCTAAAACAAACAAATTATAATTTACTGTTTTATGTGCTTCATTTTGAAAAATATTCACTCATTTATTTACCAGGTTCAGGGGTAGTAAATATGTGGACAATAACTTCTAATACAATTGGTTCAAGAGCAGCTAAAGTATGTTGTTGCTCATCATTTACACTAAGTATAGTCTCTATACAACTCAATATACTCATACCAGTAATTTCTTTTTTGTCATTCATGTCATCGGATTTTAGTACTTGAAGTAAGGTTTTAACCTGTAAGTATAAAAACATATAAATTTATGTTGAAATATAAATAAATTAATAAAACAAATTCAATACAAACCAAATTTTGACAAATTTCAAACATTATAGGAGCTAGTTTTTCTGAATAAATGGCAATCGTCTTCTGTACAACACCAGTAATATCATCGTTTTCCGTTTCTTTTAATACATTTAAAAGCTCCAATACAATTTCTTTAATCTATATGAAAAAAAGCTTAATAAATCACACATATATTTATTAAATCCGAAAATAAAACAAACTTTTGGTTCTAAAAGCCGTTCCACTTTATCTTCAGCAATTAATAATGCCTGAATAGCTAAACCAGCTTGAACTTTCACTGGAAGCTCTTTATCAGTTAACAAAGCATTTGTGCAAAGTGTTGACAAATCAGTCCATACACTATCATTATTGATTTTGACATCACATACGTGCTGTATAAACCAGCAAGCCTAAATACATAAAATCATTAATTATTGATGGTCAATAAAAATTAACATTACACTTACTCTAGCTCTTAAATGACCATGTGGACTTTGAAAAACAGGAAATACATGTTGATATAGCATACTGCCCACTTGATCTTTGTACATGTCTTTTTTAAATATAACATCTGCTAATGCGCCAAGCTAAAAAAAAAGTTATATTAATCTAGGGCAAATGGACGTTTTTAACAGTTGTATTACTTTAGTAATTATATTTATTACCTAAATCTAATTGTGGAAGTTAGAATTATCCCATTTAAAACAAAACATATCCTTTTTATAAAGACCCAAAATATGTCAATTAAATAATTTGTTTTATTTTTATAATTATAATTTTAATAATGATGTTATTTTTAATAATGCTAGCTGTGTTAGATAGAAATATATTATTATTTATCCTGGTTTGTTATCAAACAACTTTAAAATACAAAAATATTAATTTACCATATGAAGGGCTCCATCTTTTTGGGATGGTGTAGCATCGTTTGAAGTAATTACACCTACAATAAATTGAACCGCTTTTGGCAAAATATCTTTACGCTTTTTACAAGCTGAATGTAATGTAGATTGAGCAGCCATAACAGGAGATATCAGATCTTCAAAAATATCTACATACAAACATTTTTTTAGTTAAAAATTAGTTAAGTTAAAAAGACAATTCATTAAATTATTATTTACCAAATTTCTGAGAGATATATTCATGTGGATCAGTTTCCCATAACTCTTGATCAGCTTCAGAATGACACATAAGTGGGAAAATAATATCTTGAATAATAGCTGCTAAATGGAGCTTAATCATTTTCCATGTGTGTGCTATACCAATGCTAATAAAGTAAAATAAATTTAAAAGTACTATTAATTTAATTGTTATAACTGATTAGTAATAATTACCATTGGTTTAGATAATTTAAGCTCATTTGCATAACTCTTGGAGGTACGTAAATTTTGTTTCGATATTGATCTAAAATTCTTAAAATGATTTCTATTATACCAGTAGAAAAAGTTTTCACATAAAATGTTGCAAATAATTGATACTCTTTAGCAACACTTCCTGGACTTCCATATCTAAAATGAATAAATAAAAATTCAATTTTAATTCTTCATGAGGCTGATGTACTCAATATAACATCTTGGTTTAACATATACAAAATGCAGTGCTATGTTACTTTCGAGTTCGGAAGAAATATTTTTTTGTAATTGTTACAAAAATTTACCAATTACAATAAGTTAACCTATAGCTGTGATCAAATGAACATGCAGTTGGTGACAGCCTTATTTTTTCAGTGGCCAATAGGAAGCAGTATTTTTATACGTTATGTTCGCACACCAAAAGTGTGCGATTTATGTACGTATGTCCCCGCCTACAACTGTCGCTCTGTTGTGTGGTATTGCGGTGCGGTGGGCAGAGTCTCCAACCCCACATTCATTTGACTATGACTATAAGAACATAGGTGACTTTTGAAAAAAATTACTGTTACAATAATGGTATGCAGGTGCCCTTGAAGTGGTATTGGGATTTTATAACCCCACACATCTGAGTCTACTTATAGAGGTTTGGGGTATGTGTGGCCGACAGTCCAATAACCCTCCAGCTACTGGGAGCAGCTTTGCGGCAAGCGCACTAGACTGGCGAAGTCCATACTACGGGCCTGGGGGACCCTTTAGATCTCAGTCTGCGCCCCGGGACTAAGGCCTCTGGGTTGGAGTTGTGGAGGCTGTGCGGTCTTTAGGTTCAATGCTACTAGCCTATGGCTAAGTCATCAAAAAGATACACTTTATGTTACAATAATGGCAATGAATTAAATTTTTTTTTACAAAGGACCTTCATTAGAAATAATTTATTTATAATTGAGGCCATATAAATTGACATCTTAGTACGTATTTGTACAATATCAGGTAAATATGTGTACAAGGTAAATTCTTGCTATTAGCGAGTATATTTTAGAGTTTTTGATAGCATTCAATGATGCTGTACACAGGTTACATTTTATATAAGCTAACAATCCCCCGCTGACTTACATTAAATATTACAATATAACTCGACAATGGACTATTTCTACAGACCTGCGGTAGGATAAAAACTACCAAAACGGCAAAAATAATAACATCAAACTCTTCTAAACAGTCAATCACTAAAAGTAATAATAAAAAAAATTTAATAAATACAATAATTTCTTCTGCCATTAAAAAAAAACATATCACTATCCAATAATACAAAAACTACTCGAATTGTCAAAAAAATAAAATGAAGTCATACCCTTAAAAAATAAAAAACAAAGTAGCAAATCAAAAAAGTTTTCAGAAGCTACAACCGAATCCAGTTAAAAAAAAAAACCCAAGCAATAGTTTTCAACTCAATTGACAAGACTGCCTCAAGACTAACACATTTTTAAAAAATAGTTTTGTTTAAATCATTTCCGGAAATTTAACGATTAACTTCAATACTGGAATCATTACTTCTGTTAACAAAAAAAAGAATTGTGTTAAACACGTTGACTGTGTACGTCTTTTTGTGGTTCTCTCTCCAGCAGGTAAGAAACTATTTTACGCTAACTAATAATTATTTATCATTGAGCCACCAATACAAAATAATAAACAATTTATTTTAAATGTATTTAATTACGCCAAATGGCGTTGATTGCGTAGCTAAACTACGATAATGACGCTAATTGGCATCGTAACAGTCAATGAGTTAAACAAATAAAGCTGCGCTAAAAGTACTCCTTTTATACCAAATAAAACTCTTCTTCCAATTTGGGACAACTGTAAAATACAAATAACTGTCGATAACTTAAACCAAGTCAACCAAAAATGTACAATATATAGAGCCTCCAATCATATACCTAACAGCAGTTGAGAAGATGCCTTTGCAAATATACTTTTAATATTATTTTGTGGTAATGATGAAATATAATTAGGGTCTATAGTTATTTATAACTATTAATAAGGTAATTAAAATTACCTTTCAAATATTCTATACAAAGTGTGCAATGCCCATTTTTTAACTTTCCACCAAGGTAATTGATCTCTTTCACTTGGTTCATATTGGTTAACTTCTTCAGGTACAGGATTACATAAAACTAAACTCAGAATTTCCATCCATTTAGTAAATGTAGTTCTCTCCATTAAATCTGGACTTAATGTAAACTGTTGAAATACAACAACAAAGCTATTGAGTATACATTTAAGCAATACAAAATTAGAGGAAAATATATTTGTTATATGCTAATTAGTAAATATTTAATATAACTGATCACTTAAATCTCATTTACTGACAAACATTACAAAACATAATACTTGAAATAACTCACTTGAATAAGTTTAAAATAGCTTTTAACTATCAATTTTTGTAGTGTTACTGATTCAGCTGTGGAGTTGGTGACAATATGAGCCATTACATTGTAAACTCCTGGAAGCAATACTTTAACTGCTCCATGAATAGGAGACTTATCTGCTTTTTGATATTCAAACGCTTTAACCAAAGATGAAAATCCAACTAGCCCTGCCATCCAATATGACGTGTTATCACTTTTTAAATAAACATCAATTTTATCTACCACATTGGACCATCGACCCGGGAAATCATTTTTTATCATAGTTACTAAACATACAGTTAATTGGGTTCTAAAACAAATATAAACAATTAAATTAGCTAAAAATTTAAATTCTTAACATTTAGATTACCTTAATAATTCTGGTACTTGAACTATAACATCTAAAATTGTATCCCTAATCATTTGTCTATCTTGTTCATGAATAGTAAATTTATTAGGTTCATCTTCACGACCAGCCCAATTCTGATAAATCAGATTTTTTAAATAGATTGCACCTAAAAAAAAAAAAGATTTAAATAAACACTAGACGATTTTTAGTCAAACTGATAATAACATAAAAATTTAAAAGACAATATGTTCTGTGATTAACTTACTTGCTTGCCGTGTAGACATTTCTATGTCAGCGGTAAGAACAATTTGTAACAATGCTGGACCAAATCCAGCTATTTTATGAATCTAAAAATAAATAATTTAACATTATTTTAAGATTGATAGAAAAAAAATGTATTTATACCAAAGATCATAGAGAGGCATTCACATTGTTAAATTAATAAATAACAATTTTGTTGCAAGTTTACAACAAATTCAAAATTAATTAAATCAATTTCAATCAAACCAAATTAAAAAAATCTGGATATAACATTCAATAATTTGAAAGAAAATACAAGAATGCTCATATATTACATTTTTATGACACAATTTAAATTTTGTTAAAGTAAATAGTATTCAAATATTTTTACGCAATATCAAATTTTAAGATTAGCTAGAGTGAGCTTTTATCATTCAAAACAGTTAAATGATTTAAAAAGCAGTTTATCTATCAAATTTAAAATATATAATCCGCTCAGTTCCTAAATATTTTGATCGCTTTAACCTTAAACATAGTAACGTAATTGGCTATTTGTTTGATTGTAAGTATTAAAGGGTTTTAAGTATATATATATTTTTTAATATTAACAAACTAAATTAACACAAATGATATATTTAACAAATTTTTTGTCAAAACTGAAATCATTAATGAGTTAAAAACTAATATTTTAAAATGATTTATAAAGTAAAAATATTGTTTTGACTAAAAATATTTAAGCTTTTATAAATCATATATAAACATGTTCATTGGCCAAACTTTAAATAACTAATATAACAAGTAAACTAAAAAAAATTAAATATGCAATACTTTTTTATAAAAATAATCATATTAACAATAATAATTATTAGAGGAACTGCTAAAGTTTCGTTTTTTCAAAAACGACAAAACTATAAAAAATTGTTTAACATCTATGTGTACATCTACTAAGTAATATTATGATTAATTCGTTGTAAACAATTTAGTTAGGGTCTATATTAACAAATTCAAATTTTTTTTTTTATACATTTTATTACACGAATTTTAAATTAACAAGAGTTGCAGAATTCAACGAAACATTTTTCAAATGTTAAGATTTCGGTTGAATAGACACCAATTGTGACACAAGTGGTTGAACCATAGGAACAATCATATCAGAGTTTAGTCGTTAACAAAGAATTAACCTTAGAGGCCCGCAAAAATGTAAAAAAAAGCATGTGCTTACACGCTGAAGCTGTTCTTCGGCTTCGCTCCTGTGCGGTTGGTAAAGTGTGGCGTTCAACAAAGCCGTAAGCTTTTCGATGTCCATCGTGCTTAACTATACGTATACAATTTTAAAACTTTGATTTGGGAACGCAGCAAACAGATTCAAGGCGACGGCTATTTCGAATGAATCACGTGATTACAAAAATCACATTCCATTTTCCGATCAACCCGACAACCGCCATAATGGAAATCATTTTGTTTATTTTTTATCAACAGTGGTTCCTAAAACTGATATGAGCCGGCCAATAGGAGAAGGTTGGGTAGGGACATTTTGACTGGTGACCGTAACAACACTGCAGAAAGGTGATCGTAAATTTGCATTTTCTAGGGAACATACCGAAGGGGAAGTAACAAATATCAAATTTGCACTTTATGGAACGGATCTGTTCTGACTTCTGACTTATATTTTCATTACTTTGCTCAGTCTTTCTGTTGAATTTTATCTATTCAAGTACCAATCGATACCGCAAAAATGAGTTACTGGAGAGCAGCTGGATTGAAGTAATGTTAATCTCTCTAGTACACAGTACTTTAATTTTATGACTAATAAAATTATAGCTAACAACTCATGTTATTAGTTAAAAAATCGTATTTTATAATAATATTACTATTAAGTATACTGAGTTTCCAATTTAGTAACAATTGGTGTTTAGATTTAACAGTTTAAACGCCGAGGATATTTCACTAAAACTTCTCTCTGGATCAAGATGTTAAATGTTATACTCATTATTTTATGCTACTAATGTGTATTATCTATGATTTTCACACATTTTTCTGTCAGAAGTGAGAAAAAAGTAGAGCGGACACTGATGTCCGCTGTGGCGCTGAAACAGTCGAAGAGCAAATTGATACTGCTATAATAGGAGTTTTAATTTTTTTTTTAAATAGTACTAGTCAAGTTATTTATTTTGTGTATAATTAATTTGTTTTGTTTTATTAATTAAATTTTATTATAATGATTTTAGCTATGTTAACTACTCTAACATTGCAGCCAAAGTTGTAAGGAGGGTACTAAAAAGCGACCTACAAGCAAGTGCGAGTAAGCGGGATGAATCACACGTAAAGTTCACTCCGTGGAATAAAGGAAAGCCAGCCAGTAAGTAAAAACCAATTAAAAATTATTTTTTAAATATAAAATAAAAAAATTTGATAAATAAAATAATATATAAGGTGTTGAAACTTTCAGATGAAAAAGCTTAAACTTTTAAGGTTAAATCTAAAAAGTATTATGCAAATATCTAGTAAGTTGAGTTTGCATTATGCTGTCTACTAGGTATTACAAGATATTGCATGAGTTTTCTTTTAATGTTATTTAATTTAAAAATAAATTTGTAGCATACAAATAAGTGTTGATTGATATTCGATTTGTTGTTTTATTAACCTAAACAATAATTATCATTAATTAATTATATAACAATTTTAGTAACTTATATAAGTAGTATTTCTGCCAAATAATGTGTATACTTTGTTGTTGTATGAAACTAAATAGCTTAATAATTGTGAACCATGTAATATGATTGCTCTTATGCCAAAATTATATGGTTTTCGTGAGAATACAGTTTTAAAACTTCTGTTTGCAGTAAAAAATTATAATTATGCTTTTATAACATTAGACATTTTTTACTGTAGCAAAGTAAATTACGATTAATAACCTATCACTTGCGCTTTAAAGTATTGGAATTTTATTGACGATGTTTCTAGTTCATATGAAGAGAACAGGGAAAAAACTAAAATGTCCATTGTTTTTATAATCTCAGAAAAACATGTTTAAAAATTATAGAAATTTAAAATGTATTTCATTTTATTTCTTTTTCACACCAAAAAGGCCATTGTTTGTGTGGGGTTTAAATATACAGGGCCGTATTCAGACCGGTTTTCTCGGGTCATATGTCTGGAGCCGAGCCCTATGTCTTTTCTTAAGGGGCCGGGCCTACAATAAAATTAATTAAAAGAGCCTGGAAGATTAAGTTTTCCCGGGGCCCGGCAAAGCTGAGTACGGCCCTGTGAATTTACGCAGGTCATAGATTGTTTAAGTGTAACCAAAAGTCAGGCGCCTGTTTAGGGGTTTAAAAGTAACTTTTCTGGTTTTCCCCTGTATCCTTCATATGTCTATTTTAAAAAATTGCAATATAATATTGTTATTCTAATTTATAAACTTGTTTTTTTTAGAGCCAGGCCAATAGTTCACCAACAAAGAAGAATTAAACCTTTCAAGTTATGATTAATTTGTAAAGCTTGTTACATTATAATATGAATGATTTACAAAAATATGTTTCTTTTTTAAATATGAATGTTTGCATTGTTGTAGATAAAATAAAATTAGATAAATAAATAATAAGAATTATTTCTTGCTTTTTATTTTTGCTTTATGTTTCTATATATCTATTATAGGCTTATGGTTAAGAGATGTGGACTGCAGATCGTATTGTGAACTAAAAAGAGAAGTGAAAAAGTGTGAGGAGTAAAAAATTGCAGCCAACTAGCCTTTGGGCTGTTAACAAAATAAGAGATTTATTTATTTCTCACCATGAGTTATGGTCAGTCGTCTAAGTTGTTATCATAATAACATATAATATAATAATATTATATTTGTTTATACTACTGAAGCTATTTTTATTTAAACTATTGGAGGTTGAGCGGCAGTGTATTAGCGCTCACTGGTTCGACACTCGGTCACGCATAGTTGCCGATTCGGATCTTGGCCACTTGAGGTTTGTTCCTTCAAGCGCGCAATTGTGGGGAAGAAGTAGCCATCTGTCTCTCTTGAGTGCTAAACTTGTTTGGTAAGCATATTGTCGGCAGCCAGCTGTAAAAACAGTAAACTACCAAATCTATAAAACAATCCCTATTTAGTAGGGAATAAATATGTAAAGGGTGAAAACATTTTTTTTTATATCATTATACTTTTACAGACAGAGAGTGGCATATTTACACTACTGTAACTGTAAGTCTAACAATTTAAAAGTTAAAAAAATCGACCCTTTAGCCAGGCTCAAGTTCATACTATGGCAACTTTTATTAGTTGCCACAAGTTTCGCTTTTAATGGGAATATGGAAACAAATAGGAAGCAACACATTGTAACACAGTAAGTTGTTATGTGTAGACACTTGGTAATGATGAAGTTTTAGGCATCTAGAACAATTTAAAAATTAATAATTATACAACAAAAATATTTTATTTAAAAAAATAAAGCTTTATAAAAATAAATCAATTTATTGTATAGTATTATAAAACTACAGTACTTCACATTAGAACGGATTATCTCAATCCTCGTATATCAATGTTTATTATGATAAAACACAATTTATTTAGATGTAATAATTCAAAATAATAAATATATATTTTTATAGTGCTCTAATTTAATAAAATAATAACATTGTTCTTCATAAATTATAACAAACAATATATTTTTAATTGAAATATAGATATTTTTTTTCTGATACTTTAAATGTAATACAAATCTAAGAATTTTGAAATATATATATAAATAATTAATAAATTAACAAACTAAAATCTAAGTTATATTAAATGGGTAATACATTTTTTTTCATGCTTTATTTTAAAGATTTTCAACAACCATATTAAAATAAATAAATTGTATAATAAATGTATTTTAACTTGGATTGCCATCAATATCTAACAAATGGTTATCATCACATTTTGGCCCATCACCTAATTTTGTTACCATAATATATTTCAGCAGTCCTTTTTCGTTTTGAGTTAACCCAAACGGATATTTCTAAATTTAATAAATTAATTTAGATACTATTACACTATTTATTATGTTTGAATTATTTTAACTTACTGTGTTTGTATGTGTAGTTGAAATACCACGTACATATGAATTAGGTTGGTCTGAAGGAAATACTTGAATTAGTTCTGATAAAAAAAAACTCAAATCTTTTTCTTCAATGAAAATAAATGCATTTGGACCAGCATCAAAAGTATAAGCAACCTAAATTGTTTAAATTATAAAAATAGTTATATATTAACTATTAAGTGTAAAGTATAAAAAATTAACTTTTATAATACTTTAGTTTGGCCAATGGCTTCATTGTAATCATGGATAAATTGTATTATTTTGTGGGATACTTGATTTAAATAAACACATGGAGGATATGTGTCTAAGCAAACAGCGTGAAACTGATTGCTATCACGCATTGTTATTTCAGCAAACTTCTCGAAATTTTTGTCTTTAATGGCCTAATTATAAACACATATTTTGATTAGTTTAATTGAGTAAAATATTACCATATCATAGTATAGAATAATACTTGTATTATTAGTTCAATCCTTTGTGGTACACATTTATCAACTCTGTATTTGAGTAATTCGCTTGATTCCACAGATTGTTTCATTCCTGAAGTACTGCTTGTTTTTTTCATAGAGTCGTTTACCTATTAATATAAATAATATAATAATTATAATAACATGAACAGATAAACAAAATTATTCAAAGTTAGAAAGGTTCATTCGTAACTCATGTTATAGTATTTTTTTTTCAATGAAAATAATTGTATTAGCGATACATATTTTTATTTTTTATGTTGTCCTTTAATTATGATAATTATTTAAAAAAAAACAACTATTGTTCGAACAAATTACTGTAACATATTATAAACACTAACCTGTACTAAATGTACATAAAATAAATGAATAAAAATATATTTAATATAATAATATTACTACTAATATTAATATTCTCATTTCAGGCCAGTGTGTCTCGGGAACAATTTGAACTGCAGTAGAGTCAGTCCCAAATTCATCTATACCAGCTTGCCACTGGACAAATCCACCAAATAGACTCCTACACGCACTGCCACTGCCTTGCCGGGCTATTGACGGAAGATCTTCATCAGTTAAGTCAAAAGCAGTTGCTAATGTGTAAACTTAAATAAAAAAAATGATCAACCATATGGAATTGAACTTAATGGAATGCTATTACAAACTTAAACATGCATAACCAGCTGCAGACGAAGCCAGACCCGCAGCAGTCGGAAAATTATTTTTTGAACATATTCTTATTTTCCATTTTGCTTCATTGCAGTTTATTCCTTTTTTTTTTTTAACTAAATCTCTAACTAAAGTGTTGAAATTAGTAATTTATTGATTATACTGTTGTTGAAAAAATCTTACTTAATTTAAAGCATTTTTGTAGACGGACATTTGTTTCAATTGACATGACACTACAAATAAAAGTATTTAACATTATAAACAAATTAAACAACAACAAAATTATGTCTAATTCAACAAGTATGATAATATTTTGTGAAGCTGTTTTAATTTATTTGTCTTATGTTTAGTAATTTCCTTTTCCAAGATTACTATTCCGTAAGACAATAAAACAGTTTGTGCTCGAGCAATATTTTAATGTATGAATATTATAAAATAATAAAGTGAAAGAAAGATCTTTTAAATTTAAAACAAACAATTTTTAGAAATAGCATTGTATAAAAATATGTTGCCAATTTACTATCAAATAAAAGAGTAAAATATTTGTGGCATGTTTTTTTTCAAATTACGTAAGTTTTTATCTTCTAATAGAATAATAAAATAGAATGATAGTTCAAGGTTTTAAAGGTATTGTACAAATATATATATTTTTTAAATACTGTCAATAATTGTCATGTAAATATCAAGGTTTTTTTTCTAAATATACATACAAAATATATAAGTTTTATTTGTATAAAAGTATTAATAGTTTTATAAGTATAATATATTTGAAAGCTTAATAAAACAAATATTATAAATATGTACTACGAGCCAAATCAATAATATATATTATATAATATAATAATGAATGCAAATTAATATTGCAACTATGATTTGTTTTGCCTATGTTTAATGGTATAATTCAATTTGGTTAAAAAATGTCCATAATATAACTAAATTAAAAAAGTTTAATTTCTAACACAACTATATTGTGATACTCCCTGAATAACATTTAAAATTAAAATTGATTTTAGATCTAAACAAATTGATGAGTTATAAAAAAGCTTTTTCTATTATACTCAGTAGCGAGGTGAGAGTCGGGTAAATAATTAAAAAAATATTGTACTCAAAATGTACATAAAAATAACTGTTATTTAAATCCATATAGTGGTTAGAAATCATTTCATTTTCTCCTATTAAACTTTGCCACTATAATTATCGTAAATATAATTAATTATTTGTTTAGTCAATTATTAATAGCTTAAATAATGTTGAAAATACAATAAACAATTGTATCTATTAATATATTCATTTTCATTCAAATATAAATGTATTATATAAATACATTTCTGTAAAACTTAAATAAATGTTTATTTTAATTGTTAATTAAATTAATAAACAGTATTGTTAAATGTCCTATCTAATGAATGAGAAAGGTTAATGATGTAGGTGTAAAATATAAAAATTATCAGAGGCCAATAAAAAACATAAGCTTAATGATCAAGTATTATTACATAACAAATTTTTCATTTTTAAACGTTTTTACACATTTAGGTTATTTTATATAATAAATTCACTACACTATCATGATCTAAAGTTATTTAGTTATACTGTTTCAAAAATTCGTCTGCACTTTGTAATAAAAGAATAATTACTCAATTTTTTTTTTATTTTATAATTTTTTACTAATGACATCGGTGGAAATTCTTAATAAATTAATGGAGATAGAGTAAATTTAATCTGCATGTTGCAATACCATCCATAGCTAAAACTAAAATTGCATCAACGCTTTAAAAGTACATAAAACTATAAAAAAAATTTGGGAAGGGGCTATTAAAATATTTGAAGGTGTTAAGCCAACCTAATTTTTGTTTATAATTATGAATTGAAAAGTTTGTCAAAAATATTTTTTTTCACAGTTTTATTAACTCTTTTAACATACTTGGTCATACATTTATATTGATATTATCTGTTACTTAATCAGTTGAGAAAACACATTTGAGCTTGTAAATTAGAGAAAAGTATTTATTTTGACATAATATATAACCCTTAAACAATTGTATGCAAAACTAAAAGAAATAATTACTGTCCATTTAGCCAAACAATATCGTCTTGGAAAGTTGGACTGGCCATAACTGATGTTCTTGCGTGCATCTGAAATCAGAGATTAAATATTTTTCTTAAATTTTGGACTGTTAGACAAAGAGCAATTTAATTATTTATTCATTACTATTTTAAATTACCTGCTCGCAATCTAGTGTCAAACTGAGGGAGTCGTTTAAAGGCAATATTAAGTTTTCGTTTCTCTTACCCCCTGTAAACATTTTACAATTGTTGTTAATGTATGTAAAACCAAATCGATACCTATAAATTAGGTTTAAAAAACTAAACGTACAATATTTTATAGCAGCTATATTAACCGGGGCTACACACGTTACAACTTGGTCCATGATTTGAAAAATGTTGAAACAATTATCTTACGAATAGACAATAGTGTACAGTTAACACGACGGCACTATATAGTTATTAGTTTAAGCAAGCAACAACACGAAGTGCACACGCCGCAGATGCAACTAACGGTATACTACCTAGTGGCTAGTACCTATACTACATAGTGATTAGTGACTATAATCTACATTTTAGTAAAGCACAAGCCAGTTAACACAAGTAAGCTGTGAAATAAACGAGCCGAGTTCAACCAATGCTGTAAATAGTACTTAGTAGTGACATTTTAAGCATTAAAATATCTAATACTGTAACTGGTGTAACAATGTAAAATCATCATTTTCATTTGTAATAATTTTCTGGCAAGACTGATCACTTGAGTGATTAGTTAACTGCTGTAAATGGCAATCCGTATTTAGACAGTATGTTTTATTAATATGCCAATGTAGACTGTACTACATATTGGTACATGGAATGTACCAATGTAAAAAACGGGTTGTAGGTAAAATGACGGTCATTTGTATTGGTTAGATAGCTCATATAATATTATTACACTGGTTAGTGATTACTCGTCACTCGCCAGACCGGCAATAGTTGATATAATAGACACAGAATAGATTTAATCAATTCTGAGTAATAGGTTATAGGTTATAGCCTATAGGTATCGACTTATTAACAGAATTAAAAAAACGTTATAAAAATGATAAATATTGATATATTTTTATAAAGGCCCTAATACTAATAGACAAAAATTGTAATTTTTATGTCGCTATATCGACGATTCGTGTGTACCCACAACCCACTCGTCCTACCTAAAAATAATATTACTAAATGCCATATACCAAGACTAGAATTTGAAAAAATTAATCACATTTTAATTATCCGTGACACAATTAACAAATAGTCATATAATGCAATTATCGATATTTTAAAAAATCGGTCAAATTTGGTAATTGGCCCTACCAATAATCTTTCGAAATTCACACAGTACACTGCATTAAGCATAGGACATTAAAAACTTCCTCGTCACTCGAGAGTCGTGAGTCGTGTGGGATCACATTACTAATTTATCACCTACCAAATAATTATCACTTTGTTTACGTCACCTTCGCACTTTGATAACATTAATATCAGCTGAAATATCAGTATTAGGCATTAGTTTTTTTTTCATAATAAATTACCGATACACACACAAAAACAATTATTATCTCGATACGTGTGCGTAGGCTTACAACAGTTGCAATTACTACATTTAAATATATACATATGTATATAAATATATATATATATATACATATGTATTTGTATTATTGTTGTGTTATTGACGTATAGAACGCATGTTAATGGCGCACTTAACTTAGTATGAATCCGGCAATAATGTTTTAACGTACATACAGCGGTTGTCAGGTTGTCTTGATAGAATAAGATAACAGAAAACGTTGCAGTGCCGAAGCGAAAAATCGCAAAATAATATTTTAGTCAAAATTCTAGTATAATATTTTGTGTGTACTCTTGCCCTAATGGGTGCCTTTCATTGCAAGTCATGTCAAAATGGAGAAGACGGCACAAACATATTCCGACATCGTCAGTCGACCGATAGCGAACGGAGAAGATTTCTATTCGGCAGACAACGTAACCGCAGTGGTTCTGTAAAACAGACTGACTCGTTGGTACTCCAAACCTTAAGCATCATAAAAAATTTAGGACTTATCGACAAGTAAGTGACTGACAGTTTTTAAACCTATATAAATGTGTATTTTGTAATGTCGATGTTTGATTATTTAATAGTATTACAAAAAGGCACATTTAACCATAGTTTAAAATTAACATGGTTTTTATATGTTTATTTTTGTGATAGAAAAGTAATTGTGATATACATTGTATATTATTTGTTAGTAGTTAAGCATTTTTATTGGCCTGAAAATTGTTTTTTTTTTTCTATTATAAGCTTTTGGATAATTTTTACAATTAAAATTGTTTAAAATAATTAATAATTATTATAGAATAGAAGAAGAAAAACTAAGCTTCTATTTTTGTTATGGTAAATCACATACCTAATCATATTACTCCAATAGGAAGTTGCATAGAATATAATGTATATTTTTTCTGAATATGGTATTAAATAAAAAGTTTTGCATCACTAGTAAGACAAAATCTAATTTTTAGCTCAGATCTGAGTTTTTAAATTTGTGTTATTTGAAAAAGTCGTATAGCCATATTTTTTATTCTGCTGTACATTTTTGGCTATTGTTGTGTAGCAGCCAAGTTAAAGTAAATGGCAAGAAGTTCCAACTAGTGCCAACATTTTTTTTGAAAATGTTTATAATTGAAATAATTAAACTCGCTCATAAGTTCATATTTTTTATGCGGATTGTATGGGTTTTTTTTTGCTTAAATGACTACCAAATAAAAATTCAACATTTTTTTTGTGCATCTATTTTATTCCCAATTTTTTTTCCAAATGTCAGTTCTGGCTGAAACACTTCTACTGATTCAAACAAATTAACACACACTATATTTCATCAGTCTTAAGAGCTGATTGAATATCAAGAAAAAAAATTAAATTTTTTGTACTCTTTTATTATGAACATCCTACAAAACTTAGCCCTTTTAAGAACCAAACTTTAGCCAATTGATTAGCTTAACGGATCTGTTGCTTTTATTAAGTAAAATAAAACATACTATTTTTTGTGAAGGGCGTTGATCAATATATATATTTATAAAATTATTGCTTGCTTTATATGATAAAATTTAATGTGGGTAGGTTGGGTTTGACTGAGTTTTTTATTGATAAGGTAAAAGAGAAACAACTTTTATTAAAAGTAAACTATCTGAGGGTTGTCTACACGACAAAGTGTAAACTTTGAGACATACAAGTACAGTACTATTACTGTATTATTATTTACTACAATAACAATAATAATAAGTTACACAATTACTACAAATTGTGTATTTTCTATATTGTTACATAGTATTTGAATAAAAAATGTAATTATTTATTAAACTGCAACCAATGTGTAATGTTCATTGTTATTGTGCTTTAGTAATTCTGAAGCTCCAGAAGCGTTACGAAAATTACATTGGTTAGCTGATGAAGGTGATGGTTGGATTCAAGTAGTATTATCGATGATTCACGTAATTCCTCTAGAAGATCCTTTAAGTCCAGCACTTATAACAGTAATTCTTGATGATTGCCCTTTACCTGATAAAGTAACTGTTTTTATTAATAATAAAAAATACTATGTTTTAAAATAATACAATTACTAATTTATATTTTGTTTTTAGGATACAATAATGAAGCTATCACAAATGTTAGACCTTTCAAATAAATTACCTAAACGTAAAACAGTTGATCAACATCGTAATATTTGTGTGATTTTGGGTATACTCGCAGATAAGTTGCCTGGACCTCTTAGTATTGCCTTATTAACTAAAGAAACATTGACTTATCTTTTTAATAATATGGTAAGAAATTAAATTTTATAAAAAAAATAAGGTATAAATTTGCTTTAAGCATACATTTTTTATTTTTAGGATTTGCAAATGCACCCATCAATAATTCTGTTTTCATTAATTGCACTTGAAAAATTCGCTCAAATAAGTATGTAACTTATTGTATACTAAATTTTGTGTTTCATTATTCATTTTTTACTAATTTTGAAAACATATTTAACATTTGTGTAGGAGAAAATAGATGTACAATTGAAAATTTTATGAAGACTGGACCTTTAGCAATGTTAACAATATTTGAAAGGTTGACTGGTTCTGATCAACCTCTTTATGCTCAAGTTGGGTTCTGTGCTGAATGGCTTTTAGATAATATATGTAATAAATCAGTTGTTTTATTCTAATAACTTTTGTATGTATTAGTATTTTTAGTAATTCAATGATTTGATGTGTAGTTATAGATGATCAGAGACCACTTTCACATTCTAACATTGCTATGGAAGGAGTAAATGCTGTATTAAATCAAGAAGATGCTAGCGAGTATATAAAACTTGGACCTAGTGGACTAGAAGTATGAGAGTGTAACTAAAGTAAATTTGTGTTTTTATCTAAAAAATGTACTATTCATTCTTCAGGCAAGATGTGATGCTTGTAGTTTTGAGAGTGTCCGGTGTACATTCCAAATTGATAAAGGTACTTGGTATTATGAAGTGACCATATTAACATCTGGAGTCATGCAAATTGGCTGGTCAACGAGAAATTCAAAATTCTTCAATCATGTAATTGTTTATTTTTATTAGATGCTTATTGGATTTTGAAATCTAATTCAGTTGTATGCTTTAGGAAGGTTATGGGATTGGCGACGATGAGTATTCAGTAGCATATGATGGGTGTAGACAACTAGTGTGGCATGGTGCTCGATGTACAAGTTCTGTGCTAGGACGATCGTGGCGTGAAGGAGATACTGTTGGATGCTTGCTAAGAGTTGAATCGCCATCCCCTTGTGCAACTTTCTATTTGAATGGCCAAATTGTCGCATCAAATGATAAAATATTTCAATACGCTAAGTATGTACAACTTAGTTACCTTGGTTATCAAGTGTTTTTCATTAACATTAGTGCAATATATGTATATAGGTCTGAATTTTTCGCCGCTGCCAGTTTTATGACTTTTCAACAAAGTCGATTTAATTTTGGTGGCAAACCGTTTAAATATCCACCTAAAGGTATTATTTTTAGTGTCATGAACGAACATGGACAACTAGATGACAAACAGAGGACAATTTTACCAAAGTAAGTGTTCTTTTAAACATTCCAAATCAATTTAGTTTCTATGGGTAGCTGAAAAAGTACTGTTTTTCAATTATGATTTAAATTTTACTTTCTATTTTTGTGACTGGACCGACGATAAGTATTAAAATATTTCCCATCAATATAGTGGGGGTTGTACTACAATTTTTCATGATTCAATTGCTTAATGCTGTAATAAGATTTTGTATAAAACCAAATTTACATTTTTTCAACTAAATTTTAGTTTTGTTTTTGAAAATGTAGTAAAAAATCAGTCGAATCGCAGCTGTAGTCTTTAAAAAAAAAACCCATCAAAATCAGACCTCTTTAGAAAGCATTGTTTTTCCTATAAAGTAATTTTTAACTACCAAAATGGCTATTAAACCTAGCAAAAATTTGTGCTTGTTAAAAGTATTAAAACCGAATCATTGATTAATTAATAGTCCACAGTGTTCATAAATACAGCTGGTCAAGTCCCACATAAAAATTAAAAATTATATTGTCTTTTATCTTATACAATATAATTACTGGCAATCACCGTATACAAACGTATTTTGTATGATATGGGATTAATGATTATATAGTTATTTTATTTAAACCAAAAGCTTTTGACATTATTTATTATTTTAATGAAAATGTGATACAAGGGGCATATAATTATTCATGTCCCTTCATTTAAATATACATATTATATAAAATATATAATGTATTTATATATTTTTTTTTGTAAAAAAAAAAATATTTCCCCTGCGGGTGGGGGTTAGAATATACCTGCGGTAGTCCATGCCAGTCGTAAAAGGCGATCAAAATGGATCAAACAATGGGCAGCAGCGTTGTTTGTATCAAGTATAGATTAGCACCTCATAGAAATAAGAGGTGCTACTGTGATGCAGAAGGCAAGGGGAAACCACTGCATTACCATTCCCAACACACAACCATGATACGCTCTTCTAGTAATATAAAAAGTACTAATCATGAACCCAGAGAAACAAATCTGGGGAATATGAAGAAGCTATTAGCTCTAGCAAGTTATGAAATGAAAAGACTAGCAGATAAAAGAGAATACTGGTTGAAGCGACAAGGCCTTTAGCGACAATAATAAAAAAAAAAATATATAAAATATGCAAGTCAGTAAGCCAATATAGGCAGTCCCGTTAGTTTGTGTGATTTAGCAATACTTATTTTAGACATGGAATGTATTCAGCTGTTAGCGATTAGCTTAAGTTAGTTGCTTGGTGAAAAATGAAGTTAAATATTTTTCCCTAAAACAGAAAACTATACATAATAAGTAATCGTGAAAACTAGATCTTTCGAAGTTATTATGATTTTTTAAATATTGCCATGTCGTTTTATTTACGCCAAGTTTACGTGTTCATTACTTATGAACTGCTCGACCAAATCAATTATTTTGATGGAAACTCGTTTGTGCACATCATATTTTTGCCAATTATAAGACGTCTCGTTTGCGCACATTGTTATCTTATCTCTGGTTAGACCTTTTCCCCCTACATTATTACATAATCGACTCGTTTGGATATGCATACAATATATTTTATACTCCTCAGTCCTCATCCTCATATTATTTAGTAATGTTTTGATATAATTTTACAAAATAACTTCCGAAAAAACAATTATATCAGGATACAAACATTTTTAAAACAACTTTTTTGTGATTACAAACGTAAAAAAAATGCACTATTTTTAATAAACCCGCCTTTCCATTACATTATAGTTGTATGATAGATGGAAAGTCCCAAGGTTGAAGGAAAATGTTGTATGAATTTTAATACGTCTGTGTTATATTTACATGTAAATGTGCGCAAAAAACTATATTACCCTGAAAATAGGGTTTCTATTGTTCATAGTTTAGTGCGCAAACAAGTTGTCTTAATTAGGTAAATGTGTGCTTTTTTTCTCGTTTAAACATCACTATTTACTTAAAATAAAAAATATGTACAAAACAATAAAAAAAAAAGTAACTAAAAAAACTAAGTCAGAAATTTGTTGATCATACATTGAATGACCCAGTTTTTTAATTTTGTAAAATAATATTAAAACTTATTCCGAAATCCGAAACTAGTTTTTTTAACGAGCTACGAGTGGTCGCACCGGTCAGCGGCGTCGGACTATTTGGAGTTGCAAAAAATATTGTTATAATATTGCGCGACATCTATGAATAGGATAATAAAATAATATGTATTAACAGCTATTTGCAGTGTTGTGGGGGTTGGCCATCAATTAATTGCAGTTAAATAATGACCGAAGCTTATAAATATTACTCTAAAAATTAATTGGCATGGCTGAAATGAAAACTTCATTTTTTCTCAATTACTGTCTTTATTTCCCCCTTAATAGGCACGACCGGGTTAAGACCGAGAAAAAAAAATAAAACAAGATTACAAATAACACCGAGTAATATTTGTCATTTTTTTAAAATAAAAGCAATTATGTAGTGTGGTTTGAAAATTGAAATGGTAAACTACCTCAAAAACTAACCGTGGCGTATTTTTTTTAAAACAGCTGAATAGTCATAACCTCAATTTCTGGTGTGACTTCACTTAAATAGCTGTAGCTTAAAATTAAAAAAAAAAAGGGTAACATAAATAATTGCCAAGTTTTCAAATTTTTTAGCTTTTAAACGTACCATTTGGGAGCAGTTTAAATCTTAAACTATTTATTTTAGTTATTCACTAGGGGTGCGAATTATTATAGAACACATTTATTGCCTTAAATATGATTTATATTTATACTTAATAGTTGTATTATTGTTTGAGTTACAATATGTGACCTCTGTTCCTATTATTCCAGGTTTTTTTTTATTGAAATATACATTGAACATCTTAATATTTAGATTTGTTTTTAGGAGAATGAGACTGGAATTTTTGGGTAGACAAACGGCTGATGAGGATTCTTGTACTATCTGTTTTGATCACAAAGCTGATGTGATGTTACATCCGTGTAAACACGAGTAAGTTGAATTTATTAAATTATGCTATTTTCAGATTAAAATGTTATGTTAAATCAAGTTATCAGGGAGAGAGTAGGAATGCAAGAATATGATATATTGAAACCATGTAGTACCCATTAAAATTGGCTAATTTATTTTGGATGAGATTTTTGAAAATTTGCATAGCACTTATATTCAGTAGTGAACAACTTATTAAAAATAAAAAAATTGGAGCAAAATGTCGTTTTAATGTGGACATATATACAATGTATTTTTTTCACACCATCAGCTAATAATAGACTTTTTTTTAATGTTTGGCATTGCTAATTTATATATATATATATTTTATAAAAACATAATGGGGCTTCAGGCGGAAGAAGTATAATTTAACCGCCTTTATTATCAAATGCACGTTTTCCAAATATATGGTATCATCATTTCAGAGGATATTGTAAATCGTGTGCACAACAATTGACATTATGTCCAGTATGCCGCCAACTTATTGATAGGTATCAAGAAACTATTCAGCAGCAGCTTGCAATTCCATCTACCACAGTCCTAGTCAGTTAGCTCTGATGTATGATCTCTTATGTGGTTGTAGTATATGTTTATATATATATATATATATAATACATATTAAAACGACTATATGTATATATACTTTTATTATTATATTTGTAAACTTTGTGTATAATCAATCGACCATAATATGATAAATGTTGTATAAAAATATGTATCTTTTTAAACAAATGTGTGTTTATAAGTAATTTGTTTATATAGTTCCTTCTTTTTTCAATCTAGGCGTAATAAACGGTAAAATATTAGGAAAACCCAAACAAATTTACTCAAATATATAAATCAATATAATAACAATAATTAATAAAATGTTACAATATAATATAATAATTATATAACTGTTTTCTCCAAATGCAGTTTATTGGCACAGCCATTGTTGGACTAAATTAGTTAAATATCATTACCTTAAAATTAAAAAAATATATATATATGCTTTGTTTGAAAAATAATTAGCTAGCGCTTATGCCAAGTGTTCGACTGCTATCGGCAAAATAACGCACATCTCTATCTTCATCTCTACGTAAACGTATCAAAGTTTCAGACAATATATCATGTTGAGGGTTTTGCAAATCCATGAAAATTGCTAAATAAACAACAAATATTTTTACTATATTTAATATATTTTATTTTTAAATTTATCACTTACGGTTATTAGCTACATGAGAATATAAAGTTTTGGCAACCATTAACCTCACATTAGGAACACGATCTGAAGCTAAATTCAATAAACTCGGTAATAACTCATTGCAGAAATCACCAGCTGATAAGCATCGTTCTCCGCATGATAATATATAAGAGCATATCTGGGCAAACATTTGCCGACGACTCCACAAGTCCGCTCGTCCGAAACGAGTTACCAATTCATTGAGCATCAGTCTTTTGAGACTAAGATTTTTATTAAGAACTACTAAAAGTTCTGGAACCTAAAAATATAAAAATTTAAATAAATAAGCAACATAGTTTACAATTAGTAGTAAGTAGTTACTAGTGATAATGCAGATTGGCGCACAGAAGAAATTCTATCCATCAATAAAGACAAACAAACTTCATGTATATGGTGGTACATATCAAGCGGAGTAAATAAATGTAAAGATTCAGCCAATTGTTCACAAAAGTTCTGTCTGAATCGCCAATTCCATTCATAATCAGTTTTGAGAAAACGGCACATCATGGGAGCCAAATCGCTACGGACACTGACAGACAGCATCTGTACAAATAAAAATACAATTAGTCTATAATGTAAATTAAAAAATACTGGTATTTATAATTAATAACACTTATTTTAGGTTACACTGATAAGTGGTGCCATACAAGTAGGATTCTCGCTGGCAACAAAGATACCCTCGTCAAAGTTTACGGACGGGAGATAGTAATATATGATAAGGGTATCTCCATTGTCAGCGAGAATTCCACATTTTTTGTATAGCACCACTATCAGTGTACTACCATTAACGTATTTAGTAAACACATTGACACCTTCAACAAAAACATCTTATCTCTTATTCCAATTTGTCAGGGTAAAAAAACGATCACCTAAGTTTTTTTCTTTATTATTCATATTCTTTTTCTGAGATGTTGGTCGAGCCAGAAAGAGAGATACAATATTTTTTGAAGCAGGTGTTGACATGTCTTACAAAAAATGACTTCCAACATATCTATATAAATCCAATTGATTTATATTATAGTTTAAATAATGTAAAAGTTTGTCTAATTTTTATCAGAAATTAATGGAAAATGCACATCATTTGGATATCAGATGAAACACGGACCAAATTTATCATCATGTTTGTCAATCATACAAATCTATTGTAAATAAAATACATTGGGGCAAGATTGAATATTTATAATTTTTTATGAAACTAAACATGTCCTTTTTGTGTTCGGTCTCTAGTAAAAAATTGCGGCACACAAGGCGACTCGTGTGAAACCGGTCTAAAAGGACGTTTACCTCCTATTTTTTAAGGAGATATAACTTTTTTGTATATGGAATTTTTCTTAATAAAACAATAATTATTTAAACAACTAATTGTATCAATAGGGTTTCAATTATCTTTTCATTGATCAAAAGCAATTGTGAATTATATCGATTTAACACTCTTTTAATGTAAGCCTATTAGAAAACTCGTTCGTCTATTTAATTTAGACGCCGAGACAAGCAAAATAGGCTAAAATTTAGAATGCAAGGTGTAGTTGTAAATTAAAAATTCAAATCAATCATTAAATAAATAATTAATCATCTTGCGCCAATAAAAGAAAAATAGCATTATAACAATTATATCAGAACTGTTATGATGTTCATCATTTGAATATCAGATGAAACACGAACCTAAGTCTTCATCATATTTAAAAAAATCTACAGTTCCTTTTTGTTTAACTTTTATTATAAATTATAAATTAAGAATAATACTAATTAAATTATATCAGAAATAGAATGATGCTCATCATTTGAATATCAGATGAAACACGAACCTAAGGTATTCATCATATTTAAAAAATGTATAGTTCCTTTTCGTTTAACTCTTATTATTTACCCTTTCAGTCCCCTTGTACATTTTAATACCGACATTTTAATTCATTTTCATTCAGTTTATTAACCTTAAACGCGATTTAGCGGTATCTTTGAATTTGTAAAATCGTTAGAACCAGAATAAAATATAATATTGATTATATGTTATCAATGTTTTTAATAAATCTCTCTTTAAACAAAAATAATTTGATAAAGACGCTATCATATTTTTTTTCCACAAATAAAAGTCGGGACTGAAAGGGTTAATTACAAATTAATAATAGTGCAAATTATATTATATCAGAAATGGAATGGTGTTCATCATTTGAATATCAGATGAAACACGAACCTAAGTCTTCATCATGTTTAAAATGAGTATACCCACAAATAATTTTTTTTTTACCCGAAGAAAAGCGGAAAAATGATCAATGGCACCAGATCGAACTTCATCCAGATCTAAAACTAAAGACTCGAATATTGGCAAAAGATCTCTGGATGTAGCTTCTTCTCCAATAAAAATGGCCAACTTGTGAATATAAGATGCAGCCTTTCTTCGAACTTTCCACTAAAAAATGTCAAGTACTATTAATAAATTATAATTTATATTATATTTTACAATAAATAAATAAATACATTTTAACAAAATCAATAAGGGTGAGAACTAGGTGGTAGTGTATTCTTGGCTAAGGATGGTTTCTCTCTGGAAATGCGAATACCTAGAGAAATTACCATCCTTTTTTATGGCACAGAATAATCTTTAACAGTATCTATATCCTCCTCAAATAATTTTTTTTTGCCATTTGGCGAGTCACCTGAGAAAACAAAATGTAGGTCTATAATTTGTCTCACGAATAAATGGCAGTGAGGCATGACAAAATTCAGTCCGCCTCATGCATCCACTATGCACTTCACTCTAATACTTCTTCCATGCGCAATATGGCGGATTGTGACCAATTAGTGACATCACAGTCAGTATTTACTAATAACCAGGCGTGTGGATAGGGTTTGGTGGGTTCAGTAGTGCTACGATGCCATATTTTGAATGTGCAAAACACTGCCTTTCTTTTGTGGGACAGTGTTTTACAAATCAGAGTTATATATCTGTTAAATCATCATGGTACATACCGATCTATGTGAAGCAAGAACATAGTAAGTATGTCTAAGTAATGGCCAGTGAGAAGGTCCAATAGTGACGAGTACAGCAGGCAACATACAAGCACATTGTGACGCAAGATCGCTGTCGTCAAAGGCGCCAGCCATATCGGCGTAATGGTCTAATAATACAGATGGAACTATAAGATCAGCTGATGATTTATTTTCGCCATCGTCTTCCACTTCTTTGACAGGTTTTACTTCAAATTCAGACTTTTTCATTTCAGTACAATTTAAATTCGCTAAACACAATAAAAGCATGAAACACATATTACTCAATTTTAACCCTCAAAATATGCAGACATGACTTACTCGAGTTATTATTCATAGGCACATACCACAATTTATTTGGCAACATTGTTAGTTGTCTATCACCATCGTTTTCTCTTTCGTCATAATCGCTCTACAGATTATAACAAAATAACATAAGACATTTTTAAACATTGAAATAATAACATACAAAAATCTTACTTCAAAATTAAAAGATGATTTTGTATCACAGATAGGCTCTCTCCAATAGGCAAAAGTGCTGTATAATTCTTCTGATTCAGTCTTAACATTATAGTCCGCAACCCAAAATCTACAAAACACAAGAATTGGACACGAAAAAAATAAAAAATAAAAAAACTATTTAAAAAAACTAATTGTATCAATAGGGTTTCAATTATCTTTTCATTGATCAAAAGCAATTGTGAATTATATCGATTAAACACTCTTTTAATGTAAGCCAATTAGAAAACTCGTTAAGTCTATTTAATTTCGACGTAGAGACAAGCAAAATAGGCTAAAATTTAGAATGCAAGGTGTAGTTGTAAATTAAAACAATACAAACTATTACATCAAATTAAAAAAATGTATGAATACATTTTCCATAAAATATATCAGTGATAAGTAATATAATATTTAAAAAATACCCAAGTCATTGGTAATACATTAATCCTTAATAGAGGTCGTCCGTCATACCTCCATTTATTTAAGAGGGTATAAATTAAAAAAATGTAAATAAATATATTGAAATGTTGTGAGGACGTATTTTTTTTCTTTAAATTACTGTCAAAAATGCTGTGGTAGCACGGAAAAATAAATGAAATACAAAAAATTTTCATTATTTCAATACAGAATGCGATTTATAAATTTTAATTAAAACTTGTATTTTATTCATAATATTTCAATTCAATAGTAATAATAAAAAGGGAAGGAAATTTGTAACAATATTATAATTAGTCGCCTATCAATAATTTGATAAGAATGGTATGTAATTTTATATGAAGTTTAAAAATACATTAGTATAAAATATAACATATGAACATATATGTCTATTGTAGTAACTATTTAAGTATTTATTTTATTCAATTTTTACTTGTTATCATTTTTCATTGATGTTTCATTAGACCAAGGCTTTTCTCGATCCATAAGTAATTCAGTTGCCTTAAAATATTCTTGACTTGTTTGACATTTCATACTGTTTAAAACAATTTTAATTTTAATATGAAAAAAATTAAAATTGTACATATAAATCTGATAAACTGATTCACATTTTATACATACGTCATGTAATGTAAATCATCAGTGAAATTGCTGACCATCATAAGGATATAAGTACGAGTGGTGACTAATGAAGTGACTGCAGGATTCGCATAGGTAGTGATCAACGGGCCTAAATTTTCTAATGCTGTCAGACGTACAAATTTACAGCTATCGCTAAGTAAACGACTAGCCGCATCAGTTACAGGACCTCGTCTCAGGGAGTCATCACAGCATGCCGATAATGGTGTAATAATATCAGCACATGTCTTCCGAATCGTACTAACACGATCATTACACATTTCTACGTAACGAGGTAGCTACAGAATAAATAGTGTTATTTAAGGCTTGAATTAAAAAAAAAAAAAAAAATAATGAAAATAATATTAACTTACTAGAACTTTGGTTTTTTGTTCAATATCTAGTACATGACCAAGCTCAGGAAAACTTAATAAAGCTGCTAACCTCACATATATGCAATCGCTTTGGCTTTTATTGATCAAAAATGGCAACACGGTTTTGCACACAAAATTGTCATCAACTTTGAGAACAAGTTTTCCTACTAACTGTAGAAAACAAAAAAAGAGGTCTTACTAGAATGTTATACATATAAAACTAATAAGTAGAAACTATTTTATTTAGAGACAACAGTAGAATAATTAAAAAAATTAATGATTGTAAAAATTGTTGCGCTCATACAAAGCTGGCTGTGATACGGATTTATTTAATTTAATATGAATAACTAGAACGTATCACAACCACTTTGACGAGAACCACAATTCTTGTGCTTTCACAAAATGTTGATTTTTTTAGTAATCTGATGAAAGATTAATTTGAAACGCTCATCAAAGCTGGCTGTGATATGATTTTCAGCATACAACATTTCACAGTTGCTTTGTGAGCATCTCAAATCAAATAAGAACAAACGTGAAGAATACGAGTAGCCACCAAAATTGTCAAAAACGGCTGTGATATGATTACAAATATCAACACGTCACATCCGATTTGACCATTTAGACGTCTTCGAATGGCGAATAAAACATATGCAGTAGCTGAAGAAACATCATTCGTAAATACAATTAATTACCTTAAGTACTTTGTATTAAATTTAACATTATAAAATAATAATTGGTAAATGTTTAAATTAAAATAGAATCATAGGGGGGGGGGGATGTAGTCTTTATCTGTAAAATATTTTTTTTAGCCATGTTTAAAATTATCTTTACATATTAAACCTTAATTATTAAAGTATATTGTTTAGTTCAAATAAAAGTATTACTTACATCAAATTTGAAACACTTTTTTTAAAGGTAATATTATTTCACAAAAAAAAAAATTTATCTATGACATTTAAAAAACTTATACAAATAAAAGAAAATAAAAAGCTGGTAAATAATAAGTGATGATTACAATGATTTAATTTAGTAATAATATCAATAAAAAAGGTTTTTTTTTTTTAGAAACAATCATGGGAATAATTAAGTAGCTGTTACTATTTATTAATAAAAACTATATAAAGTTAAATAGAACATAATTTTTTGTCTTATAATTAATACAAAAGTATATATAAAGAACACAAGATTGAAAAAAAAAAAATGAACAAAAGTAAATATAAATAGTAATAAAAAAGTAGCATTTTTTAGTACTACACATTAACAAAAGTAGATTGTACCATTTACATCGGCTCATCAAAGTGGCTGTGATATGAAAATAATATAAAAACACTTCACATCCACTTGGACGGCCTATGTTAGGCTTTTCAGGTAGACATTTTCTGATGTACAATATCGATCCGATGCTCATCAAAGCTGGCTGTGATAGTCAAAAGAAATGAACACTCTACGACAGCCCGCTTTGACGGCAACAGATCGACTTCAAATGTTAAGCAATTTTTGCAAGATACAAGTTGATGCTACATGAAAGACAAGATAGTGAGATGGCTTTAAACCAATGGCATCTCACTACCCATGTCTTTCAATAAGCAACGACTATATCAATTGTATTCCATGGACCTATAAGCTTAATAATAAATACAACTAAGTAAATAATACTAATAAAGCTAATACACTTTTACTAGTAGTAAATGTAACTAAAGGTGGCAAATTACCGTGACAATATTATTTTGCACATGGAGATCGTCTGTTGCATTAGCAGCTAAAATGAGTGCCGGACAAACAGTTTCTTGTACAGTCTTGTTATCAATTACACCTTTACTTATAATATAAGTCAGTACCATTTGAGCTCGCATTATTACCTGTAAAAATCAAAATTGATAAGTTTTAATATAATTATATATGTAATATTAATATCAATTATATATAATTGATTGTTATTAAAACTCACTTGTTCAGCTGGGTCTGATAATGATCCAATAATTTCTGGCAGTAAAGATGAATGTATGTAAGACTTTAGATTGTTGTGTTGGTGAAAAATTGTGCATAAATACCCAACCGTACTGATTGTATCGAAACGCATCAGTTTGTCTGCAATAATAATACAATAGTTATGGAAGTTAATACCAACCAAAAATAATTAAGATTGGAAATTAATTAGTAGTAAGAAATACCTTCGTCTTTTGTCATTTTTTTGATCACTGAAAGTATGTCTGGAATCATTTCCAAATGATCCTTTATCACAGATTTCATACAACATGATATATATTTTGGAGTTGTGTTCCTGCAAAAACAAAAACTTAAGTCAAAACTAGAAAGACTGATAATAACCTGGACCAAAAAAATAGAAAAAAAATAATTTTTTTTACTTAAGTCCAACCAATGACCATACGAAAACGTAATTGACAATTAAAAATAAAAGACCATATTATAGAGTATTTATTTTTAAAAATAAAAACAATCGATAATTAATGTAGGAAACAAAAGTTAGAAAGCGCATTTCAAAACTGTATTCATTGTGGGGTGTTATGAAAATAAAGCATAATATTGAATGTCAAGATACTTAAATAATAGAACAGTCACATTTTTGTGCAACAGCACAACACAACCGAGGTTTTGCGAAGGGAAAAAATCTTGCCATACTTAATACAACGAAAACTATTAATATATTGTAGTGGTCGATCACATTATTATGCATCGTATCAATGCACTAGAATGTAAATAATAACATCAATAATAATAATAATAAAGCTATTCGGCGGTAGGCAAGGATAGCAATATTGGACGCTATCGCATTTAGAATATTTTTTTTAGGGTGTGGTGCGCGGTTGCGTTGAAAATATAACAACAATAACAACAACATATTTAATGCGTAGTAGAGAAAAATAGGGGTTGGATGTATTTTAGTATGTGGTGTGCCGTGTATCCGTCTATACGTTTCCCACTCTTTCAAAACTAGTCAGAATGCACGCATTACACATACAGGACTACCAACCCATACCCGCTTACACATTTGGGACAAAACCATCAACAAAAGGCAACGCACGCATCACAAGCAGCAGTGTATAGCACCTCGTCCTCTACTTACGCAGCGGTGGCTATAACATAAAAAAAGTGGCCAAAAGGGCAGAGGGAGGAATAGAGAGCGAGAACATGCTGCAGTCGGGTCGGTTCAAGGTCAACGATTCTAAATTAAACCCAACGGTTCCATTAATATTTACGAGTAGTCGTCGTCGCTCCGCCAGAGAACGGACGCATAACAGCGGCGATACGTTATTAACACACATGAATAAGGAGAAATGCCAATATTAATCGTTATTCAAGCGTTCTACCGCAACTGTCTGGGTGTTGAGATAGCACATGTCTCATAGTTAAGTAATAAAATATCAAAATTAAAAAAAACGTATATGAGTTTGTTGAAATGGAAAGCAATCGTACGCTTTACATTTTCAATTTAGAAAATCAATATAGGTATTTCAAGTTCACACAATTTTGGCGCCCCACAATAGCAGATTTTAATTGCTATCCATTGCCTCGACATTGTTGTCGAATCGGAGATGCACTCGATTTTAATGTTTGGACTTTTGTCCAAGTTTCGCAAGCAAAAACGAGGGTTGGGGTTACGTTACGACGGGGTATTTTGAAAACCCTGCCGGATGACGTACCGTTTATACTACCATAAAATAAATAAATCAGAAACGTGGAATTTTTCCAACGTCGAAACTAAATAGTCCGGGGGATACGAATTAAAATATAATAATGAAATAGAACTCGGGCGTTGTTGGTCGGTCGTACGGGACGCACCCGACACACGCCGCGAGATGACACTGGCACACGAAATCCCCGCGCGATCGATAGCAGTTATTTTTCTCCCCTCAAAACGCTACCGTCACCTCCTCCTTTCCCTCGGCCTACTAGTACGCACCACGAGCCGGCGTACATCCCACGCCGATCGTGTAGTACACGAGCTTTCGGCGTGCACATGGGTGCCCACACGCCGGTGGACCGCGGTCACCTCAGCAGTTTCCTTACACATAAATTATGCCGTAATTAAGAGCCTTAAAAATACTGGTATTTAAGCAAGGGACTATCATTTCTAAGGCTTCTTTGACGTGCGATGATAGTCAAACGGACCGTACGGAGCCCACGTGGCGAAGTGTCGTTAATTTCCTTCCCCACGAGTAAATGTCTCAATGGAGTGGCATTGGCGCAGGAATGCGATGTATGACCATCTGCACTACCGGTACTTCCGGTGGCCATTAACGCGTTTGAACAAAATGTTATCTGGTTTTCGACGTAAAGAACGCATTTTTTTCCTCCTAGACGCAAGCCGTAGTCGTTAAAATCAACAAAAAGGTCAAATCCGGCAAGACGCAAGTAAACATGTGTGCGCCATTCCCCCACTATTACGAGATTTACAACGCTCACACAAATACACGCGGTTCATTCATGAAGACATCACATAGTACACCGATGCACGACGGTTATGAACCATGAGTTTAGAAGGGGTCAGGATCGCATTGTGCGGCGCACGCACCATCACAACAACAAACACGCACACGGGTCAATCGCGCCGCATTTTACTGCGTAGAAACCGGTGGTGGTGAACAACAAAATCGATAGAGTATTAACACACATGTACTGGCATTGAATGCGTTGACCGTCGGTTACCTTACATTATTTAAGTGGAGGGGAGGTTAAACGCGGGAAACCAAATATCAAAAAGTCTTACCTCGGCGGATAGCGCCTCCGTTTCATTTATAAACATCATGGTGTGGTTATTTTTTTTTTAATTCCTCAAAATCGTCGATAATATAGCTGCAGTCGGGAATTGTTTCAACACAAGCATCGTGGTTTTGACAGAAGAAATAACACTGTTTATATGTCTATACAACAAACGTCAAACACGCACACCAAACACAACGGCCACTCAAAACGCGCGAATACCGCGCACGGACGCCACACGTCGGGTACTACTATGGCGATGGACAACGGATAACGACAGCGGCGAAACGTACTGCCAGAAAGAGAAATGAGAAAGCAGCAAGCGACGCACACACACTCACTGTGGAATGCGCGCGCTCACGTGAACGTATAATACGACGGCGGCAGACGAATGAGTATGTGTGTGTTTGTATGTATGCTTGCATGTGATGCGCGTGCGTGTACCCGACGGTGGATACAAAATACTAGTCTGTGAAGTAAAAAAAAAAAAAAAACGGGAGAACCGTTCAGTGGGACCAGTTGGAGGGTATCCGGTGTGCGGCAGTGCCGCCAACACTGTTGACGCGTGGTGTTAGGCCACCGCGCCGTCAAAATAAACACGGGCCGTCTCGGGGTGGGGCCCTTCGTTGCCGGCGAACGATGAACCGAGCGGTAGGTAAATAGCGTGTGCGAAAACGCCCGGAAAAATAAGGGCGACGTTACAGCGCGCGCTTTCTCCGAGCTACGGCGGCGGCGACGACGACGACGTAGACTTTCGTCTGGTCTGGTATCGATTGGCGGCCGTGAACAACTACACAGTACAAAACAACTCGTCCCGCCACCCCGACACGAGCCTGCGCGGCCCTAATATTTTGCCGCCGTAACTTTTCCCCTAACGTAAATAATTTACTATTTTCATACCACCACGCTCGCGTGCTACTATCTCGTGGAAAATAGTAAAACGTAGCGTAAAAGAACAACGCGCAGCGACGATGACGGTGTTAAAGCGAGTGCGCGTTTCCTCCATTCATTCTCTTTTTTCATACATACGCTGCTTTGCAATATCCGCCACTGCTGTCTTTTAAAATAAAAAAACTGACGAATTTAAAATTTATTGAACTCCGTCAGTGCGTGTTTTTGTTAGAGGCCTTGTCAGTATATCGATTTTATGCAAAATTATTTGAATTATTAAAAGTACCAAATTTCGACAATCCACCAACCTTCTAAATAATATTATAGTGTTGCAATGTGTGAACATAAAAATATATGCACAATAAACCAAACGTCCAATACAGATTTTTTAAAAATGTACAGTATATATATTTTGATGTATTAAGTAGCAACATAATAAATAAGCTTAAATATATGCATTTAAATTGGTGCAAATCCAGCGCCGGTGCATTATTAATAGAGTACTTTTACATGCATGTTTGGATCACTTATATAGAAATCTAATAATGATGGAGAAATAACACAAACTAACAGACTACAAGAATTAAATTTGTCTTTAAAACATTACTGTTGAACTTCAAGGATCATAATAAAAAATTAAGGGAGAAAAATCATTAGACACAAAAAAAAATACAGAATGTTAAATAATGTTAAAGCGATTAAAATATTGATTGTTATGCATTAATGAAAAGGCGCTATAATAATATACCTATTTGCCTATTCACAACGTGCTTGGGTAATTCTAAATTCATTATTAGCATTTTGAACTTTATTTCTGTTAGACTGTAAACGCGTCGAGACGTTCTGACCCACTTTTTTCTTACTTAACGTTGCGTGAAGCCGCCGCCAGCCGCACACGGTGGACAACGGCATCAACAAAAAAAGTTATTATTTATATTTCCTGCGTTGTTCTTATTTTTACGCAGTACCCGAGGACCGATAACGTTCATTTATGTATTACACACTTGTTACTCATTTAACGCTCACGTTACACACACACACACACACCCACTGCGTATGTGGTCATCGTCGGACGTCGACCAAGCACCATTTACGCTAATAATGTACGTGTGCGCAAATAGATAGTCACAAAACGAAAAATCATCGGCAGCCGGTTTTAAGGGACTAATGTCGCACTTGAAGAAGTTTGCAAGTGAAAACTTATGTTGTAAACACAAATAGAGGGGAGGGAGCGAGGAGACCTTTGAAAAGCAACAGAGCGCGCCAGACGACCGCGCAGACAGGAAGTAACATTTTGACGCGTCTGGCTGCTATTTATACTTGGCCGGGGAACTAACTGTATGAGGTGCCACATGACCACCTTGGGTTCACACTAATGTAGCGGAAGCATAAATATTTATTAGTCCACAACTACCGATTATTATAGCCGCTTTGTTATCACAAATTGTTATGCAATTGAAACTTTTGCGAAAATATGTAAGGTATATAATATTAGACAAATACATTTCAACAAAATCTCTCCGTTTGTCTCGTGGGACGGGCGTGGGTCGTTCACTCGTTGGCACAAAGAAATTGTGCGATTTTATTTTTGCCCAACTTAAAGGTACCAGCGGCGGCGTTCGACCGTCAGGCAACGACGGCAGCCAGTTGGCACGAATGCGGATAACGTTAAATATAGACCGGCGGCGGAGGCACTGATGGACCCCCAAACGCGGTACAGTGGTCATGCACAAGAGAAGCAGTGTAAGGAGAAAAATTAAAATACACATACTGCTCCTCCACTGTCTTAGAACGTGCCCTGCAACATTCGTGGATCCTGCGACCCATATGTCGAAGAGGGGGGAGGGCACAACTACATACAATTTACGCTACTAAATCGTATTTTACACTCGAGAGATGAAACAGCTGCTAGAGCAGTTGCAGTTGTATATATCGTGCATGTCTGTTTTCCAAGAATAGTCGCACGACCCTCGGTAAAAAGGCCAGGTGGTTACGAGGGACAACAGGGCAAAATTATAGCGGCGCTGCGCTCTTCCCTCTCTCATCACTTTTTTTCCGCTGAACCCCGTCATGCATTCCTAAGGTGTACAGGTCAATCCTGAAATATCGAGCTAGAATCGGTTCTCGAAAGTCTATACCTTATTTCTTCAGCGGAAGCGTTGTACATTTGTCGCACGGTCTCACTAGGCACGTGATCCCCATGCTGGTTGCCCACAAAATCAAAGATTTCCATGGACTCGTCGTCACCGGCGCCCTCGTTGTTCTGGATCATCAACCTCTCGATACCGGCTCCCACTGTAAACACAAACAAAACGGGTTTTATTACGCGTTTAAATAAATAAACAAACAACAATTCTCGGACTGCATGACCACAGACGGAAGGGAAGAGAATTTTTGCGTCGAAACGCACGGTTTTAACCCCGACGACTCGTCTATTAGGGCTGGTAGGGGCGGGAAGCGGGTCAACCGAGTTATGGTCGGCGCGGTTGGTTTGGTGGTCAAACGGTTTGCCCCGGCGTCCAGATGAGCGCGACGGCATCGGCGGCAGACGATGGCTAGCAGGCCGAGCGTAGTCGTTGCCGACGTCTGTTCATAGTTCATTGATCGCTAAGGAAGCCATGGGCGCGCGCAATGCGATTGCGTTAACGATGGTGACTATGCAACGAACCACGTGTCGTTCACATGGACCCCCTTGTGACGAGGGCGTCGTCGACCTCAGGGTTATAAATCCGAAGAGACCAATTTTTTTTATTTTTTCCCTTTATTTATTTTTATTATTTACCATACCCGTGATCGTAAAAAGAAACGTTCCGTCTATTCAGACAATATAATATAAATTATAACAAGAGGGGGAAAAACCCCGAGAAAAACTCGTACCACCCCGGTGTGGTGGTCGATCGAGACGGACGACGGCAGCAGGTAAACAAGAGAAATGAATGCCAAGAATTTGTCGACGCAAAACCGGTTCGATTACCGTATATACAACAACCAGGCGGCAGCAGTGCTCGTTGAAGCCCAATTGACCAATGGCGGGACGAGCACAAGATGTAAACAATGCGCACGCTGCGTTACATATTTTCTATGTGGCATCGCGTATGCGTGCGTGTAAGTATAAATTGTATTGTGTACTAAAGAGAAGTAACCACTATAACCTACGGCAGGATGCGCACAAAAAAAAACACATTTTAGAAATTTTAACGATTCATGGCTCGTTTGAGGAATTTTTAACTACACAAATAAAATTATTTCGTCCCCATAAAGCATTAAAAAAAATAGGGATTCAACAAAAAATAGTTTATGGCCCTTCCTAACTTATAAATGTAAATATATTTTTTTAACTGAAAATGTATGAAAACTTCATTTTTGGATTGGGACACGAGGCAGAGGAAGGCTGTAAAAAATGTTTTCATGTATCTTTTTAATATTGTTATAGCTATATTAAAAAATTAAAATATAACATAATACTATGGTTCATAGTTATTTTATGTTATTTACTCATTTGTTATTTGTAATTTATTATTTATTTACCAACATGAATAACTAAATTTTACATCTGCATGACATTATGTATAACAGTATTAGGTTAGACAAAATGTGCTTCAAAGGTGGCAAATACTCATACTACTTTAATAGAAAAGCTGGAAAGACAATACTTACACTACAATACACATTTTGAGAACAGAGAAATTATTGCATAACACAAAATAGTTCTATTAATGATATAGTTGTGAATTTTTGTAGCTTGGAAGATAACAGCAATACATATATGCTACTCATTTAGGTTAACCGTACAAGTAATTTATGGAATTATTGTGCAGTAACTTTGCGCAAATGAACTGAGTAAATTATTTACAATTAATACGTTGAGTTTTTAATTTTTTGTAGCTCTAATTCTAATGTTACACTATTTATTTACACACATTTAGAAAACTGTACGATCATACAATATTTTTCAGTCAACGCCTTGAACTCGCACAGTTTTTAACTATGAAATTGTGGGTTTTATTTACACGCGCATTAGTTTGTACAAACTAAATTACGTACTGTTCAATTGAATGTGTACCTACCATAAAGTAACAACCTATGATCATATTTTACTTTAACTTGTAGTATTACAAATATTTATAACCAATGATATTATATAAATATAATGTAAGAAATAGTTTTATAATCTTAACCTATCATATCACATAGGTGTTTTTGTTGTACAGATTGGCTTGAAAACTTCTTACTACACTATTTACTGGTTTGGCAAACCAGTCAAGATATCCAAATGGGAGTAACCGCAAGGCGTGTAGTAAATAGTGTAAATATAATACCCCATTTAAGTTTTAATAATTTTTTAACTTCTTACTACAAATCTTTATTGCGACATCAATAAAAATAAGTTATTTTTGCAGTAAGTTACCATTACTAAATAATTTTGAGAAATTTAATAAAAAGTATTATACCTAGGCACCCATCATTGTTCTATCCAAAAGTTGTATAATATTTGTTTGCCATACTTAAAAATGCATTAATACAAGCATTTATATACTTACCAAAATAAAAGATTTATTATTTAAAACATATCAATTGATTTAAGTTATTGAGGGTCCAGACAAATAACTATAATAGTAGAAGCATCATTGTAAAACGAAAACCTACTCAGATCCACATTGATGTTATGAAACATAATAGAGAAAAAAACTTAAGTAAAATTTATGGTTGCAGTTAAGTAATAAAATAAAACACACTCATAACCACAAAAAATATTATACTTTAGTAGTTGTGTATGCTGTATGCGCATATTTCAGTAGCAATGCTATCATCAGCGTTCACAACAGATTGATATATATTATTTTTATGATAAATAGTGTTTTAAAATATTTATTATTTTATTACTTATGTCATAAAACATAAGTTTGACAATGCCAAAACTTGAATTTTCTTAGAGAAATTTAAAAAAAAAAGGCCACTAGTATTACTTAGTAGGAAATGCACATATTGAATAGTTTGTGACAATTTACTGTAAATGAAAAAACACAAAGTGGCTAACAACCTCAAAATGCCAACAAATATTGACCATCTAGTATTATACGTATGACTCTGAATTCAGCAATTTTTATAATTTCATTCCCCCATAACATAATTTTAAACATTTTTATAATTCTATTATATCATCATATTTTAATGTTAATTTTAATACAAATCATAACAACCTTGACATATTCAAGTCATAAGTCATGCATGGATAAAAATTATGATACCAGTTAATCATAAACACTCGAGTATTGGGTCATTTTTTACTTTTTATTGAAATATATACATATTATACCTAGTATTTATAACTTTTAACGTGGTAATCAACAATATTTTCCAACTACCTACAGGTATACAACACTAAATGGGCTGGGCAAATGCACCAAGACCCAAGATGCATTGAATATTTTTCAAGACACATTTGACACCGGGTTGGGACATAATATGCACTGGTACTCTTATGTCATAGACGTGTTTGAATTACCTTGAACAAACGATCCCAGGAACAGTGATCTCTTGTTCTCCTGCAAGACCATCGAGGCAGCGTGGTGCATGTTTGTGCAATTGTGGTGGCGTTGTTGGTCGAAAGAAAACAGCTGCCCGGTTCAATGGGCTGATATGGTGGTCACACCATGGACGCGTCGTACGATCGTTTGTTGTTGGCGTGGACTCCGATCAATGGCATACAACAATAACAATTCGCGTGTACGGCACAATATTATTTTTCAGTAATAACGTGGTGCAACAAAAACAATCGAAAAATTACGTTTTGCAATTTTTTTATTATTCTACTATCACAGTATCGATTGGAGGCAACCACTACGGTGGTGGCGGAGCATGGCGGAGGCCGGAGAGGGCAAAAATTATAACGAAGGCTTGCCTCCACGTTTGAGAACGACAAGGGGGGATTTTCGCGCGCGTACTTTCAACACGCGTGACGCCTTGACGGCCACTTCGATAACCCCTCCCAGCGGTAGACGGCCCCTACAGCTTCGGATAGGTATTGCCGTCGACGTCCGGTGTAGATGTTGATCAGTTTGGGCTTGATATTTGTTGTCGGCGGCGCAAGGGACGCACAACGGTATGAAAACGATTTTGTGAAACGCGTGGTGCAAGTTCCAGAGGTAGTGTCGGCGTAGGTTAAAATTTGAATTCCGTTAAAAAAAAATAACGTATGTAATTTCTAGAAAACTAAAACACAAACTTGGGTACTGTGGTAAAAAATTCAAAAGCAACGATAAAATATTAAACGTTTAACAATAATAACGCACTCTCCCGATAATGCGCGCGCCATGACGAAGAGAACACCAAAACAACATAGCTAAACAACAAAGCGAGACAGGCAGTTAAACTGTTATAGGGCAAAAATTCCAAAGAGCTTAAGTAAAGCGTCGGTGGCCATTGTGCGCCGACAGATGTCGTTACTCTATAGTCTATACAAATATAATATCACCACTGCCGCAACCATGTTTAGTATTTGGTATGCAATGCATACCCGCCTTTTCTTTTATTTTTTTAAATTTCATCCATCGGTTATTACGGCTGAAGTTCTGTGATTGTTACTAAGTTTATAACACTGATTTAATTAGAAGTTTAGAAATTCAAACGGTTTAATATCATACGGTTATAAACAGTTTTAAAAGGTTAAGTTGATGCAAAGATGGGAAGTATTAATAAATATATATATACAATACGTAGTACGAGTTTGAAGTACATTTGGTATTCTGAAATTAGTTTCAGAATTTTTTTTATTTAAAATACTATTTAAATGTACTGAAATGGGCATAAATGGTCCAAATTTACCAAGGAAAATATTGACAAAAAAATTTTACGGGGGCTTGGTCGTTCTCAATTGTTGAGAAATGTAAATATTTAATTATTTGCACAAAATAGTTCATTTGGTTATTCTATGTGTATAATGTGTAATGAAAATTGTTTTTTATACCAAATAAAAATTCGAATTTCTCCATTTTCTTTGACGTTAAAAAAACATAACTTTCTGCACAAAATTTAACACTATAATTCCCGATTTAGTAAAAAAAAATATTAAATCAATATTTCTGAGTTTTAAAAACTAGCTTTTTTTTCTGTGATTTAAGTATTGAACACTTAACTACATATTTTTAGGTGGTCTGGATAATGTGTAATTTTAAACTTATCTCGCACTCCGTTCCTGCAGTTGATATTCGTAGAACTTTTCTGATTTTTGTAAAGTCTAATAATTCTAATTTATCAAATACATATAATTTAAAACTGTTGCCATATTTCTAATTGTCCAATGTTAAATAACAAATTGGTAGAATACGGATCGTTGATCTTTAAGTGATTTTTGATAAACTGCATTTTTATACCGGAGCTCGAAGGAGGTACTGTTTATTAGTTATTATTCTAGTTAGATTCCGTTATTTTAGTTAAATTTAATCTATTCTGTGATTATTCTATGGTATTTATTACTAAGAGGAGGATTTATATATTAATTTACGGTCTTAGAAGACCAAAGCCGTGTCAATCTTGGGTGAATAAAGTGGATATATCTATGGATAAACTCAACTTTGGGTGGAGGTTTTTTAAAAGTCAAGTAAAGAGTAATATTTAATAATCCTCTCGGTCGAGAAACATCTTTTCAAAAGCATGGACAAAAAACTACAAATGCTTTCAACGCACATTTCGATGACAATTAACTAGAAACCTCATTAAAAAAAATAAACAATGTTTTTATTTGTTCAACGATGATTAATAGGTACATTTTCGAACGCGGTTATTCGTTAATGATCCAATAAGATGTTCATATATCAGTGAATATCACTCGGTTTACTTCTATTGCCTACGTTGCAAACTTGGGACAGCTGCATCACGGTGGCCTAGGGCAACGTATACCGGTAGGATCCAGCAATGTTGGCAATCTTGACACGTGTCAAACCAACACTAAACACTGATATACGTGTATCGGAAAACTAAAGTGTTTACATTCTGATATTTGCCACTTTTCTATTATTTCCGCGGCGTCTGGTCTGGGCTGTACTGTGTAGAACGTATTCCACGCTCGCCGTTATTTTTTGTTATTTTGTATTTTTCGTCCCGTGGCACAAGTATATTTCTCAAAATGACGGTAATCAATATCAAAGACAAAATCAAGAACAATAAGTTGAACCTGAGCGGCTGCAATTTAACCGAAATACCCATCAAAGAAATAGTGAGTATCTGTCGGTGAATAATTTACCAATAACGTTATTATTTTTTTAACGGTCGAGCCGTGTGACGACTATGATAGTCTAGTGGTCGGTTTGGCCTAAATAAAGTCGTATCGGACAATTACATATCGTTGTACGGTTAAATGTCGAGATTATTCAAATTGTATCAATTTGATTTACAGCTTGTCTACAAATTTTTAACCTTAAAATCGTAGAAATGTGTTAAAATTAAACCATCATTGGGCACGAGAATATGATTGTATAGCTTTGTACGCCACGTACAAGGGTCAAAAGTGCATTTTTTTTTTTGTAATTTTTATAAGAACAACAAATTTATATCGCTATACCATTGTATGTGTTCATTGAACTAAACACGGCTTTTAGTAGCAACAATTATAATCTTTGGTTTAAAATATCTGTATACAATATATAGAAAGTAAAGCATAAATGCACTTTACCAGGCACCCTTTTTTATTAACATCTTGTAGAATTTTTTACGTTGATTATGAATCTGAAGCTAAAAATACGGACTCATCTAGTTAAAAATTGTAGCTACTTGAAATTTGCATATTTCCGCTTGTATAACAATAGGTGGCAGCAGCTTCAGCTGCCTGCTGCTACACCATACATTTGTCGGTGATGCAAGGCTAGGTTTGGTTCAATCTTGTTAGGTCACTGACACTTCCAGAGCGGTAGGTTAGGTTAGTTTAGTCCATAAGGCTAGCTAGTTTTTCCTCTGGGGGTTTGGGGACGTTAGCCCCCATCCAACAAAGAGTCCCGAAGGGACTCGAGTCGACTCCCAAAACTGACAAGCTTAGGTAGTTGTTTTATTGGTTAAAGATTTACTAACTTTAAGCTTAGTACTTAAGAAAATTATATTGTTGTTCAATGCAATATTGATATTACATAATTAATAATAATATACGAGTAATAAACAATAATAATAATAAAAATAAATAATTAACCTAAAATACAGTAGCAGCGTGTACTCGCATTACTAAAAAAAGTATTGAAGTACTACATCCAGCTATGACATGAATAAAATGTCTTGTTTGTATTTTCTAGGCCCAATATAAAATCACTTCGCTTGATCTATCCAACAACAAGATATCATCTACTGACGTAAGTACTAATATATATTTGTATATATAAATATTGAGGTGTCCAACGAAGAAGGACGTAACTCAATTTTTACAACTTCAGTACAGCTGTTTTCTAAGTTAAGTTCTAATGTTGCATTTCAATTTTTTACAACCCCTTTAGAAGACAGGAGTTACAAATCGTCTCTATGGGAGATAAAGAAAATTAAATGCTATCTTAATAAACAAATGGTAAAAATCGAGTTACGTCCTTCTTCATTGGTCACATCAATATAATATATAATATTTGTATATTATTTATGTTGTTCAATACAGTTTTATTTTGTCCATATTTCAGAATTTATTTTCACATCTGGGTAACGTGACAAAACTTGATCTGTCAAACAATCAAATTAAAACAATTGCTGCTGATATTGCTTCTATGCAGAAGCTCGCTCATCTGTCATTAGCCAACAATAAAATAAAAGACCTGCCCAAAGGTATCAGCAAATTAAAGGCCTTGAAACATTTAAATGTTAACAACAATCCATTGAAGTCCGACTTGGCTGAGGCTGTTGGACCCACCCAAAATAATGCACAGTGTCAAGCAGCTGCTACCAATGTTGTACAGTATTTTAAGGGTGAAAAAGTTGATAGTAAAAAGCAAGGTTGGTATATATATTTTTATATACTTTTCTTACTGATATTTTTATTTTTGTTTTAGATGACAAACAAACTAAAAAGAAAGACAAAAAAGGAAAAGCACTGCAGAACGGTGTTCAAAATGATAAAACAAAAAATAAAGCCAAGCCTAAGAAGAAGCCAGTTGGTTTTGTATCTAAAGGTATAATAATAGTTATTAAATACTAATTTAATTACTATTTAATTGTAATTTTAATTACCTTTTAATTTGTTTTTAGTGTTCGGTTTTATTGGTTCACTGATATCGTTTATATGCCTGTTTTTGGTCTTGAGCGGTTTGGCACTGTATACATTGTCGTACTACGACAAAAAACTATACGGTAATGTCAAGAACAAGCTTGTTCCCGTCTGGGAATCGGCCACTTCAAATTTAGATCCATTGGTGGCTTCAAAGATAAATTATTACCTACAACAAGCTGGCACAAACTTTGATTTCGCCGTACAGAAAAGTATCCAAGTGACAATTAAATCATACAAATGGGTCAAGGCAAATCCAACAGTGCAGCTATACGTTAAATATGTACAAGAAGCATGGCAATCTCTTTTGGATAAAGTGTTTAAAAAAGAAAAAGCGTCCACGTGATCACACAAATCAGTCCTGTATGTGAAATAAACATTATGTTTTTCTCAAAACTATATTCCACCATTTCAACTTATTTGCTATGTCATAGTATGCAATACCATCCTTTGCCTCCCAAACAATAGCTATAAAAACGTTAAAAAATTCATCTATGTATATTTATTATTATTATGTTTTTTTTTTTTATAGAAAACAAATTTGTTAAATTAACAGATTTATAATAATTGAATTATAATTTTTTTTTATTAGGACCTAAATTTATTATGTTTTTAATTAAACTAATTATTATACTTACATTTCATTTTAAAGTAAAATTATTATAAACATTCAATTTTTATTTATAGATGTTAAATTTAATTCTTTTTGGTCGAATACATCGAATAGAAAAATAATTTGTAAATTTATAACCTTCAACAATATCATATGTGATTAACTACAATAAAATTATATTATTTTGTTATGTTTCCATTTCACATTAAATTAAATGATAATCGTATTATAATATAAACTAGGTTTTATTATAAGTGTTTTTATACTTTTTGTTCCTGGAGGATTAGTTTCATCAAGTAATGATAAAATTTGTCTATCGAGAAATATCTTTAAAACTCGTCAAATACAATACAAACATTGCATTAAAATTATTAGTATTTTATATTTGCTGTACTATAATTACAAACTAGTTTTAATTATTCTAATATTTAACAATATTTCTTTTCTTTAAAACAAGATTCTTGTTATGTATGTGTGATGAAATAATTGAAAAATTTCATAAAAGTTTTTACTGTAAATTTTTTCTTTTTATTATTATTTTAGATTTCAGAACTAAGTTCAGATCTATGTTAAATTTAGATGGTACTTAGTTAAATTACCTTATTTATTAATTCCAAATTGTAAGTGAAGGAATTGTCTAATAAAAAAAAAAAGATTTTATGTAATCTTGTCTTATTTTCGAGTACTACAGTTATATAAAATTAAGTAGTAAGACATAACATAAAGATGGCTAGCATTTTAGTTCCAGATAACATACCATCAATATTATAAATATAAATATATTTTGGTGAAATGATATTGTCAGTATGCAATAGTAAGCGGTTATTCAACTGACATGGCGGTCCAACGTGGTGTCGTAGCACTTAAATTAATGTTTTCCATCTAAGTTGTAGAAAATAAAAATATTAAGCAATTATTATTGTACATAAAATAATTAATTTATTAACAAGAAATAAATTGGTTGACAAACATTATTTTAATCATAGAACTGTTTTGTTGATGACTTCTATTATACATATAAAAAAAAAATATATCTGATGTTCGAATATTTTTTCTGTCTTCTGAGGCACTTTTTTTCCCGCAGGATGAGTTATGCGTAATGCTGATTAAAATGTAAAATACTTATGTTAAGGGGAACGGAGAGCGTCAATTTTTTTACAAATAAAGACTAAAACGCAGAGTCACTTTCCGAAGTGTCTACCAACCGATTTCATTAATTTTTGTTTGTTTTATAGTTTAACATAGCTAAATGGCCGATTTTTTATTCTTGTTTTCAAAAAATATTTATAAGCATTTTTATTTTTACTTTTTTATAGTTTTTTCTAATACATCTAACTACTATTTTAATCGCTAAATAAAAAATCGGCCTATTAGCCCCCATAGAAAAAAATAGTAAGTTTCACATAAAAATACTTGAAATCCGTCCAATAGATACACCAGAAAATGACTTCTACGAAAGTCATTTTGACATTTACATGTCTTAGCTGTGGCACTTACCCGAAAAAAGTGTCACAAAAAAGCGTTACACTGTTATCTGATAAGAGATGAGGGATCAGGGATGGGGATGGAATTAAGCGTAATGATAATTCTTGACAGTCAAGATCAAAAGGATAATATAGGGCATAATAGATAAGAGATTAAAGATAAGGGATGGGGTTCATCAAACTATAACTGAAATATAAATTCATTAATTTAAGAGGTCATTTTCATATAAATTGTTTTAGGCCAGATATTATGAAAACACTAAAATATTAGCCAGAAACTTGAAATGTTTACTAGCCACCTTAAATACTAGCTTGTTACTGCTTATACTATAATTTCACCACTACTCTAAATTTATTGGGTACTTCAACGAGACATGAAAATGCTCTTTCGTGGTTGCAGACTCGGCTCAAAAATGCTTTATCTCTTGTTTTATCAAATTTTCGTGATAGCGCGGAGAAAAATAACTTTAAAAGTATTATAATTAGAAAATTGTAATATGTGTTCACCTTGAAATTAGTAGGTATATGAAAATTGGCTATTAGATCAATTTTTGTCAAATATTGCCTATCCTTTGCCCCTTAATAAATAGTGCTTCCCGTTCCACTTAAAAAATTATAACTAAATTATTCGGTTAACAAAATTAACAATTGTTGTTTCTAATATGCCTAGTCAAATTGCTAAGTACGTACAATACATTAAATGTATTGTACATGTATTTTTTCAAAAGACATCTTGTTGGCAAAAAATAACGTTTTTAAGCTAATGAAATTGGTTTAAGTGGTATATTATATTTGCTTAATTTATTATATAATGACAATAATAATAGAACGAAAAATAAGCGAATACATTTGGGACTCCTGTACCTTTGTTTTGTTTTCTACCATAACTTTGCCTGGAAAGGTACAGTATGTTAAAAACGAAAAAACGCACATTAATCATTATAAACTAACACATTGGAGTAGGTCTACACAGCTTTTAAAAGGGCAAAAATGAATTCTCTAATTTGTTAAGATTTTTATTTGAATATTTTTTCCTACTTATTTTAAATAGAAGTTTTTAATAAGTTTGAGGTTATTTGGCAGAAACCTTTGAAATAATAATGATTTTTATTATTTGTTTTGACACATCTGTTAACATAGTATATATACCTATAGAACACAGTATTTGTTCGGTCAAATGACATGTGATAACTGTCAGTTACAATAGGTATATTATTATGTTAATTTGATAGCATATAATTATATTTATATACATATTAAAATAAAACATTAATATTATTCATATTAATATACACCAAACTTACGTTTCTTACTCACTTACCAAACCTAACCTTACGGTGTATTTTATTATATCATAATATAATGGGGGCGGGGGAGGTCACAGGTCTATATAAATTATTATTACAACTGAAAGTGGTAAAATCACTTTCAAATAAACGCTACTATGCGAATTTCTAATGGTAGACTTACAAATATCGATATAAACCGTTATAATGACATAACGTGTTAATAAACGTATTTTTAGTATAAGAGAGGATACAATTAGCCCTTTCAGGCCCGACTTTATTTCTGTTAGTTTGAGACACTTGAAATCAAATTCTTCTTAGCGTTATCAAATTAGGCGGAATATCGATTTTCAGAGTAATCGAAATTTGACCTTAAAAACTGATTAAAAGCTAAAATATCGATACTACTAAAAATCAATCAACATATATTTTGTGGGAAATTCAATTTTGCGTATTTTAGTGTTGGGTAACCTGATTTATCATAAATACTATGCGACTTATCACTAAAAAACCGCGAATAATACATGATTCCAAAAGTTGTCATTGGGCTTGAAAGTGTTAGGGTGTACGATTATACGTGTTGGCTTTATTTACAATCTCAATAGGCGATATGGTTTTCACCGATTTGCTAGAAGTACTTCTCGCTGGCATATTATGACGCGGCTCGATATACCTCATAATCAAGAATCCTAAGGTCACCGTGCGTAGTACCTTTGGACTCTTAGTATTGGCTTATTTCCGGTGCACACTAGTTGCATCCCGAGCCCAGGTAGGACCAAATTGTATAGACGAAGTGCATTCCGATGGCTCTACATTGTGTCCCAAATCTTAACGTAACTTGAAAAGGTTTACTCTAGTTGCGCCCCCTTTGTAGAATTGTAGTAACATTGGTTCCCAGTAGGTAAAAAATACTTTTATAATATTATACTTTAATACTGTTTTTTTACTCTACAATTATTAAAAAAAAGTGATCAAGTTCGCCAAGCGTAATTCAGTTACGACTATGAAACATCTAGTGGCAGTCGTTCGAAACTTGACAATTCCCTCTTTCATTCAAGCCCTACCAGAGCGCTGTAGGTCCACAACTTCACAACCTACAGCCGTTTGAAACCCCACCATTATTTTTGGGACACCCTGTATAATAATTACTATTTTATAAAAATATTTTTGTCAAAACTGTTTCAAGTATTAAATACAACTTTTTAAAATTAAAAATGAATCATTGGTCGCTACGGCGATTTTAAACTGCGCCCAAGGCACAGGTAAACACAAAATCATATATGTAAACTGCACCCGAGTTTTTATCAAGTGTAAAAAGGTTTCATGTAAACTGCGCCCGAGTTCTTATCAAGTGGAAAAAGGTGATATGTAAACTGCAATGAAACTGTAATTTTTCATGTTTTTGTTTTGTTTTAGAACTTTTGAATTTAAAAGGTTCATTTAAATTATTAAATTTAATGAATGTTTCTATTTGAATTTCTTTTAACTTTTCTATTAGAATAAAAATATTTGGATGAGTTATATAAAAGCTAGAATTAAAGTGGGAAAGGATTGGCTCACATGCATTAGTGGTTAAAGTTGGCTCTGCTGATGCTTGAGCCCATATTTCAGGTGGATACTGAGCTCTTCACTTATACATACATCTACTAAATAATCCGCAAATCGTGTCACTCTTTCATCGTCGGGCTTAGATTTCATTAAATAATTTACAAAATACTCAGATAAACTTTCTGGGCTTAAAAATGGTTCACTGTTCTTATTTTTATAGACAATACTCAAGCCATTTTGCTGGATATTTCTATTCCACGATTGTGTTAAATGAAAGCAACATCCGTGTATCTTTATCTGAGGCCAAACAGCATGGACATTGGTAATTTATGCAATTTGGTAAAAGTGGTAGCAACCCTAAAATATTAATATTTCTGTGATTTTATTGATTCGGGCGCTGTTTGAAGTTCATACCGATGATAAGAAACCGGGAGCAGTTTAAATATACCTTTATTGAACCAAATTATAATCGGGGCGCAGTCTACCTAAAATAAGGTAATTTGGACGCAGTTTACGTATGCCCGAATTTCGGTGCACACAAACTGCGCTCAAAATAGCGGATAGCTAAAATATTTTCACGAATTGCGGTCAGAATTTAAATTTATGTTATTAAAACAAACGATCAAGGTTTTCCGTATATGCGCATCTCGTGTGTTCTATAGAAAACGCTCAGTTGGCTGAGTAAAACTTATCTTCATATAGTATGTTAATATGTTATGGTTTTAGATTGACTATTGAGTAATATCGTTATTCTTAGTGGTTTCATTTATCTGAATGTCGATACATTTAAAAACAGATTGTACTTCATTTGTAGTCTTAACTTTTAAGTCATTAAAGGAACTCATTGGTTCTTGATTGATGCAAATTTGTTTAATATCATATTATGCGACGTCCTTTGTTGAAAGGGTATTGGTTGGATTTTCTTTTAGATGATTGTGGAAAACTGTATTTGGCCGTTCAGAATTATTTCCATTGGTTTGTTTTAATGGAATTACCGAATTGTTGGTGATTTATTATTTGTTCACTAAGATTTTCGTGATAATGATTAAATAAGTTGGTAGCGAAATTTAAACCCATGAATAACCATGAGTGTTTTGCCTCTTTGCCTAAATTTTAAATAACTCTTCTTAAGAATAAAAATAGTTTATACTTAATACTAAACAATAATGGGAATAAAAATGAAAACCTAAACTATTGCAAACATACGGTTGACACTCGCAATTTTATCATAGTAAATATTGATCTAAATAAAATGTTCAAGTAGAAACGTAGATTATATGAACTGCATAAGTTTGAAAAGTTTTAATAGAATTTTTTTTTAATTCACTATTAATTAATTTTATAATGTACCTAACTAATAACCATATTCCATATTAAAAAAAAAATTAAATATTTGCTGAATCACTGAATACATTTAGTTTGGGGGCAGATCTTGTGTAATTAAACTGGTATATATGGATCTATAGTTTGCTAATAAAAATTGGGACATAACTTTACAGTAGATAAAAATGAAGCGTAATTCATGCAGTTTAGGGACAGGTTTTCCTTAGCTTTTGTAGTTCACCCCGGAAGGCTCCCTTACGACCGCGGACCGACCAGTGGCGCTAGGCGCTAATTGCGGGCCAGGAAAGGTATCTCTCAAGAAGAAGTGATCTCGTTGAAAGGCCCCTTAACGTTTTACGTTCGGCCTCAACGACACACTTTAGTCGCCTTTTACGACAGGCATGTAGACCTTGGAGGTATTCTTTCTACCCTATCCACAGGGATAAAGTAGCTTAGGGACAATGGTTAATTGTCAAGCGTCGTTACAAAATTTAGATTTTTGTTTGGAGTTCTTTAAAATTCCATTCAAAATTTAATGTTTACATGAGACCATCATCAGCGCATTCAACAGTCTGTTTTATGTGCTGATGATGGTAACATTTCTGCCGAAATAATCCATAGAGAATTATTATTGTAGTTAAGGTTTTATTTAAATATTGAAGTATTTTATAATTACCACAGATTAAATTTTTTTTATACATATTTTCATTAAAAAGTAATAATATGCGACCATATAGTTTTTTTATAAAATTTTAAATGTGAATTTCGATATTATAACCTGCTAATTATTCTCAAAAAATGAATAAATTTTTAAAATCTTCCGAGTTCAACAATATGTAAGTAAGCTTAATTGTTTTAATAATTAAAATTTTACTTAAATAAAATATTATTAATTCAGTATTTTAGGAAATAATAAATATTTATTTGCTTTGATTTTGTGGGATATACTTGAAATTATAGCTTAAGAGGTTATAGGCCATCGTAACATTTTGAACACATAAATAAGAACGCATACGGTCAAAATGAACACATAAATATACTTTAAATTTTGTCAATCATACACCTGACTCTTAATAAATGCATATATATATAAACGTATATTTTATCTTTATACGTCGTAGTTATCAGGTATACAATACATACTCAAAATCCGTGTACATAAATCGTGTAACATACTTATCTATATGGTCGTTATTAGCTTATGCGTGTCGTTATTATACGAGTACATTAATTATTAGATTCATTGTTCTACGACCGTCGTTTGTGCTGATATTCCTTCTAATCTCAATCGGGTTAACATCGGCCTATAAATATCCGGAGTAAACGGCAACACCATCCCTTTTGCTTGGATTTCTCCTATAACGATACGAAATTGTTAATGTAATCTGTCTATTAAATTACAAACGAAACCGACAGGTATACCTTGAAGGACCATGTTAGTCGCGATGGCTGTTGGAATCCCAACGGTTTTAGCCATGGCTGTGTAACCGTATGTATCACCGTACGCCACTAGTGTCACCAATTTCTTTTCGTGTCGATTGCCAGGCCACAAAACTTCGATATCGTGGTACAAGACCACTAAGTCCCTTTCGCTTTTGCCTGTTGCAAAGAAAATATGCACGTTAAATGGAACCGTTATGTTAGTACTGCTAGACCAGCATAGCTGTTACGTACTCAGTGCCAATTTCGAACCGATAAAATGGGAAAACGTATCCAACGGAGAACCGAGCTTCGTTACCGGTTCGTCTAGCAACAGCCCGAGTTCCACTACTTTATTGACAAACGAATTGCCGATTTTGTCACCGACTTTCGACAGCAAGTTTTCGTAAAATATGTCGGCATCATTGAATTCCAACAAAGTGCACATCAGCTGACGCTGCAATATCAGCAAGCATAATTAGCAAACAGTATCATATCGTACCAAGCAATGCCATAAACAACAAAACAGATAGGTTCTATACTTACCCAGGTGATGTCCGGTCCGTCGGGATGCAAAGCTGTATGGTTGTTCGGGTCTATCAACTGCAACTTTTGAAGTATTTTCATCATATCGGTAAACCCTAAATCATTGTAAACATTGTGTCAATTCGGATAACTCCAACTACAGTAAACTTGTACTTTACCATATAACATCTCTGCTAACTAATTACTAAATATCTTACCTTTGTACCGTATAGTGCCCCTGAGCATGGTCTTTACTTCCGCTGCTATTCCGTATAGTTGGGAGTATTGAGTACTGTCTCTGTTAGGAAAGCCTTCGAACGCGAAACCGGGTAAAAAATTTAACTCTTCTGTATTATTCATTAACGAACCCCCGGCCGGGATTTCTATAATCTAAAAATCAATTAGGTTAAGTAAGGTTGCCGGCTTAAACGAACTGGCACTCAAAATTTCGTGGTGCACGGTTCAATTGTTATATATACAGGCATGCAATACGTATATAGAGGGGGAGGGGGTAACGAAAATTGTGGTGTTAGATTACCAAGATTCAAATTATAAATAATTTTTTATGATACGATGCTCTTAGAAAAAAAATAACAATAAGCGATATTATTGTGATGACTAATGCCCTTTTCCCAATTATTTTAAAAGTGTCCAAACACATTGAACACAAATTTCCTTTATCCCATACAACTAATATATTTTGGTAACCGTATATTTGTTATTAAGTTTGAGAGATATTGATGAGGGTATGACCGCAAAGCCCTCTCGGTAAATTCTAGCGGTAATTAAGAACGGTACCCATGAATAAGTTTAGGATTACAACAGATCGGTAATTTATAATTTTGTTTTGAACAATTAAGTAACAAAAAGTTAACTTTGTCTATTGAGTATCTTCCATTGAACATTTAAGTTTAAATGTCAGTCGAATGTAAAATTTAAAAAAAGGTTACAGATTTAATATGGTAAATACTTTATGATCCTGTAAATATTTAGCTTCAGATATGGTATTTATAAGTGCTCCACGAGGGAACCATGAAAATTTGTATCTTAACGGGTTGTTTGAGTATTCTGGTGCTGGTAAACCTCCGCAATAAGAAATAAACGATTCTATTTTGCCGCCTTCTTGGTGTATCTCATCTATACACTCCATTGCCAATAAGTGATCGATACCAGGATCCAGACCGACTTCATTCACCACAGTTATACCAGCTTCGACTGCCCTAAAGCAAAAAAAAAAAAAAATGTTCAAGTTGAAAGAAAATTTGTCAGTATGAGATACAATATTACCTATCGTGCAGCTGCTTCATTTGTTCCGAACAATATGAGGCCGTTACCATATTTTTTCTATATTCAATACACCGTTCGGCCACTAAAGTATGGAACTGACTAGGAAGAAGCGAGACCACTATATCTGATTCTTTGACAAGAGTTCTTAAGCTTTCAATGTCTTTAAGAATATTAATGTGTATTGGTTGTACTCGATTAAATTTATTTGAAATACTATTAGCTTCGTTCATGTCTACTGAACCTACAATTGTTTGAATATTTAAATGAATTGCATATTATGATAATATTAAAGGGTTAGAGTTACCACAACCTACCGAGTTTTATCACAATTGATTCGTCTCTCAACAAATATTCGATGAGGGGAGCGCACACATGACCTGATCCCAGAACAAGCACGATTTTCTTACACTCATCAACACTTGACGATTTAAAAGACGTCAATCTGTTAGATAATCGTAATTCATGAATGTATTCGAACCGTTCTGTTAGTGATCCGTTACTTGCGATAATGGCCTATATTTAAATTAAACTTTGTAATCAACAAAGTGTTACTTATTGAGTTGTATAGTTATGTTTCTTTTAATTTTATTGAAACTACTAAAATTTAACTACCCACATAAAATAAATACAAACAATAAAAATGTTTAGGACTTTAAAATTAGTTGTCTAGACCCGTGGTACACGATTGCGAATGATTGTCGGAAGATCAATGAACAAATATTTTACACCCGAAAATCAAACGATTGCGAACGATTTTCGTGCGACGTTGTCAAATCGTGTAACGATAATAATAGGTGGCACTTTTTTCGGCAAAAATGTATCAACAATTTTATATATATTATAAGGATTCTAAAAGTAACTGGCAAAAAGTATTTAGGAAAAAATATTTAAATGTATATAAATGGTAACTATAATGGTTGATGAATTATTATTAATTGTTTTTACTCCAACAATTTTCAATTTTATAATAATTATTAACATTATATTAACTATTATTATATATTATATATTTTTATAATTTTTACTTCAGTTAAAATCAACTTTTACTATGGTATTATCTTCACTAACCTTTTTTTTTAATTCGTTATTCATTTCTTGACAATTTAAAGTACTATCTTGATGGGAAATATACAAATTTAAAATAATTATAATTGTATTAAATGCATTTTAAAATACCAAACATACACATTCAACCGATCACCAATCGTGATTAACACTAACTAAATGAAAGTTTGTACACTTGAAGTAAAAAGTCAGTGTATTTTACCGTATGATAATTGATAACGACAAACCTATATATCGAAAAATACTTAGTCGACGTTGTCAGGTATAGCAATTTTGTAGAAGATTACCAATATTTACGATTTTACTTTTGTTATTATATTATTATTATGTACTCATCGATAAGATCGATACGGCAACGTTTCAATCGTGTTTCGCTCGTCTAGAAATATCATACACACTCAGCATATATAAATGTATTTACCTACAACTTCAAAGTACAATTTCTAACATGATTAACACGTTAAATTTTGTAATAAGGCGTTGAGTGTTTAATTTTGAACTAACCGTTAGGCATATTACAAGTAATAATGTAGGTACGATATAAGTTATAACTATGAAGTATAACTTAAACTTAAGAGCAAAGTACAAAGTAGGCAAATTTTCAACTAAAGGGTACTTAATTTATGTTAGAATAACTTATTATTTAGTCAGACAAATAATTTAAAATTTGTCTTTTAATAAAATAGGACTTGTTATATAGATGCGTCCGTTTGATACAGTTTTACCATTAATTATTGATAATGACGTATGTCATAATTAATAAACTTATCAATATTAAACCCATTTAACGATTAGTTTGTATCTTATCATTACCCCGAGTACAGTTGGCGAAAAGTTTTGTTCGGCCAACGGCTCGGTAGCGTCCGATTGGAGTATATCCATCGCATAAGGTAATACCAAATTTCCAAACAAATCTGTCGATTCCATAGGAAGTTGCGTTGGCATATTATCTATAGAACATACCAATACTCCGGAACCCTTAAAACTGTTGTGCACGTTTTTTTTTAAGAAAGCTTGACACTCGATAAAAGAGGTTGGACATTAATGTGGGTTACCTCTTAGTGTCTTTGTGCAGATGTGCGTCGTAGAGACAAAACGGGTTGTCAATGGTCGTGCATTCGTTCATGAACTCGATTGATCCGCCTGGATCGGCAGATATGTCACAGATACCAAGCAACCTGTGAGGCAGACCCGGTGCTCCTTCAGACACCGGAATCCAAGGAAGTTGCGACGGGGTGAGTAATTTTTTGGCGTCGGGTACGGTTAGAAGCTTGGAGCTGTCCGGCGCCCAATATATTCCGTTGATAATAACTGAAGCATACGGTGCAATCTGTAACGATACGATGATGTCTATTAGGTAAAGCATAAAGTATATTAACAAGTCGGGTAACACGAGGATCACGGATATCTCCCACGAGGACCATTAATATTAGCGTACCTTACGTGTTAGAAAAAAGTCTATCACGTAGCACGAGAGTCACCGGTGATTCTCAGGTACACAGAGAAAGCTGTTCGAATAAGCTCTTAATGCGCTAACAAAGTTCAGGCGAAAGATATCTGTGTTTCTCAAGATAGATGAGTTTTTTTTTTAAAACAATTCTGGTAGCCAACGGGTTAAATTTTACTTATTATGAACTTGATGTTGACAATACTTTTTTATTAAATGTGGACATGTATCTAGACGGATGTTGTTCACATTCCTCCCGGTCGTACCCACCTCCTTCGATCCTCTCCAAATGGTCTCTGCGCCTGACCACACAAGCATAGAACTTGGCGTTGGCTAAACACACAATACATTTATTATAATTTTATTAATTTCTTCCCATAAATTATTGATAGTTACAGCCGTGTTCCGCTACTTTCTGAAGCATAGACGGTGGTACGTACTCGTGCGGGAGCTCTTGGAATATTTCTTGAGCCCCTTGAGACACGTTGCCTGACCTTCGAATGCGTCAAATAATTAAATGGCATCAATTTTTTTTTAACTATTTTACACTTACCCCGTGAAAACAAACGTGATGGGTCCAATGGATTTAGGCATCATTCCTAGGGCTATCTCGTACCCGGCATCTCTCAATGCTTGTCTGGCCATCATAGAGTTCCTATAATTGTGCGCTGGTCCAATGTGCTACGGATGGTTATCTAGTATTTAATTAGTACTTTGGGTAAGCAGAGATCTAGGAGACTAGTTTATTATCAAAGGGACTTGAATCTTTAATAAAACATAGACAATCGAGGCCTTTGCCCAAGAATCATTATGTAAGTATAGGTAACCTTTTAAGACTGAATTTAAGTCTCCATAAGCTTTCCATCAATCTCCATAAATGGTACTTAGAAGCCCATACCATCAATGCTACGTTTTTTTTTTTATAGATATAGCTTACCATCAACGGTGTATGGTGTCCCAACGCCAATAGCCTTAGACCCAGACCGTGCAAGATATTTATAATACCGGCTATGCCAGCATACTTTCCGAACGCCACCACTCTGTTGCCGGAGTCATCCATTAGTTTCTCGTAATCGATTAACCGTATGTTCTTCGAAACAAAAAAAATATCCATTAAAAGAAGTTTATTACAAGAAAGCGAATTAATTTATTACTTTTTCTAGTACGGCGTCCAAGAGTGGCATATTCGCATCTTGGGCTTTGATCGTGTGCGAAAACATGCAATATGTTTTGTCCGGCAACAGTAAGTCTATGGGTACTTGTTTGACGCCAAACACAACTGATGCTTCTGATATGTCTTCCTGTATAACTGCCCCGGCGTTAACGTATGCCTAGTATAAAATAACAAAAAAACTATAAGACAGTACATTGCTGTACTCCTTAGATGATTAAAGGCGACAGTGCGGTGGTTTTAAATTAAAAAAACCGATTAACGTTATTTGATGCACTATAATCATCGTACAGTAGTCCAATGCCGTAAAAAACCTGTTAAAAATTAGTTTTTTTTTATTCAAATTTTAGATCCTTGTTACTTTTATGTGATAATACATTTATATGCATTACATTCATTTGATTCTATTAGGTTTGAACAATTTTCAATGCCCCATGAAGTTAAACGGACTAGGGTTAAAATAAATTACAGATTTCTGATCATAACTTACTTTGTTTCACGGTAAACTACCGAATTATTTTTTCTAAAAATTAGTAGGTATACCGTTCAAAAATATGTTTTAAGATCTCTTACAGATGATCACGAAAAATTAATTATTCGTATAAATAAATCACGTATGAAAAATATCCAATTTTGAGGTAAAATTTGCATAAAATTCTGTCTAAGAATCGAGTTCCGTCATGTTTCACGCCCAAACCTGCATTGACCGTATTCAATAAAAAAAAAAAAATAATTTACCTAAACGACGTTAATGTTTTTAATCTGGGGCAGGTTTTTTTAGAGTTTCGCCGTGACTATCAGTTTACTCTAGGTACTCTTTTAAATGAAAATATATACATATATAAAATAAACTTTACTTGAACGGGATAAGCTCTTCTGTTGGCAGGTTGAACGATCACCTTAACTCCATTCCTAGTCAACTGGGCCACGTTGGCCGGCGCGAACGGTGCTCGTCTCTCCCACACGGATTGATCTTCCCTGCGTATGGCTATTACTTTTCCGGTCTAAAGAAAACGGATTTACAATATTGTTTAAAGCAGAACATTTATTGGACATCTTCATGTCATGTCATGTCTTCATGTAATCTTACGTGTTTTTTCCGGACAGCCATAAAACGAGTGCCACTTTGGCAGCACCTCAGCATGGTTGAATGGCAAACGGCGAATCAAAACAAAATAAACGTTAAGCGTTGACGTGTTTATACTTGACGAGTTTATGTTAGGTCGTTCACGTTAGACATATTGAATGTTCAATACGGACAATTGCATCATTTGTTTAGCTAACGAAAAATATTGTTTTTAAGTAATCTTCGATGGTCGACCAGTGGAGGGAATCGATGAAACCGAGATACGCACGTCTATATACATACGTTTGTATAGATAAAAAAATTAGATGAACTCACAAAACCGCGTGCTCGGGTGTTACGGACTACCGTAAAGGTCTAAAGTCCTCGCTAGTGGAAAATATAATATAACCTATTTAAATAACACAATGTATAATATTATCAGTTGTTCCGTATTGATTAATTAACAATAACAAGATGATCAACAAAAGCGACCACTTTCAAACGGTTAAGTTAATATTTAATACAAACCAATATTTACGATAGATCACTGTTTATCTAACCGTGTGTAATCTGTGATAAATAAACGAATCTAATAACGTGTATGTAATCTAATCTAATTGTATTATGTAGTTATTTTATATGACCAAACCATTGATATGTTTCAAAACTGTATTTCTTAAATATGTTATAGAAGGTGTCTACCAAGAGTAGAGAATTTTTAACTCGTTGTTATACGACGGAGATTCTGTGCGTGTTCGTGTGTATGTGTGTATGTGTGTGTGTGCTCGACTGTTTGTCTGTGCCATTCTTATGTCCTTCGATAGCGACTATACGGATTCGAATATTCCCCTAAAATTTAACCAGTATGTATGCTTGATCGAATGGTCATGGCTATACAATTTTCGAACAGGCCAGTTTTTGTAAAGTTAAATTTAAAAGTAGAATAATTGGAATATGTTTTTCTCGTTTATTCCGTAAGAGTGAACTCTTTCAATTTTTGATTCCTATAAATTCCAACTACATACCATTTGATTACCGTTTTCTGGGTCTTCTTAGTTTTACATCGAACCTAAACGTGTATATTATCCTCCATTCACACATGTTATTGATTTTACTGATTCTATAATCTTTAATTTTTTTAGCTTCGATGCGATAGCTATTCTTCCTTGTGGACCGAATTGTTTTAATTTTTATAAGCATACGGAAGACTAGGTTTACTATGTGCGAGAGATTCTAATCTAAGATTTTGATTTACAGCTAGAGCATATTTTGTGTTCATATTATACTTAGTAAAAATGTTGACTGGTCGATAACAAGTCTTGGATAATTACTTTTAATGTTATTAAAGTTTAAAAATTAGGACGGAAAGTGGAGTGCAGATGTGTAACGCGCGCAGGTCAAATAATACTACACTCCACCCTTCCTCCCGTCCTAAATTTTAAAATTTATCCAAAACTGGATACCGACATGTAAAAATGTTCGTCAAACTATTCTACTATCGAAAAGTAATTAAATATAATATACGTTGTCATTTAAGTTTCAAACGTAGAAAGCGCTTTGACAAATACTGAAAAAGGTAAATATTTTGTAATTGTATAATTGTTGTACAATAACATAAATACAAATGTTTTCAAAAAGAAATATGATAAAATTGTTAACATTTTCTGAGAAAACGAGTGTCTTACGTTAAATTGATCACCTTGCATGTGGTATAAAACGTGAAACGCACGTTTAGTTGTGTAGATGGCGAGGGCAGTGCGTGAGTCATGTGGTCGTCCATGAGCAGCGGACGAGTATATTGTATAGTCAGTTAGTGCAGACCAGCGCTCGAGTCGTTTCGCTGGTACGTCCATCCGTTCCGCGAGCTACCCGGTTGAATACGTTAATCGCCGTTGTCAGTTTAAAAAATAATATTAATCGTAAATCGTTAAAATAATTGTTTAGAAAAAATTAAATCAGTTTTATTTGTTGTATTTTTTTTTTGTTCATTTAAAAAAATTTTTTTTTAGAAAAATGTCAATACTTATATGCTACTTGAAAAGAAAAACGACATGGTCGTCTGGTCTCGGTGTTTCGTATTAATAATAGGCCGAGAATGTCCCTTGGGCACGGCTCCAACGTGAAGCCGCCGCCGTTGTTTCGTGTGTTTTATCATAATAAACACAATCTCGAGATTCTACTTTTTTCCGTTGGTTTTTAACGCGCAAAATAATATTTTCGTATGAAAAAGCAAACGTAAACCTATTTTGTAGTATCGTAATTATTGTTCGGCGACCAGAGCGGTGCGGTAGACAACTCGAGTATCATATCGCGGTCCGAGTCCTCGTCGAATGTTGATGCATGGATACGTTAACCAGAAACATGCCGTCCAAGAAACAATACAACCTCGTGCCCAACGACGACTACGACACGAGAATACCAATGCATCCGGAAGAAGCGTTCGAGCACGGTATTACATTCCACGCCAAGGTACGAATCAACCACGTTACTCGTCCGAGATAATGCCTAATAGATACACGGCCGATAACCGTCAACACCGTCTGCGCGTTTAGAACCCTTTTTAATGAACTATGTAGAGAATCGCCTAATAACATTAATTCACACATCTTAGGTACGTTACTAATATTAGTATACCTAATGCTGCGATAACAATGTAACGCGCAATATGATCACAATCCGAGAAACGGACGACGTGTTCCCGGTGCTTCTTGTACACAATATCTTTGTCTTGGACTATAGTGCGCGGTTGAAATACGAATGACGGAAGGATCGAGAAGGATCTTTGTTTCAAACGTACATATAGGTGGGTACACGGTCTCGCAGCAGTAGCGCCGCGCCGTGTCAACGATTCCTTTTATCTCGTTAAACCATCCGTCCGTGGCTGATGTTTAGATCCGCCAGATAGACCGGAATACTTGAATTTCGCATTTGGTATTTCGACGAAACTCGACTACTCCCCTTCGAATTCGAATCTAATTTAAATGCGGTTTGTATAATATGTCGACCGTATAGAACACCGTGCACGTGCTGTAATGCTATTTTGTTGTCGTCGATCGAGTTTTATCCGAATCCAGTGTCATCTCAAATTTAACACCCCCAGTTGATAAGACGTTCAAGCTCCAGGAATCCGAACGCTTTTAGACGCCTTCTTTGAACGTTGTAATAAAGGTTCCACTTCTCTCAAGAGTTTGCTAATAACGGGATGACGGCGCACCGCATTTTAAGTATTTCATCAGTGTCACTGGACATCATTCGTTGTCCGTTCAGATAATCGTGACTATACTGTATCTCAATCTAAGTGTAACGTGTTCGGGGTTTTCGAAAAATTAGCTCGACAAACGACGATTGACGGTATTACTATTTGAATGCAGTATTAACAATCGAGTATTCTTGAAACGGCATACTTGGCATTAAAACCAACCTACACGGTACGCCGATAATTGAACCTAAAAAGCGGACCATGATGTACAACAACCCGCGGTGGAGTTGGATTTATACCTATGCATGTATGTTCATCGTTAACCGGAAATGGCCAACCGGCTGTCCGACTCTATTAACGACCCACAAACGAATATTTCACGGTCCCTATTTAAATGTGAAAATAAATTATCATACAACACCGAGCGGTCATTTTTGCCGTCATAATATAATATCACGAATTTATTACTATATATAAAAGTAAATTTGCATGGTATCAATATGTGTGTGGAAACACACAGTTTATTTTTAGCTTTGACAACAATTTGATTTTACGATGATGGCGTATAACTTTCTCACAACTAGATTATCGATCATAAATCATAATTAATTGATTTTTAATAGAAAATAATGCAAATGATAGAAGTATAAATGCTTTCTACTGCGAACACGCATCGTGACATTTTTATTGAAACTTATTACTCAAGCACTTTTAAATGTATTACCACCTCCAAACCAATATCTACTCCGATCGTTCGACCATACTGTGTCAATTTCTTGCTGTGCCGCGTTCCTAATGTGCTGACTTCCTATTTTTGGGAGGATTAAGCTGAGTTTACTGTTTTTTAAGCACCGGCATCAATAGTCATTAGCTTGTTTGTTTTGGTTTTTGGTTCGTCGGGTTACTGTGTAGGTATGGTGAACATGTGCGGTAGAGACATGTCATGGGCCGCCGCTATAAATCCTGGGTGGTCACCCATCCGGGATCAAGCAGCGACGGCCACAGCTTATCCGAATAACACCTGAGAGGAGGAACACTGCCGCCCAAACTATGCTCTTTTTTCTATTTTGCTATACCGTTTAAATTATATTGCCAATACAATACGTTTTACTAGTATCGAAATATGAATAGACTGTAAAAAAAACATTTTATAAGTACATACCGTGACAAATGGAAGTTTGGTAAAAATCATTAAAAAACCATTAACGTTGAGACAATATTGTTTGCTTCATTTTTTGTGTATACTTATAAAAAAAAGATTACAATTACAAAGTACTTAAGTATTTCTTAGGATCCATTAGAAAAAAACGAAGAATTTTTTTTTATGCACTCTTGTAATTAAGATCGAGTACTAGTTTTGTTTTTTTTTATAAAAATGATAACTGATAATAGGTCAGTTGGTAAAAACAATTAATCGGTAAAAGTATCAAGCAGACTTGGATTTAAATATTATGAAATGTATAGTGTTTTTTTAAAGTATGACCCTTTAAATATTATCGCAGAAAATTCGTTTTGCAGTTCACTCAGCCCGAGGCTAAATCCGACCCTGGTACCAGCATAATAATTTCATTCGTGGTGTTGTCTGAATAAATTTAATTAAAATTAAAATGGGGTAAGGAAGCGATGACGAAAAATTATTTAAATACCAAATGCTTAGATGTACGTGGTTTCACGCTTTGTTAAATCCATCTATATAAAACTCCTTTAGATATATTTAATTAGATCATAATATAGCGAATTAGAGTTCATTATAAAAATGCTGTTGCATTATGGAAATCATTAGACAATCGCTAAAAATATGTTTTCACTATTCTTCAACTGTGAACGTAATCTACATAATATAATATTTTTTGAAAACTTCACAAAAATGAGGTTTAACAAATATTTAATTATTTTTCGGCTGGTATAACTGTTCCATATGAATTATGTGTACCTACACATTGCGGGTAACGGTTAGAAACCGAAGGAAAAAGGAAAAATAACAAAACGTATCGAAGCACGTTCTGTCTTTGACGTGGTTTGTCATTATTATACTGGAAAATTGGAACAGTACGATTAGATATGGTCAGCAGAAACGCAAAAAGGAGTCCCGGCAAGAAGTAGATGCGAAAAAAATCTAAGTCGAGCGTGTTTTCCGGCATTAGACACGGATTTTCCGTAGTGAAAATTTTCGCCATTCATAAGATGAGGCCGTGTCGCCGCCAAAGCCATTACTTGGTCAAAGAGCATTACTGACGGGAGAAAGCTAGCCATAGCGGAGTTCGATTTTGTGAGATGAACAACAGTAATATTTTTTTATCGAATATGTGCCGGTACAGCGGGAAAACACAAGGGGAAAAAAATTTGCCACGTGAAAAACATAATAAAATCGTTAACGATTAGCCGCGACCAGATAACAGGTTTTCGCTTTCAAGGCAACCGTTACTCACAGCCGTTCCCATTATACGCGTTTAGCCAACTCCCGGGTTATTCTACGCGTTTTATCCATACTTACGCATCGATAATGATGATGATGTCACATATTTTAATGCGCTTCTTGATGTCACGGATGATATTTGCATTGTAGCAATGACGTCGTTCACCGTATGGCTTGTATCAGGTATTTAAGCGTGTACGCAATATAATATCCTAGCAATTTTACATAGAAGTCACATTGCTATTACTTTAGTGGTAATGTTATTAGCTCGTCTGTCGTACGATGCAGGTGTCGGATTTCCAAATCGCTTCGATGAGGTTTCCCCTTCGAGAAAATCCGATTTAATATCCGTGTAACATGACTATTATGTTCGAAAAAACGCATATTATGGTTACTACATAAAAATTCTTTACGCGCAAAAAGACACTACAAAAACCAACGTCCTTTTTGAATCCCGCTTTTTTATCCAAATTTTATCGGAACGGAAAATTAAATTCCATTAGTTTTTCAAAAAAAAAAAACAAGTCCATTTAAAAAGGTTATAGTAGCTGTTCGAAGTTTGAACATATTAGTGCGTTTTAAAATTTATTATAAAATGCAACATTCAAATTGGTACCTAAGCATTAGACGGTAATCAATATTCGACTTAAAACAAAAAACGATACCTGATCGTTCAACGAGTTGATGAGTTTTCGAGTCTTAAGACGCAATAATCTTAAGAGAAAATAAAAACAACGAGTTTCCTTCGGCAGCAGGGTAATTCGAATTTCGAGATGTTCATTTCCGTTAAGCCGACAAATGGATCGTTGGAGGATTGTCAAAGAGACAGTAATTACTATCGTCAGATGAGTCACTGGTAAAAAAAGACGAGTTTTCTAAACCAAAGTGATTGACTCGTTATTTCGACATGGCAAATAAAAAAAAAACTCTGACTCACAACCCAAGCCCTCTCTTACTAACAACAACAAATGCAAACGGGTTTTTCACCTCTTAACGAACGTATAAAAGGTTTAAGATTTATATTATCATTATTGTTTTTTTTTGCAAGTGTGTATGCAAAATCGGTAGCTAACCGTGGCGGCGGGCTTAAAGAAAAGTACCGATGCGAATCAAGTTCGTGTCATGATTATCGCGGAACTGCGAGGAAATATTGAAAAAAATCACTTGGGCTGTTGAACCAATACATAATATAGACGGCACAGGCTAGGCAGCATGAATAATGCACGGTAATTTCCGTGCATAGACAAAGAGTCGCACGGGATGCGCATTGATCTTTCTTATGGATTTTGATAAAACCGTAGTGTGTGTGTGTGTGTGTGTATGCCTGCCGCCTGGTGGTCGACCCGTTGTTTCTCGATTAAGGATTACGAAATGACTGACCGGAATGCAGCTGCACTCGCCGTATATGTGGTGATTACTTGTTACCGGATAATTTTTTTTCTCTTAGAGGTATATTTTAACCATAGCCGGCTCTTTATTCTCGGTACATGTTGTCGTCGTGGCCGCTGTGAGTACGTGACCGTCGTCGGACGCACACAGAACGGGGTTGTTGAAGGTCATTAACCACACACTTACATACAAACAAAGCACAACGAGGGACACAAAGATATCGCCGTTTCTTATATTTTTTATCGTCCGGTAGTGGAGAGAGAGTAAAATGAATAGCGCTGGCGAGCTTTGACATACACACACACACACACACACACACACACATAAGTTTGGCTTGGCTCTTTATATTATTCAATACATTTCCTACTAGGTAGGTCCGCTTCTAGAGTTTTTAGTATTGCGTTAACTTTACTACCCTCATCTTGACAAATTCGTACTTGACCAACTTTTGGAGCCGTCCGTTCG